GTCAGTGGTCGTATCTTGATCGATGGGATTGATATCTCTACGATTGGTGTCCATGACCTTCGCTCTCGTTTGGTGAGTGTCCAATATATTACTTGTATGTACCCTGTTGCTAACTTGTATGTCAGACTTTCATTCCCCAGGTGAGTCTGTATTGTAGTGCCGTGCCTCACATGAGATTGATCTAGCGGCAGGATGCGACTCTGTTCTCGGGCACATTGAGAGATAACCTTGATCCGTTCAGTGAGTTAATATTTCTGGTTGTGGTACATAGATGTCGAACCCCTTTCAGGCGAACACGAAGATAGCGAATGTTTGGACGTGCTGTACCGCGTGCAAATGCTCAGTCAAAGTGCTTACCAATCCCAACATACCTCCCGCGCACCATCCCGTGCATCCACGCCTGACGATGCCGCCTCTTCTGCTGCATCGACGGCTGTCACTGACGTGGAGTCAAAGACGACCGTCACGCTCGATACCCAGGTGTCCGCAGGTGGCACAAACTTCTCGCAGGGTCAACGGCAGCTCATCGCGATGGCGCGCGCGCTGCTTAGGCGAAGCTCGATTATTGTGCTTGATGAGGCAACAAGTAGCATTGATTTTAGCACCGACGCCAAAATTCAGGCGACGATTAGGGAGGAGTTTACGGATTCCTTGTTACTCACGGGTTAGTGATCCACTTTGGGAGACTAGCTGACATTTGCTGATGTTGTGTATATTTATGGTTTCTTAGTCGCGCACAGATTACGCACCGTGATTGATTACGACCGTCTTATTGTGCTCGATGCAGGAGTGGTGCGTATTATAATAGGTTATGCGGACTCACGCTCATGTATGACCACCAGGTTGCGGAGTTCGACACACCTTTGAATCTGATCCAGAAGGAGGATGGCATTTTCAGGACGATGTGCCTCAAGAGTGGCACGTTCACTGAGCTTGAAGCGGCTGCCAAGGCCAAGGCTGAACGTGATGTGGCCAAGGCTAGCGCATAATCGAATACTTGACTGAGCGACTCATGAATTGACTTATTCTGTATCAAACGTGGTTAGCTAAAGTGGTCCTATGATCACGATGAAATTGATGCCAGCACATTGTCAGTCGCTTATGTAAGATTATTCCGTAAATAGATGACTACGGGCCCGCAGTGTCCATGATGGATTCAGACAAAGATCTGGCCCGAACACCACCAAAATATCAACGGTGGAGATTTGCAAGCCGAGAACACGCGTCTGCTCACAAAGCATTCGGACTTCTTTCTGAGTTTTTCACATGAACTTAGGAGATCTCCGCATCTTGTACCAACTCGTCTGCATCCATCAGAAACACCTTCCGTATTTTGAAAACTCCTAGTCTTGATTACAACAAAATACCACCGACATGTATTCTCGCAGTTGATCCAAGCACTTATCAGCGTCTTCAGCATACCGACGATCATGGAGCTATCTTATTCGTCGGATATAGGCCTTATTCACATCATCTTCGATGCATCATCACCATTTGAATGAGTAATTCAGTGATGACTACTGGCCCCTCCATGATGCCATATCATGATGCGGGGTGTCAAACGGCGTACTATTAAAGTTGCTCGAATGGATTCTCTTCGAATCCATTACAAGCCTTCCGAATCATCATGAAGAAGTCAGTTCTCGGTTTCGTGATCGATCAATGGTCGGTGGTGCACCCAGTGGAGACAGCTGATCTATCTGGGAAAACAGTTCTCGTCGTCGGTGCCAATGTAGGTATTGGACTCGAGGCGTCAAAACACTTTGCCCGGATGCGACCAGCGCGGTTGATAATTGCCTGTCGTAACGAGGCCAAGGGGAAGGTCGCTTTGGTTGGTACGTATAATCTATTTGATGTGAAATCATTGATTCTATTTTCTGAACTTGAAGAAATCGAATGGGAGACCGGATACAATGGATGCGAGCTCTGGATAGTCGACCTTGCCAACTTTGCATCAGTAACCGCGTTCGCTGATAAATTCGAGAAGGAAGGCGGCGATTTGCATATCCTGGTCATGAACGCAGGGATCGTGCAGCCTGACTACCAACTCACCACTGATGGCTGGGAGTCTGTGTTGGTCTATTTTATCTTTCTGCCTGCTGTTATTGCTTATATCCACTGTCCAGACTACAAGTTAATCATCTTGCAACGTCATTGCTCTCGTTGCTCCTCATTCCACGACTAATTGCTGCGGGGAAAATGTCTTCAACACCTTCACGGATGGTAATTGTGTCCAGTGAATTCCACTACTGGATCACGCCCGCGAAAGAGGTCCAGGCCTCCTCGAAACCACTTGAAATGTTGAGCAGCCAAGAGTGGTGTATCCCCGAGTAAGCAAACAAATCAAACTCTACTTTCATATGGACATCTCTTACTCAATATCTCTCAGGCACATGCAATCCCGGTATCACGAGTCAAAGCGTACGTGCCTGTTATCTTCTCTACCCGCTTCAACCTGACCATTCACCCAGTGTTGAATATCCTCTTCGTTCGCGCCTTAACGGACAGGTTGCATTCCGTCACACCACTCAGTGCCGTAGCCGTGAACCCAGGATTTTGTCATTCACAACTACTGCGCGTCTGGAGCGAGGGAACCTTTTCATTTTTCAAAATAGTGCTCGCCATTAAGAAGCGTCTCTTGGCTTGGACGGCCGAACAAGGTAGCCGTCAGCTTATATTTGCTGCAGTGGGCGGACGAGACAATGAAGAGACTATGAAAGGCGGCTACGTAAGCCTTGGTCGCATCGAGGAAGTCGCCGATTTCGTGCTGAGCGACGAGGGCCATAAAATGCAAGACACTATTTGGGTACGAGTCCAAGTCCACTGATTCGTCTTAGGTCCGTGACTAACATTTTTGACATTTTCTGTCAGAATGAGACTATAGATATTCTCGACCGAGTTTCCGACAAGATCGCTCCAATAGTCCAGGATTATCTATGTAGTAGTACTATAAACTGAAATGTACACGTGATGTACGTCTACGGAATAGTAGTGCGTGCCTGATGGAATCGACATTTTTGGAGACGGACGCATCGAGAACTCAGACAACGGTAGAACGGCGTGATGGTTATTGGTCCAACGAAGAATTGAGGTGAAAGAAGGCCCAAGTAGAGAGATCCTGCGCTCTTGAATCGAACAAAAAAAATATCTCCAAGAAATAGCGTGCAACCTGCGGCGAGACCACGGTCCTCTTGATCTCTTCGGAGGGATCCCCCCAGCTATGGCTAGCAGGAGTGAAATAATATCCCAGAGTTATATTTACCTTATTGATGGACCTCTTGCGTAACGTCGTTACGAGGACTAGCGCTGGTGGATCGGATCATTGTCCAGCACAGGCTTACTTAATAAGCATTGTCAGTGGAAGTAGCCGTGCGTCATGGACAAAGAACCAGTGCGCGTACGGTATACCATCTTACTAGCTGACACGTTTTTGCAGTTGATCCAGGCACTGCCTGTTAGCGTCTTGAGGCTTGAGCTTACCAAGGAGGATGATGCAGTTATCCTGTTCGTTCGATGCAGGCCGTACGCGTAACCACTCATCATCATGATGACTCACCAAGAGTAATGCAGTGACCGAGTCACTACCAGCCCCTCCGTAATGCATGATACGGCCCGGTGTACCGAACGGGGTGGAGTGCTATTAAAGTCGTTCGAATGGTTTCTCTTTGAATCTATTACAAGCCTTCCGAATCATCATGAAAAAGTCAGTTCTCGGTGTTGTGATCGATCAATGGTCGGTGGTGCCCCCAGTGGAGACAGCTGATCTATCTGGGAAAACAGTTCTCGTCGTCGGCGCCAATGTAGGCATTGGACTCGAGGCGTCAAAACACTTCGCCCGTATGCGACCAGCGCGGTTGATAATTGCCTGCCGTAGCGAGGCCAAGGGGAAGGTCGCTTTGGCTGGTATGTACAACCGTTTAAATCGAACTTGATGTGAGACCATTGACTTTTATGTTACTGAATTTGAAGAAATCGAACAAGAGACCGGATACAATGGATGCGAACTCTGGATAGTCGACCTTGCCAACTTTGCATCAGTGACCGCGTTCGCTGATAAATTCGAGAAGGACGGCGGCGATTTGCATATCCTGGTTATGAACGCAGGGATCGTGCAGCCCCACTACCAACTCACCACTGATGGCTGGGAGTCTGTGTTGGTCTATTTTATTTTTCTGCCCGCAGTTACCGCTTATATCCACTCTCCAGACTACAAGTTAATCATCTTGCAACGTCGTTGCTTTCGTTGCTCCTCATTCCGCAACTAGTTGCTGCGGGAAGAAAGTCCTCAACACCTTCACGGATGGTAATTGTATCCAGTGGTGTTCTCTACTGGCTCACACCCGCAGAAGAGATCAAGACTTCCTCGAAACCACTTGAAACGCTGAGCAGCGAAGAGTGGTGCATCCCTGAGTAAGCAAACAAATCAAACTTTACCTTCATATGAAAATCTCATACTTGATCTCTTAGGCACATGCAATCCCGGTATCAAGAGTCAAAGCGTATGTGCCTCCTATGCTCTCTACCCTACTTCAATCTGACAAACTCAACCAGTGTTCAACTTCTTCTTTGTTCGTGCCTTGACGAACAGATTGCAATCCGTCACACCACTCACTTCCGTAGCCGTGACGCCAGGATTCTGTTATTCACAACTACGTCGTGCCTGGTACGAGAAACCGACCTTTTCATTTGTCAAAATAGCGCTCGCTATTCAGGAGCGTCTCCTGGCGTGGACGGCCGAACAAGGCAGCCGTCAGCTTGTATTTGCTGCGGTGGGCGGACGAGACGATGAAGAGAATATGAAAGGCGGATTCGTAAGCCGTGGTCGCCTTGTGGAAATCGCCGATTTCGTGCTGAGCGACGAGGGTCATGAAATGCAGGACACTGTTTGGGTAGGAGTCCAAGTCTGCCTTTCATCGATGACGGACCTTTCTAACATTTTCCATCAGAAAGAGACGATAGCCATTCTGACCGGCGTTTCTGACAAGATTGGTCAAATAGTCCAGGATTACCTGATAGTATCTGACTCGTCCATAAATTGACATGTATATGTGATGTGTCCGCAGAATAGTGTGCGTCATTTGATATATTGTTCTTTGTGCTTGTCGACTCTTGCGATCTTGTCTCCTTGATGCCAGAAACAGCACATCTGCAGCTCTAGTATTGTCAATGGTCGAGCTCAAGAAGTATTCAGATTGAGGTGTCAATTTGTAGTTCAAGTCTGTTCGGGCAACCCAATCCCGGGGTGAGTTTCAGCCCATTGGAGACGTTCGTCCACCCAGATCTCACGGTCATTAGAAGCCCAAACGCTGACCTGGAAGCACAACAGGTCTGTAAGCCGACGGAAAGGACGACCCATGTCATACGCCTCTCTCCACTCTGGATATAGGGCAGACCCTTCCATTGCTGAAAGAAAAGCAGCACGCAAAACATTCCTTTCTTCGCTGGTTCCGCCTTCGTAACTGGATTCTGGGTCATCCGCATCTTGAAGCCATCGTGGGATCACTGCGCATTCCCATACAGGCGCGATGGTAGCTGCTTCAAAGTCGATAAAGCCAGTCACTCGACCTGAATCGGTATCGATCTACCATACGCATGTGCGTTGAAGATAAGCATCATAAGGGGCATGCATTGACGTACCATGACATTTGATAAACGGAAGTCGTCCAACTTTAAGGAGAATGGTGTTCGTGGAGTGGTGACATTGGCAGGTACCAACGTATCACCGGGATAAACAGAGCATAGACTAATAGCCTTTCTCATAACACGCTCCCCGAGTTCGAGTTGCCTCTCTGCCGACTCAGTAGGGTCGCATTCGTGAAGCTCCGAAAGAACGACCGAACGGTGATTGGAGATAAAATCGAGTTCTGCTCGTAGATTGCTTGAAAGATATTCAGTTACGGTAGAGAAAGGACCTCTGTTGGGATCGACGTTTTTTGAGATGGGCGCGTCAGGAACTCGGACAACGCCATCGAGAGCACGGTAGAATGGCGTGCTGATTATTGGACCGACGAGGAATTGAGGTGAAAGGGAGCTCAAGTAGAGAGATCCTGCGCTTTCGAATCGAAGAGAGAATATCTCCAAGAAATAGCGTGCAACCTGCGACACCACGGTCTTCTTCACCTCTTCGGAGAGATCCCCCCAACTATGGCTAGCAGGGGTACCTTTAATCTTAAGTTCGCGATGTATGAGTGAAACATCCCAGACGGGACACATTAGATTTGGCAACCTACTTTATCCAAGATCATGTATTCCGCTCCAACAGGATTCGATGCGTCAGAGTTCCATGCATGGATTCGTGGAACAGGTATATTTGTGAACGCAGCGATCATCTTGCACGTCGCAACCTTTTGAAAGAACATAGAGTTTTCATACCAATGCGAATAACATACAACGTGAATTCATAGCTACCTCCGATTCAAGCTTGTCCTTTGGGAACGCAGGAGAGGCCACTCGAACGACAGCATCAAGAGGAGCACCATCCGATCGCAAGATATCATATACCTATAAAAATATCAAACATAACCTGTGCGATGTAATTCCAGACGGACCTTGTGATAACCTCCTTCAGCCAGTTTCTCCAGCTTGCAGCTTGTCAAGAAATGAAGATCAACAACCGATTGCAATTCGGCAAGGCTAAAGGAATCGGGTTGGCCGTCTCCATCGTATGAAAACGTAGAGATTCGATCATCATCGACGTCGCCCATATGTGCTGCAAGAGATCAGGTTTGAAAGAGTTCTTCGTGATCACTAGCACTGGTACTAATGGCGTAGTATGTCAGAAGGTGTGGGAAACTTTGTACGGAGAACTAGTACACGCAGTTTAAATCAGCGATATCATACTGGCCCAAGCCGGGGCTTGCAGGCCGAGCTGAGTCCGAGAACAAATTCTGTCTTTGATTGAGACATGATGAAACGATGTTAACAGTCACATACGCCAACTAGTACGGTTACCAATACTAACATTCACTCAAGCGACAAGCGACATTGAGTATATTCAAAACCTAAATACTACCACGCACATCCTCAAGACGGAGAGCCATAACCCATCCTCCAACATATTGTCTCCTTCAAAGTTCCAGACTGGTTTCAATATACATATACATATATTCTGTGCTTCCTGTAGAAAGGTATACATAATGTAGAACCAATGACAGTGATGTTTGTTTTGGACGTACCAATTTCTCTTTACTTCTTACTCCTGATGGCCTGGCTGGCGGTCTCGCAAGCGGAACATGACTCCGTCTGGTATTTCACCCATTTCTTGTGGGTGATAATCTGTGTTACACCTCCCTGCGTAGTAGCTGACCCTTTTCCCTCGCAAGTTTCGGAACATTTGGGGCAGTAACCAAGTTTTGCGGCTCTCTTCGTAGACTTGCCACATTTGCAGTGATGAACACTGGGGTAGGGTGGCATGGTAAATGAGATTGAATGTTGGTAACTGCGATGTGACTTGGCGTGAGGGTGTTAAAGAAAAATGGCTCAGTAAGACAGAAGAGTGGAGAGTACAGTCCCAGCAGTGGCTTTATTTAAAGGGATAGCAACAATGGGATACTGATCGAAACTTGTGATAAGTACGCCACTAAGTGTGGGGCAGCAACGGTACCTGATCTAGTGAGCTCCAGAAATATGTCGCAGAATCACAGAAAAGTCGGTACTTCAGTGCTCACCTGGTCCTCCGAGATATTATTGAAATCTGCGTCAGCTGTCACGAAGATCAAATTACACCCTAGTCCCAAAGACGTTAGCCGCAACACGGCGCAGAGCATATCGCATTATCCAATTTCAAACCTAGGTCTAGATGGATTGGTCGCGAGTCTAGGTGGCTGTTGGCATACATATACCGTGTCACAACCGCGGCAGGTCGCGTCAATTTCACCTAGCCCGCCTACGCCCTCCATCATACGAAAACGTAGACATTCGACATCGTCCATGCTGCACGAGATTGGATTTGAAAGAGGTGATGTTAGAAGGTGTGGGAAACTTGCCCGGGGAACTAATAGTAATATTATGTAACGACAACTTGAAGTATGCGCCTTTCCCAGCTCAGCCTCAAGCTCAAAGAGTCAGGCCTAGTCAGGCCCAAGGACTTAGGGTCTAGTGCTCGAGCATCCTGTTATTCGACTTTTACACGCATAAAATCTTGTTGATATCGCCTTGAGACTCAGTATTAGACTATACTGCTGCAATTTTTTAGCGCCGACACACGAATTTCCACCGTACACTTCAGCTAAGGTAGTACATCCCTTGGTGTCCTCGCAGAGGAGGTGTCGATGGTTCACTTCTGCCCACACGCAACCGATTGTCGACCTCCAACAAACCATTATCGGACGTTGTTCCTAGAGGCTGACCCTGCGATCCCCCAGGAATGGCTATTCTTGAAATGATCCATAGTAGCGTTGACCTGTACTTTTGGGTCACCGAAGGAACTACGGTCGAAACGGTCAAGGGTGGAATGCAGGTACCAGTATTTTTTTCTTTTCGTGTGGGACCACTCTATAGCTGATGTTTACTTGACGGGCGCATAGCTACTATCATCGAAAGTACCCCACCAACATCGGGCTTGAACTAAGGGGTATAGTGCAGGGGGAATTCATTCAGGGACTCCGTTTACCAGACTTTCATTTGGCATGTCATCGGTTCATCAACTAACCCGTGCACGCACTCACAGTCGGCTGAAAAATTGAAGCGCTGGACTTGGCCCTGAGCGGTGAACATGTGGGCTGGCCGAGGAACGAGGGAGGGCCGACTCTGCTCACTGTTGGGCCATGATATATGATATTCCACTGGTAGTTGCAATAATTACTTGGCATTGTGCATATGAAATACCTATGTCACGAAAGAGATGGCTCAGGGTCCCATGCTTGCTTGGCGGCATCAGGAAGGAACCCCCTTGCTGCATTCATGCATAACGATCTCAGTATTGGCAAGCGGGTGCAAATACCATAGAGCATGAGGGGATTGACAAACGCTCAACTCTAGCATCTGTAGTGACAGTCCTGAGGACCTCCGGATCGCATACGCTCACAACAACCAAATTCAAGTCTGAGTGAGTTGCATCAATGATTCAAGCGTAATTGGAAGGTGTGAGTCGGCTCCTACTATCTAAGCACTCAAGCAAAAGACGAGTCAAGTACACAAGAACTTGAGTGCCATGGTGAAACATGCTAGTCGACAAAAACACAACAGTATACGAAAACAAAATAGCAGATAAACATGTGAATATGTACCAGACGACAGTAATAATACGACGTAGAACTACACACCAATATGAACAAAAACCATCCTCTGCTCGAGCGGAACTTTCGTCTTCACCGCGTGTGTAGCACAGTTGAGTGCCCAGGCCGCCCTCGTGCAGTCCATGACACCACCTTTCGTCAAATCTCCAAACATATACCCGTAAAAAGCTTCGACGACGTGTTTTGCGACAGAGTCGTCGACCTCCCATAGTGTGCCAACGACGCTCTTGAACCCTGAAAACTGAATACCAGCTGCGAGGTGGATCACTTCATCGAGCGTCTCCTCATCGCCTACAGCGGTGTGACAAGCCGATAAGAACGCGAACTCGGCCTGCGGAATATGTCTCTCCATGATATCGAGCAGCGTCAGATGTTCATCTTTCATGACGAAATGCGAATCGTAAGGCTGCGTGGGGTCCTGCTTACCATGACAAGCAAGGTGCACCCAGGTGTTCTGCTGCAAGGCTTCGAGTGCACCTGCTCGTGTGGCTGCATCGCCAGATATAGTGGTGCGGTTGGACGTCGCGGGAACAAGCTTATGCACAAGCTCGAGCTCGTTGTCGACGGCCAACAGCGCCTTGCCTTTCCCTGCACCCGGTTGACCCTGTCCGATCGCCACAAAGGACGGAGGCACGCGCTTCTTCATCAACTGTCTGGATCTGATCAGAGCCGAAAGTGTCGGCGTGTAAGAGCAGATGTAGAGATCCTCCAGGCATGGCTCCTTCCCAGAACGATCCGGCTTTGTTTGGAACGGGTGAGCTGCATGGAGAGGAATGGACGTGAAAGCTGCAGTGGGACACAGCCAGATTCGAGAGCGACGCTGTAGTTTGAGGACGTGCTCGAGTACGTCGACGATGGGTAGCATGATCTGGTCCCATATTATCCGCAAGAGCACTATGAGATCCGTCCTCGACTCCCCTGGATTCATCCGAGATGAATCTCGTATTGCCCTGGTGAAGCGATCCTTGAGAATCTTCAGATCTGCGAGAGCGATGGACGGCAAAGGAACATGATGGGGGTCTCCTGACGTCGGGACGATGATGGCGCTGCATGAGTATTGACTGGCAACGAGGATGATGACTGGGCCCTGGCGCGCTGCGGCTTGGAGGTCTTCATATGAAGGTGGAAGCAGGAACCGCGTGAACGCCGGAAGATCGCGTATCTCAGCTACAGCTGCTTCCCATTGCCTTGTAAGTCTCCTATACTCTGTTGCTGCTCGATCAGCAGCAGCTCTGTCTGTGATGGTTGCAGAACTCTGGGCTGCATTGGAAACACGCTTGCTCAGCTGCAAATAACTGCACGCCAGTTTCGGATTTGCTGACTCGAGGTCTTCGACTGGAGTCCTGAGTCGAGATGCCAGCGACCACTGCTGGCCACGGCCCTGCTCCACAAGTTCAACTGCCCGCCGTAGATTATCACGACGTATAGCACATGAGGCTGCATCTACAGGTAGTGATCTGGAGAAGGCAGCGGCAGCTTCGCGTCGTGAAATTGTCGATGATCGCGTTGCCAGATGACCGTCAAGAAGGTCGAAACACGTGCTGTATGCCTCTAATGCGGACAAATCACCATGCTGCTCCGCGGCAATGGTCCAATTGCATGCTGTCTTAATACGTTCCGGAAAGCCTTGAGTAGGGTGCCCTGATGCAAGTCTGAAGTTCTGTATAGCCAGCGACAAATCAGCAGGGCCACGTAGAATTTGGTAACGAGCCAAATAGGCTTCTTGCAGCCACATGTAGCTGAAACACCTGTCCGGGTGTAATGAAGGCAGAATGATTGTTGGCAAAGAGTAATGGCCTCCTCGACATCTTCATTCTGTTGAGTTTGCGTGAAACGAGAGCAGAGCACCGAGCTCAAACCTAAAATAGTTGCGGGGCGCTCTGGATGGTCAAGCTGCTTTAACCGAAGGGATTCCCGATACAAATCAATGGCCTCGTTAAGATCCTCGCTAACATGCGATTTATCATGTCTGACTTTGAGCGCAAGGGCAAGGTTGTTAAGTGTGGCGTCACGATGTGGATGCCCAGGTGGCTGCAACGTCAGTGCCTCGCGTTTTAGGCCAATGGCTCGGGTGATGTCATCAATGTCGCCGCGTTGGTTGAAACGAACGACGAGGGCGATCCCTAGTTTGTTCAATGAGCGATCACGATATTTGTGCCCAACAGGGCGCAGACGCAGCGCCTCTTCATGCAAAGAGATGGCATCATCCAGGTCATTAGGTTTGCTTTGGTGTTGGAAGCGCAACGTGAGTGTAACGGCCAAGTTGTACAAGTAGGTATCACGGTCAGCATGTCCCTCGGGGATCAGAGACAGGGCTTCACGATGAAGTTGTATGCTCGTGTCAAGATCATCGATGCTGCCGTGCTGATCAAAACGTCCTTTAACTGCGCATGCAAGCATGTTGAGGGCTCTGTGACGGAGTTGATGGCCCAGAGGACAGAGCTCGAGGACGACTCGTCGAAGGTGGATGCCTTCATCGGATGCGTCTATTGGAATATCGCTGCATCCGCTGATCACATAATCAACACCATTCCCTGCCGCGATGCTACGAAGGTAGGTGGCCTCTGGACAAAGAGGCAGTAGTTCATGATGGAGTTGGGCGGCTTCGCGGATGTCGGCAGCAGTATTTTTCTTGTAGTGGCGCCAAGTCAGCGCTCGGGCGAGATTGAATAGAGATAATGGATGATCGGGATGGGGCTGCGGACGCAATGCAAGGGCGTCACGGAAGAGGGAAGTAATGGCATCGATGTCTTCAACATCATTTCGGACGTAGCCTAAGAGGCGGGCACACGCGAGGTTTGTGAGAGCCGTTGCATGATCTGAATGGCTGACCGGACACTGGTCCAGAACCGACTGAAATTTGTCTACAGCACGTTTCAGGTGAGAGACTGTCTTGCGTCTCACATATTTGACAATTTGTGCATGGCCCGCATCTGTGTCTCGCGCAATCTTGCAGTCTACGAGGGACTGCAATTTGCGTTCTGTCAGCAAAAGCTAATGGATAGATACCAGCGTCGCTCACATCAAACAGTGCATCGTCCTGATAGTTGCAAGCGTGTACAATGGTGGCCTTCAGCTTCAGGGAAGGGTGGACACCGTGCACGGGTGGGAGGGATATATCTACAGGACGTTAGTGTATGTGGATGAACGAGAAGCGAATCACTCACCGAATGGCTCATGTCGATGACTGAGTAGCTCATTCCATGGCATTCTAAGTCTTCCAACGATCTCACCACTGCCAAACATTCGACCAAGCTCAAAGGACGCCCTGATCTCCACTGACAACGCAGGTGAGGAGTGCGATAATCTATGAGCCGATGATCAGTTCTCGCATCGCGTCAGATAGTCTCCAAGGACTTCACAGAGTGACAGAATTCCCCCACACTACAGATTCATCAGGCGATACGAAACTGATGGCTGATTTCCAGCGTCTCCGAGAGTCGACATTGACGGATATGTGGATACCAGCGGGAATGCGCCCAGAAGGGACTTGAAAATTCTTTCCACTGATAACTGTAGATCGAGTGTGAGGATGATAATTGATACGACGGTAGTTCAGAGGGACTCGCCATCAAGTCTAATATATCGGCCTTCTGAGCTACCAGGCATGACGGTGTGATGGAGCAAATTGATGAGGATTGAAGATGGGCTGAGTGGTGTGGACGGTATCAGTGAGAAAGTAAGACGAGGGTAAGGATATGGTATGTGGATAGAGTTCAGCTGAGAGGGAGGTTGAGGGTTCGGGTCATGCTACGCGTCTATTTCCATATTGTCGAAGGCTGTTCAGCACGATATAGACGCTGGTATGATTGCACTAAGCGCTGGGAATGGAGATCACCAGGATTAGCGGAAGAATCTAAAGTAGACAATGTCATGACCAGTCTTCAGCGAAAGTGGCCAGCCAAGGTCGAGCGAGTCTCAGAGTGATTGGACTTGTATCATAGTACTCGTCAGCACACCAAGGCGAGATGTAGAATCGAGTGTATTTTGTATGGTAATGCGAACAATGTTAAAACCACTGAAGACGGCACGCTGAGAACCGAATGATTCGTCTGATTGAGCTGATAGCGGGTGGGAAAATGATCTTGTGTGGACAGAGGAATTAAAAAAGATTGTCAACTTGGATACAACCAATTGTATGCTTACTCGGTGAAGGACGTGATCGCTGCCAGATTCACCCACTGCCGAGCTCTGATATCAAGTACTGTGGGAGAGAAATACATCATTGGCACCGGATGAACAGGCCAGCAGATCGTGTAGGGAAGCCTTGACACGCGCACGGACGTCGACTCGATCACGGATCCTTGAGGTGGCCACCTATCCACATCATCCTCGGACAAGGTTAGCAACACGTCCTGCCAAGGAATTCAATTTTCTATTTCAGTACAACTCCCGTGACCGTGTTGCTCATGTGATGCTATTGCCACCGATATCAACGGTTTTGAAACACTTACATCACTTCATCTTGGCTCTCCTGGACGCTGCACCTCGTAGAATTCTTGAAAGCAAGGGGCACTTTTACTGTCTCTTTTTGCATTCTGAATCTTTTCCAAGCTTGTCTCAGTTGGTTTTGCGTAACAAAATCACATTGCTGACCACCTTTGCAGCGTGTGTATATTAGGTGTGTGGCGACTTGAAGCTCGACTTGTTTGCTCATTCTAACTGTTGTTCCAGGTCTCAATATTCAATCACGTTCCTCGTCGCTCATAACATCGTCCATCGCATTTTGCTATCACTTCTGACATGCCCTGGCAATCCCTTGCCGGTGTTTCCACTTTGTTGCCCGTCCTTTCAGCAGTTTATATTGTTTCTACTATGAAATACACGTCTCACCTTACTATGTGCCAAGTGGATGGTACGACTCAGCGATAAAAGTACAGGAGTAGCAAGCCTTACAGGATGCGCATGTTCCTTTTAGACTTGGCGTGCTACTTTCGCTGATGACTGATCTTGACGTTGCTAACTTCTTTTAGCATGTACAGACTCTGCCGCTAACATTCTCAAGTCGACTATCATTCTCAGCGCTGTGTATGATCACACGTATATCGTGCCAAACATACAAATGCCATGGAAATACATGCACGACAAGACCTGGTCCACCCACCTCTTCTCCTACCCCCGTCTTTTCATACTCCCCACTCATCACTGCACCTACCGCTAGGCACATACTTTCCGCTGATCTTCAAATCAACCTTGGTTTCCAGGAATGGATTGCATTCCAGGGTTTGAATTGCGATGAACCTTCTTGTGATCGATATGCGTGGAGCAAGCTGGTCAAGGACCAACACACTATGGTACGGGCCATAGTAACTCTGGGGTGTTGTCTCGCAAACTAACGCGTTTGTTGCAGGATCTCATGCAATCCATATTGGATACTCTCCTGACAGTCCACAGCCAGCGAACGTTCTGGAAGGCATGGTGCGTTTTGAAGCGACACTTCTGCATCACTCTCGTTTACCTTTACCTAGGAACGGGGCAAAAGACGGTTACTCTGCAACATGATCAAGCGCCCGATGCTTGACGTTTGGGCGAATGACATCCCATACCTTACCGATGTGCAACCTTGGGCCGCCAAACTAGCATTGGTGAGTACCATCCGCAGCATCTCTGACGGTGGCTGAGCGCTGAGCTTGTGATCGAGTGGAATGCGTTGGTGGTTGTAGACCGTGGGGATGTAAGTATCATCTTTCAAAGCGTCCATTATATTCCTTAGACACCTAGCACAGTATTTTATGCCAATAGCGTAGTCTAGTAGCCGAATGGTGCATGAAAAAAAATAACTCACCCATATTTTGAACAACGTAGAGCAAAATAGGTTCGGAGCGGTATTGGGGAGTTGGGAGCTCATGCGCCGTTACGATTCAGTACACGAAGGCCAAAAGGAAGTCGGACTCAGGCAGGGATACTGTCTTCGATTTGAGGGAGCGCGAAACAATGTTAACTACACATTCAGCGTATTCAAATCCCAGATCCTGTGTCTACGCATAGCCTCAGGACGGAGAGCCACCATAAACCACCCTCTAACATCTTCTCCTTCGAAGTTCCAGACTGGTTTCAAAAAAATATATTCTGTATGTCCTGTAGGCAGGTATATTAATGTAGAATCAACGATAGTGATGTTTGTGTTGAACATACCAATTCCTCCTTACTCCTTACTCTCGATGGCCTCCCTGACATACTTGCAAGCGGAACATGACCCTGACTGGTATTTCACCCACGTGTCGTGGGTGATATTCTGTGTCACGCCTCCCTTCGTAGTAGCTGTACCTCTTCCCTCGCAAGTTTCGGAACATTTGGGGCAGTAACCAATTCTCGCGGCTCTCTTCGTCGAATTGCCGCATTGGCAGTGATGCAAGCAGGGGAAGGGCGGCATGGTATATGTGATTGAGTGACTGCGATGTGACTTCGCGCGAGGGTGTTATAGAAAAATGGCTCAGTGAAACGGAACAGTGCCAGAGAGATGTAGTACAGTCCTAGCAGTGGCTGTATTTAAAGGGGTAGCGGCATTAATTGCGTTGTATGAACCGTGGAAGGTGAGCAAACTTCTCGCATCATTCCTATCAAAAATGTCTCACTGTTGTCGTCGCAGAAAAATGTCGCCGAGAGGGCAGGCCCTGTCCTGCCGCGCATTACTCCCACTGTCACTGTGTTGCCACCGGACGCATGTTTTCTAGTAGCAATCACGTACTTTTCGATGCGCCTGGAACATCAGTAACTTGAAGCCCGATCATTCGGATCAGGTACCTAAAATCCGAGGTGGCCCGGAGGACCAGGGGGGAACAAGGAACTTGTGATGATAAATACACCACTAAGGGGCAGCAACATTAATAAGACTTGATTCATGCATCATATCAGGGACCAGGGGACTTGTGATAAGTACCAGCAAGAGGCGTGCAATGAATCTCAGGGAACTCTGATGATTCCGAACTGTTGTATGTGATCTAAGTAAGAATTGGCCGGGGACCCGTCGACTTGTTGATGTGTTGTTTGGTTGCTTACAGAATTTTAACTCCTCCTTGGCACTTGGCTCTTGGCTTGTCGGCCTCAAACGGAAATTATCGTTAGTCCAATACACATGCATGTAGTATGATTATACGAAGTACCAATACACTTGATGAATCGCTCAGATACCTAATCTTTGGGGAACAACATTCATCTGCATTATTTCTACCGTCCTGACGTTCATCAGGTCTCGATCAGTGGATGGGAGCTCTGGATAGTCGACTTTGCCAACTTTGGCATCGATGGGTGGGAGACCATGTTGGTCTGTTTTATTTTTCCGCGCGCACTTATGGCTCATATTCACCCTTCAGACTACAAGTCAATTATCTGGCAACATCATTGCTGTCATTGCTCCTCATTCCGCGACCAGTTGCTGCGGGGAGAAAGTCTTCAACACCTTCACGGATGGTAATTGTGTCCAGTGATGCCCTCTACTGGATTACACCTGCAAAAGAGATCGAGACTTCCTCGAAACCACCTGAAACGCTGAGCAGCGAAGAGTGGTGCATCCCCAAGTAAGAAAACAAATCAAAATTCACCTTCAAATGAAATTTTCTTACTCGATATCTCTTAGGCACAAATCCCGGTATCAAGAGTCAAAGCGTATGTGCCTCCTACGCTCTCTACCCACTTCAATCTGACAAATTCAACCAGTGTTCAACTTCTTTGTTCATGCCTCGACGAACAGGTTGCAATCCGTCACACCACTCACTGCCGTAGCCGTGACCCCAGGATTCTGTTATTCACAACTACGTCGTGCCTGATACGAGAAACCGACCTTTTCATTTGTCAAAATAGCGCTTGCCATTCAGGAGCGTCTCCTGGCTTGGACGGCTGAACAAGGCAGCCGTCAGCTTGTATTTGCTGCGGTGGGCGGACGAGACGATGAAGAGAATATGAAAGGCGGATTCGTAAGCCATGGTCGCCTTGTGCAGGTCGCCGATTTTGAGCGACGAGGGTCATGAAATGCAGGACACTGTTTGGGTAGGAGTTCAAGTCTGCCTTTCGTCAATGACTGACCTTTCTAACTTTTTCCATCAGAAGGAGACGATAGAGATTCTGACCTACGTCTCTGACAAGATTGGTCCGACAGTCCAGGATTACATAGTAGTAGTACCTGACTCGTCCATAAATTGACATGTTTATGTGATTTGTCTGCAGAATAGTGCGCCTTTCGATATATTGTTCTTTGTACTTGTCGACTCGGGCGAACGTGTCTCCTTAATGCCAGAAACAGTACATCTACAGTTCTGGTATTGTCAATTGGTAGTTCAAGTCTGTTCAGGCAACCCAATCCCGGGGTGAGTTTCAGCCCATTCGAGACGTTCGTTCACCCAGGTCTCACGGTCATTAGAAGCCCAAACGCTGACCTGGAAGCACAACAGGTCTGTAAGCCGACGGAAAGGACGACCCATGTCATACGCCTCTCTCCACTCTGGATATCGGGCAGACCCTTCCATTGCTGAAAGAAAAGCAGCACGCAAAACATTTCTTTCTTCGCTGGTTCCGCCTTCGTAACTGGATTCTGGGTCATCCGCATCTTGAAGCCATCGTGGGATCACTGCGCATTCCCATACAGGCGCGATGGTAGCTGCTTCAAAGTCGATAAAGCCAGTCACTCGACCTGAATCGGTATCGATCTACCACACGCATGTGCGTTGAAGATAAGCATCATGAGGGTCATGCAACGACGTACCATGACATTTGATAAACGGAAGTCGTCCAACTTTAAGGAGAATGGTCTTCGTGGAGTGGTGACATTGGCAGGTACCGACGTATCACCGGGATAAACAGAGCATAGATTAATAGCCTTTCTCATAACACGCTCCCCGAGTTCGAGTTGCCTCTCTGCCGACTCAGTAGGGTCGCATTCGTGAAGCTCCGAAAGAACGACCGAACGGTGATTGGAGATAAAATCGAGTTCTGCTCGTAGATTGCTTGAAAGATATTCAGTTACGGTAGAAAAAGGACCTCTGTTGGGATCGCCGTTTTTTGAGATGGGCGCGTCAGGAACTCGGACAACGCCATCGAGAGCACGGTAGAACGGCGTGCTGATTATTGGTCCGACGAGGAATTGAGGTGAAAGAGAGCTCAAGTAGAGAGATCCTGCGCTTTCGAATCGAAGAGAGAATATCTCCAAGAAATAGCGTGCAACCTGCGACACCACGGTCTTCTTCACCTCTTCGGAGAGATCCCCCCAGCTATGGCTAGCAGGGGTCCCTTTAATCTTGAGTTTGCGATGTATGAGTGAAACATCCCACACGGGACACATTAAATTTGGCAACTTACTTTATCCAAGATCATGTATTCCGCTCCAACAGGATTCGATGCGTCAGAGTTCCATGCATGGATTCGTGGAACAGGTATATTTGTGAACGCAGCGATCATCTTGCACGTCGCAACCTTTTGAAAGAACATAGAGTTTTTATACCAATGCGAATAACATACAACGTGTATTCATAGCTACCTCCGATTCAAGCTTGTCCTTTGGGAACGCAGGAGAGGCCACTCGAACGACAGCATCAAGAGGAGCACCATCCGATCGCAATATATCATATACCTATAAAAATATCAAACATAAACTGTGCGATGTAATTCCAGACGGACCTTGTGATAACCTCCTTCAGCCAGTTTCTCCAGCTTGCAGCTTGTCAAGAAATGAAGATCAACGACCGATTGCAATTCGGCAAGGCTAAAGGAATCGGGTTGGCCGTCTCCATCGTACGAAAATGTAGACATTCGATCATCATCGACGTCGCCCATATGTGCTGCAAGAGATTAGGTTTGAAAGAGTTCGTCGTGAATCGTGATCACTAGCACTGGTACTAATGGCGTAGAATGTCAGAATGTGTGTGAAACTTTGCCACTGTACGGACAACGAGGACCTCGGATCGATCATCGCATACGCTCACAAGTGGAACATCTCCGAGTCTGTCCTCGATCGTCGTCAATGCATATGCATCCTCGATGCTGGCCCATGTCCTTAACAATTTATTCCATGTCACTGGCTCATCGATGCCTTTCCCGTATATATGACGAGTTCACATTCAGCACGATTCACAACGCTTCCTCATTGCTTCCTCAGCACCTTTCACTTAGCTCATCCTCACTGAGCGTCTCATCATTGGTGGCTTGGCGGGCCGATCTCTCTGACTTGAAGGTGTGTTGCTCCACATATGACCTTGTCATGTGTTTGCTGAAATCCAATAACACGAATTCATTAGCGCGAAAATTAATCAAGTCCTCCTGCACCGCAAGCGCATCTATGTTTATCAAACTCGGCTCAAGAAGACGATGGAAATTTGCCATTCGAGTTTCGTCTTCAGGTATACCTCATGTTGCACTCCAATGCCACAGGGCGACTCACATGACTGAAGGGGCAGGTCACTGACATTCTTTCTGCGACCAACAACTGTTTATTACTGCTTCTCATCGAGAATGTTCGTATAGTGGCAACAACCTGTTGGCGAGAGCAGTAGAAGATGGTCAAAGAGTTCACAAGCGACACCCCACCCAAACGCAACGTGGAAATCGAAGTTTATCCTTCACCTATGTTTATCCCGTGCATCCAACGTCTAACGTCTACCTTTTTTTTTTTTAAAAAAATCAATTTTATTGTCCTTCGGGGTCGAAGACCCTATGTAGGGCATAGCCCTGTTCGCGGGGGGCTTACTCCCGCTTGATCTAACGTATGTAACGTCTACCTTAAAGCGTTGAATGTCGCCTAGCCCGTATGTCACCATCTAGTTTCGTCATCCACGATATACTGCATTGATGCAAAAGACAGATATCGAGCGTTACTGAAAGAGTTATCCCGGACGACATGACAAGGATAACGAGTAGCAGAGCACATGAACACGAGGATTCCCTTTCACATTGGCTTTGGAGGACGTGGCCACTGACTGCGGAGCTCTTTGATTCGTCTATTACAGGAAAAATTCGCTACTTCGTTATAACGTTAACGGGAGGTAGGTTTCAGGATGAGTAGAGGAGGTGCCGAGCACTTCACAAGTATGCGTACGTTTTGGATCATCAGTGCCTACCATAGGAAATGAATATCGAATACTGGCTATATCTTGCCTGAAATCGTCGCGTCGAAGTAGGCCTGAGAATGAATGACACGACACGACACAATACTAAGTGCATGCTTCATGGGAAAATTGGCTCTAATTTTGGAGCTAATGCAAGCAGTACGCATACAGGCCACAAGTCGAAGCAACCAGCCGGGATTTGCTGATGACTTGACTCGGTTTCTAACTGACATTGATTGCATTGGTGTGGTGGTTAGTTGAGGTTCGATGAGGCAGAAGGGATGAAGCTTGAAGGCGCGGGTAGGCTTGACTGGCCTAACTCCCACTACCGTTGTCTAAGTACCTAAGTAACAGACGAAGTTGCAAATGATTCGAGTACACAAGAACTTTGATGAACATTCTAGTCGAAAAAAAAACGGCAGAGTATGCGAAAACAAGATAGCTAGAGTGCAAGAACATGTATCAGTGTCATTTGAAATCGTACGACAGAATGAAAGAGGATCGCAGATCAACAACATGAGAACATATACCAGACGACAGCAATACGACGTAGAACTACACACCAATATGAACAAAAACCATCCTCTGCTCGAGCGGAACTTTCGTCTTCACCGCGTGCGTAGCACAGTTGAGTGCCCAGGCTGCCCTCGTACAGTCCATGACACCACCGTGACCATCCTTCAAATCTCCAAACATATACTTGTAGAAAGCTTCGACTACGTGTTTTGCGACAGCATCGTCGACCTCCCACAGCGTGCCAACGACGCTCTTGAACCCTGAAAACTGAATACCAGCTGCGAGGTGAATCACTTCGTCGGGCGTCTCCTCATCGCCTACAGCGGTATGACAAGCCGATAAGAACGCGAACTCGGCCTGCGGAAGATGTTTCTCCATGATATCGAGCAGCGTCAGATGTTCGTCTCTCATGACGAAATGCGAATCGTAAGGCTGTTTAGGGTCCTGCTTGCCATGACAAGCAAGGTGCACCCAGGTGTTCTGTTGCAAGGCTGAGAGTGCACCTGCTCGTGTGGCTACGTCGCCAGAAATAGTGGTGCGGTTGGCTGTCGCAGGGACGAGCTTATGGACAAGCTCAAGTTCGCTGTCGACAGCCAACAGCGCCTTGCCTTTCCCTGCACCCGGTTGACCCTGTCCGATCGCTACAAAGGACGGAGGCACGCGCTTCTTCATCATCTGTCTAGATCTGATCAAAGCCGAAAGTGTCGGCGTGTAAGAGCAGATGTAGAGATCCTCCAGGCATGGCTCCTTCCCAGAACGATCCGGCTTTGTTTGAAACGGGTGAGCTGCATGGAGAGGAATGGACGTGAAAGCTGCAGTGGGACACAGCCAGATTCGAGAGCGGCGCTGTAGTTTGAGGACGTGCTCGAGTACGTCGACGATGGGCAGCATGATCTGGTCCCATATTATCCGCAAGAGCACTATGAGATCCGTCCTCGACTCCCGTGGGTTCATCTGAGATGAATCTCGTATTGCCCTGGTGAAGCGATCCTTGAGAATATTGAGATCTGCGAGAGCGATGGACGGTAAAGGAACATGATGGGGGTCTCCTGACGTCGGGACGATGATGGCGCTGCAAGAGTATTGACTCGCAATGAGGATGATGACCGGTCCCTGGCGCGCTGCTGCTTGGAGGTCTTCATACGAAGGTGGAAGCAGGAACCGCGAGAACGCTGAAAGATCGCGTATCTCAGCTACCACTGCTTCCCATTGCCTTGTAAGTCTCCTATACTCTGTTGCTGCTCGATCAGCAGCAGCTCTGTCAGTGACGATTGCAGAACTCTGGGCTGCATTGGAAACGAGTTTGCTCAGCTGCAAATAATTGTGCGCCAGTGTGGGATTTGCTGACTCGAGGTCTTCAACTGGAGTTCTGAGTCGAGATGCCAGCGACCATTGCTGGCCACGACCCTGCTCCACAAGTTCAACTGCTTGTCGTAGATTGTCACGACGTATGGCACATGAGGCTGCATCTACAGGCAGTGATCTGGCATAATAGAAGGCGGTGGCAGCTTCGCGTCGTGAAATTGTCGATGATCGCGTGGCCAAGTGACCGTCAAAAAGGTTGAAAAATGTTGTGTAGGCCTCCAGTCCAGATGCATGGTTGTACTCCTCCGCTGCAGCAACCCAGTGCAAAACTACCTCAATACGTTGCGGAAAGCCTTGTGTTGCATGTCCTGATGCTAGTCTGAAGTTCTCTACAGCGAGTGACAAATCAGCAGAGTCGTGTAGAATCCGGTAACGAGATTGATAAGCCATCTGCAGCCACCAGTAGCTGAATGTTCTGTCTGGGTGCAGTGAAGACAGAGCCGCCAATGATTGTTGGCAAAGAGTAATGGCCTCCTCGACATCTTCATTCTTCCGAGTTTGCGCGAAACGAGAGCAGAGCGCCGAGCTCAGATTGAAAAGATTTCTATGGCGCTCTGGATCGTCAAGCTGCCTTAACGGAAGAGATTCGCGATACAAATCAATGGCCTCGTTAAGATCCTCGCTAACATGCGATTTGTTACATCTGGTTTGGAGCGCGAGGGCAAGGTTGTTAAGTGTGGTTTCACGACGTGGATGCCCAGGTGGACGCAACGTCAGTGACTCGCGATAGAGGCTGATAGCTCGGGTGATGTTATCAATGTCGCTGCGTTTGTTGAAACAAGCCGTGAGGGCGAGCCCTAGGTTGTCCAATGAGTAATCACGTAATTTGTGCCCAACGGGGCGCAGGCGCAGCGCCTCTCCGTGCAAAGATATGGCCTCATCGAGGTCATTAGGTTTGCCTTGGTCATTGAAGCGCGACATGAGTGACAAGGCCAAGTTGTTCAGGTAGGTATCACGGTCAGCACGTCCCTCGGGGATCAGAGACACTGCTTCACGACCGAGTTGTATGCTCGTGTCAAGATCATCGATGCTGCCGTGCTGATCAAAGCGTGTTTGAAGTGCTTGTGCAAGCTCGTTGAGGGCTTTGGGACGGAGTCGATGGCCCAGACAGAGCTCGAGGACGACTCTTCGAAGATGGATGCCTTCATCAGATGCGTCTTTTGGAAGATTATGGCATCCGGTGATCACATAATCGACACCATTCCCCGCTGCGATGCTACGAAGGTACGTGCCCTCTGGACAGAGAGGCAGTAGCTCATGATAGAGTTGGGCGGCTTCGCATATGTCTGCAGCAGTACTTGTCTTGGAGTGACGCCAATTCAGCGCTCGGGTGAGATTGTATAGAGATAAGGGATGATCGGGATGGGGCTGCGGACGCAATGCAAGGGCGTCGCGGAAGAGGGAAATGGTGCCATCGATGTCTTCAACATCATTTCGGATGTAGCCCAAGAGGCGGGCGCACGCGAGGTTGGTGAAAGCCGTGGCATGATCTGGATGGCTGACCGGACACTGATCCAGAACCAACTGAAAATGCTCTACAGCGTCGTTCAGGTGAGAGACGTTCTCGCTCGTCACGTATGCGGCCAATTGTGCGTGGCCCGCATCTGTGTCTCGAGCAATCTTGCAGTCTACGAGGGACTACAGTTTGCGTTCTGTCAGCAAAAGTTAATAGAACAGATACCAGCGTCACTCACATCAAACAGTGCGTCGTCCTGATCGTCGCAAGCATGTACAATGGCAGCCTTCAGCTTAAGGGAAGGGTGAACACCGAGGACGGGCGGGAAGAATATATCTACAAGACGTTGGTGTATGTGCATGAATGAGAAGCGAATCACTCACCAAATGGCTCATTCCCATGATCGAGTAGTTCATCCCACGACATCTGAAGTTCGCCGATGACCTCTCCATCACCTAGCATTCGACCAAGCTCAAAGGACGCCCTGATCTCCACTGACAACGCAGGTGAGGAGTCTGATGATCTATGAACCGATGATCAGTTCTCGCATCGCGTCAGAAAGTCTCCATGGACTTTACAGAGTTACAGAATTCCCCCACACTACAGATTCATCAGACGATAAGACACTGGTAGCTGATTTCCAGCGCCTCCTGGAGTCGACATTGATGAATATGTAGATGCCAGCGGGAATGCGCTCGAAAGGAACTCGAATATTCTTTCCGTTGATAACTGTAGATAGAGTGTGAGGATGATAAAACAGATGCGAAGGCAATATGGAAGAACTCGCCTTCAAGTCTGATATATCGACTTTTTGAGCTACTGGGCCTCATGGTGCGATGGAGTATAATGACGAGGATTGAGGACAGGCTGACTATGGACAGAGTCAGTGAGAAGGCAAGACGGGGGTAAGGATATGACATGTGGATTGAGAGGGAGGGCGAGGGTGAGGGTCATGCTACACGTGTATTTATATATTGTCGAGGGCTGTTCGGCACGATATAGATGCTGGTATGATTGCACTAAGCGCTGGGAATGGAGATCACCGACCAGGATTAGCGGATGAATCTAAGGTAGACAATGTCATGAACAGTCTTCAGCGAAAGAGGTCGAGTGAGTCTCAGAGTGATTGGACTTGTATCATACTACTCGTCAGCACACCAAGGCGAGATGTAGAATCGAGTGTATTTTGTATGGCAATGCGAACAATGTTAAAACCACTGAAGACGCCACGCTAACAAGAACCGAATGATTCTATGCGACTTGTCCGATTGAGCTTATAGCGGGTGGGAAGATGATGTTGCCTGAACAGAGGAATGAGAAAAGAATGTCAACTTGAAAGTGAGGATGCAACTGTACATGCTTATTCGGTGAAGGACGATTGATGAATATTAATGTTCAGGAAACTGTGATCGCTGCTGGGTTTACCCAAGTACAGCTGCCGAGAGATATCAAGGGAAGGTGATGGGAATATACTCACAGTGGGACAGATGGGCTGCTCATGCGACGCTACTGCCACCGACATCAACGACACGTTTAAAACACTTACTACGAGGACGTTCCTGAAATGGCCGGTCTTGGTATAAGTCTATGTAGACTTCAAGTCTATGACGGTCTGGGTACAAGTCTTGGTACAGGTGGCGATGCTCTGACGGAGTTTGAAGACGCCGGCACTAAGTACTAAGGCTCCGTGAAAAACTACCCACGGTGTTTTTGACGAGTTTTTAACTCACCTTCGAAGGGTTTTTGACACGCCCAAAAATGCGATTTTCCCAGTCATTTTGACATTTTTTATCTACTATAATGCAAAGGTCCACTGTACAGGCCCTCGCGAAGGCATTGGAACTGCGGTATCCTGTTGTTTAGGCGCCCTGTTTGCCCCCTTCCACCGGCTTCTCTGACAGTAAGTCCAACAATTGAGGAGCATCAAGATGAGCATCCTCGTCACCAGCAAGTACTCTCGTATCACAAGACCTGTACATTGGATCACGTTCGATCTCTGGGTCCTCGTTCTCTTCCAACCACCAAGGAACTTGTGATGCGGCATGCCACTAAGGGGCAGCAACATTAATAAGACTTGATTCATGCATCATATCAGGGACCAGGGTGGGGACTTGTGATAAGTATTAGCAAGAGGCGTGCAATGAATCTCAGGGAACTCTGATGCATTCCGAACTGGTATGCGGTATAAATATTTAAGCAAGATGACGCGTCACCGACCGACGTGTTGACGTGTTGTTTGGTTGCTTACATAATTTTAACTCTTCATGGTCATTGTACCTTCTTGGCACATTCAACTCACCTCAAGTTGAAACTATCGGTAGTCCAATACACGTGCATGTAGTATGATTATACGAAGTACCGATGGACTTTATAAATCGTTCAGATCCCTAATCTTTGTGGAACAACATACATCTACAGTATTTCTATCGTCCTGACGTTCATCAGGTCTCGATCAGAAGCCACATCCGCGACCTGTGCAATGATATCACGATCTGACGCGACCCTCTTGTATTCTCCGCCGTGCTGCCGCGCTAGCAAAAATGCGCCAAAAGGCTGGCCAAGGCGAACAAGTAACCGAAATGCTCGCAATTCTAAATCGTCCACCTCTTGTTTTACAAGAGAATGGCCAGGTGAGTTGTCTGACGGAGAAGAAGGCGGCGTCAAATATTCCCCTTCGCTTTCTGTATCGTCTTGCAAATCTGTAAAGTCTGGTAGTTCGAGGAGAGACCGATCCCAGGGACGGACAAGCACGAAGGTTTGCTGAGTGGGCTTTGTTTGTGAGAACTGAACAATCGGCTCTTTAGTGGTGATCAGCAGGTCATGGAGCCCATCTGCCTTGACTTCATATCGAGTCTCCTGGGATGAACCGTAGCTCAGATTGACTTCTGTAACACGAAATGCCATGCAAGGCAGGTGTAGTCTGCAGTTCGCGAAACGAGCAGCGCTCGTGTTATCAAGCCGTTCATAAAGTCCAGAAGCCAAATCCACAGCCACGGGATTTTTTCGCAGCGAAGAGATAGTTGTCTGAATCTGATCTTCGGACAAAGATGGAAGGGTGCATGGAGGAGTAGCGTAAGAGGTAATATGGGCTGGAAGACAGCTATTGAACTCAGAAGGTTGTCCGATCCAGTTTAGGACAGTGATGTCGCCCGACCGAGCCACAATCTCCTGCAGGAGTCGCCCAAGCGCGTTCTGCTTCTTCTCGCCGTAAATTACAGGTAGGTGGACACCGAAGATGCCAAACAATGAGTACGCGATGTCTTCTTGCAATGTAGTGATGCGAGATGAGGCCCATTGAAGTCTCTGTCGGGCATCGCTCATCCCCGGACGGAAAGTTACCAGGGCCCGTGCATCTATGCCCATCGCATCCTCCAACTCCTTCATGATTGCAGGGGACTCTTTGTGGTTAGGAGAACGATCGTCAAGATATAATGACCAATCTTTCTGATAAAAGATGACAACTTTCGGAGCGACGAATTCTTGAAAGGTCCATCCTCGCTTGTTCCAAACACTCCTTGCCAGTGCACCGCGCTGGGATAAAGGAGGGACATCACATAAGTAGACGATGGTGAGCGCTGAATGGCGGTACCAGACGAACATGGAGTTGACCGATTCTTGAAGCTCGGTATTGCTCTTCTTGTCAATACAGCAGGTGTCCATCCATGCCCAGCGATACCCAGCGTCACGAGCGACTTTGCAGAATGACTGTAACTTCGCGATACCGCCAAGTCCATTCAACTCGCGCAAATCTTTGTTCTGAATGTCGTCCAGCAGTACCTCCGCCTCTTCCCACCTATGTGATAGCAGGACGCAGCGGAAGTACGTCGCCACTACGTCTTTGATGCGCTCCATTCGGAGGTTTGAATCCTTTGTTGCAAATGAGACAAGATCGTTGTATTCTGGACTCATTTTGAAAGAGTTTATCTGTGCTGCTCGGTCACACAAAAGACCCGTAGAGGTGTTGAGGAGACGAAGGGGGGCATTTTCGAGTTCAATCCAAACCGCGCTTCGAATAGCGTCTTCTGCTTCGGATGGACAGACATACTGCTGACGTAGATCTGCAGAATGAATTAGGCATTTCAAGATCATAACGCAACGTTCCATGGCTTACTTCGTATCTGCGCTTCGGGAGCATCGTCCAACTTAGACAACATGATTGTGAATGCCTCGATGGCTTCGTCATAACGTTGCGCGCCACACAGCGCCGTATGTGCCAACTGGTGTCCAACGTGAGACGAAGGATTGAGTTTGGTGACCTATGCATTGTCAAAGTCAACACGGACTACGAAAACATAGTTGCCATCGCACCTTTTGCGCGTCGAGAAGCGCACCCTCCCATAGCATTTTCTCCGACCTCGCCTTGCTGCGATTTGCAAAGACGACATCGGATGCAGAATCCAGGTCGATCGCCGCCGAGTATAGGTCAATAGCCCCGTCGTACTTGCCTGCAGCGAGGGCAGCATCTCCGCCAGTAATACAGAGCGCGCTGCATTCTTCCGTGAAAACTGAGTGAAATACGGATGAGGATTGTAGCCTGCGCAACATTACAAACTCCACACTTGCCATCGGACCAGTCAAGGTAGTGGGCCTTGGTATTTTCGTCACTGGAAGCCATCATGTATCGGTATGATTTCACGGCATCTTGAAGTTTACCTGCCCGAAGGAGTGCATAACAATTTTTCTGGTGTGCAGTGCGCCACAACGATTTGAGATCCCAGCCGAAGAGCTGCACAAGGGATTTGGTTATGAAAAGTGTTTTGGACGTGTATCAACATACCACCACCAAATCCTCGTAAATGTCATGAATGTCCGATTCCGATGATAAAGCGTCGGAGTTGAGAGCAGCAGTGAAATGGTCAGCGGCTTCGTCATGGCGTGCATCATCCAAGGCTTTGAGCCCAAGTTGAACACATAGATATGCCTGATGCGCAAGTTAGTGTCGATGACGCAGCGTGACTGCATGATACTGACTTCCACGATATGACATGCGCGAGTATCGGCATTCGGACAACCAAAAACAAGTTCTTTAAGGAGTAGGTTTGCCTCATCATATTGATCTGCATTGAAGAAGGCGATGACCTGAAATACGCGATGAAGCGGACAGTATGTGAGGCAAATGTAACATACTTTGATCAAAAGCAGGAAATGAATGGTTTGTGGATTTTGATCCGTGTAAATTGATGCAACATCAAATGCTGCCCTCGCGTTCCGGACATGGCCTTGTCCGCAGAGGGCGATGGCCTTGGAGATATAGCCTGTCAATGAGGGCTTAATGCTGATAGACTTTGTCACCGTCAAATTAGCCGTTTGTAAGGAGACCATGATCAGCGCGTATAACTCACCTTGATCGCATCACGAAAGGCGTGGTCCCAGTTGTGTCTTCGGGCCATAACAAACGAGCGATGGGCGTAGGAAGAATGGTTGCTCGGATCGGTGTTGATATCTTGGGTGAGTAATTCTTCGGCAGTAAATAAATCTCCATTTATGCATGCAATGCGGGCAGTTGTGACGGCTAGGATCTGCACGAAATATGCTCAATTTGTGATATATGGGTCAAGGATGGAAACATGCCTTTGAGCGATGGGCGTAGGAAGCATGGTAGTTCGGATCGGTGTTGATATCTTGCGTGAATAGTTCTTCAGAGGTAGACAAGTCCTCATGCATGCATGCCTCGCGGGCTGTTGTGATGCCTGGGATCTGCACGAAACATGCTCGAATCGTGGTATACGAGTCAAGGACGAAAACATGCCTTTGAACTAATATCCTGGGGTAGTGCCCACTCCGAGACCACCCCATCCTCACCTCCGCCGAGGATGTAATTGCCATTCACGGAGAAAGTGACACAATTAACGATGGATGAGTACTTGAAGATGGCAATGGTTCGTCGGTCTGAGAGCTGCCAGAGACGAACATCGTTGTCATAAGATGATGATACGACGAGTGTGCCAGTAGGATTAACGGCGATAGAACGGATGTAGCGAGTGTGACCAGTCCAAGGATCACCGACTTGTTTCCAGGTTGTTGTATCCCACTCGCGTATGGTAGGATCGAGATTATCGCCGCCTGTGAGAATGCGTGCGCCATTGGGCGTCCACGTGAGGAACAAGTTCCATGATGTGTGGGCCTTGAAGAATGCGACGTGTCCCGGCGTCGTGTCTGGATTGTAAATTTCGATATTGTCGTTGGTTGCGACGGCAAGACGTTTTCCAGACGGTGAATACTGTATGCAGTTGACCGTTCTACCACACATTATTGGATCTCCCTGTTGCTCCCAGGTTTTGGTGTTCCATAGCTTCGTCGTGTTGTCCCATGAACAACTTATGGCCAGCACTGTTCTGTCAGGAGAAAAATCCAGCGAGTTGATCCAATTGGAGTGGACTTCAATGGGTTGGGTGAGTGCTTCGCCAGTTGCTCCGTGCCAGACGATGAGCACTGAGTCTGTATCACCGCTCGCTATCAATTGCCCATCTCGCGATACTGCTAAGCTCAACACCCGACCGCAATGCCCTTCCATCTTCTTCAACAAGATACCTGTCTTCAGGTCCCACAGACGAAGCGTCTTGTCATGCGAGCCTGTAACCATGCGTTTTTTGTTGGGGAACACTGTGACTACATTTACTTGATTTTCATGGCCTTTGAACTCTCGCAGGGGTGTAGTGATTGGAATGAGCTCCGACATTTTACTGGAGGTTGATGGTGCTAAGCACGGTCGAGGTGGAATTTAATTCCAATTCATGTTCTTTGAGAGCAGGGATCACTTAAACTGTCACACCTACGGTGCTGCGGCGTCACGCCTAGGCTAGTACCTAGTACCACCTCGTCTGCGTCAAACCTGTTGGACTACGAAGCCGAGACGTCCGAGACGAGAGAAGCCGAAGGATCCGAGATAAGGATGTCCGGGAGGTGATAGGTACGAGCTCAAGCCAAAATGGACATAGGCGAGCGGTGGAGTGACATCGGCTCGCATCCTAGATTATTTTCAGTCTCTCATTCATATATTCAAGTTCCTGACACACTTACTATAAGACCAGTACCAGTAGCGCAGGTGCATCTCAGTTTCGTTCAAGACACTGAGATGTACGTTCTAAAAGTCACCTAGAGTTGTTAACACGTCTAACGTTAGCTGTAGCTTTCTCGTTCTAGGTAGACGCACCGTTTGTAATAGAGTTTCGTTCAAGACACTGAGATCTTTCTCGTTCTAGACTCCTCGTTAATCTCGCGCTCGTTATAAACGCCTTTAGGTTATGAGCCCTGCCACCATCATGGAATCTACGCTCCCCGCTACCAACTCCAGCCTGTTCAATATCCCGAAGCTCGCAGAAGACGGCTCGAACTGGATTACTTACAAAGAACGAACACTAACGGCTATTGGAGCGCGAGGTTTGATGCGATATACCGATGGTCGAGTCTGCGAGCCTATTCCTTTCGTCGTCGATCCGAAAACCAAGGCTGTTAAAAAGCCTGACGGGTCAACGCCATCGCAGACTGAAATAGACGAGCTCGATAACAAGATCGACGAGTATCACCAAAAAAACTCACTCGTGAAGCAGCAGATATTTAGCACGATCACCGATCGGCTACTACTGCGTGTCCAGAAGCTTGGGGACGCCTCCGAGATCTGGGACGAGATTTGTCAGATTCACGAGGGTAAGACTGAACTCGTGCAAATTGACTTACGGCGTCGGTTGCAAGAGACACGCTGTGATGAAGGAGGGGACGTTAAGGCCCACTTCGCAGAGCTCATGAGGCTCCGCGAGTCCTTGGCCGGAATGGGCGCAGGTATCGTCGACAACGACTTCCACGCCATCATCTTGGGCTCGCTCCCAGAATCCTACCGACCACTCCTATCCTCCATCAGCGCAGCGGCTAGGATAACCAAAACTCTGATCACCTCCTACGAGCTAATCAGCATCGTGACCGAAGAGTATGAGCATCGCCTACTCACCGAATGTCGTCCCACCAAAAAGGGAGCCTCTGGCTCCGCCCTCTCCGCGAGAGAAACAAAAGGGAAAGGTAGAGCGTCAGCAGGCGCCGCCAAAGCCAATCCGGACGTCACCTGTTTTAACTGTGACCGGAAAGGCCACTACAAGACCGACTGTTGGCGTCCGGGTGGTGGGAAGGAGGGACAAGGTCCCAACCAACAGAAGAGGAGAGGTGAGAAGGCGCCGAAGCAGGCAGCCAACTCAGCCACCCAGTCTGAGGCGCAGGACGACCAATATGCTTTCGTAACGTCAGATTTAGCGAACGTAGCAGGGCAGTTGGACGTACCAGTGGAGAAGAGAGGAGCCATCGTAGATTCGGGCGCCACATCTCATTTCTGCCCAGACCGGGCCAAATTCACGAATTTCGTCACCATTCCACCCCAAGACGTGCACACGGCTGACGGCTCGACTCTAAGTGCCATAGGCCGAGGTGATGTTCAGATAGAGCTGCCAATGGGTCAGAAGCGCACGACTGTGACGCTGAAAAATGCGCTATACGCACCTAGGATGGCATTCACCCTTATCTCCACGAACAGGATAACGGCGGCTGGCCTAGCAGTCCTCTTCGAGGGACGCATGTGCCGGATCCTCTCCAAAGGGCCGAAGCGACATGTTATCGCCGAGATTCCGCAGCTGGAGGGACTCTACAGCGTCGTTGCGCGTCGTCAGACGCATCATGCCAATGTAGCAAGGCAAAAACTCACCGTAGGGAGCCTGCACCGTGTCCTAGGACACACCTCCCAAGCAGCAGCCATGGACGCCGTGAAGAAGAGCCTCGTCACTGGTATAGAGCTGGACCTCGCATCCAAGCCCGAGTTTTGCGATGTCTGTGTGAAGGCGAAGTCAACGCAGAAACCCTACCCAGATGAGTCCAGTACGCGCGCACTTACCTATGGAGACTTAGTGCACACGGACCTGTGGGGACCTGCGCAGACGACCAGTCTAAACGGGAGCCTCTACTACATCAGCTTCACCGACGACTACAGCAGGCAGACGAAGGTTCAGTTCTTGAAACTGAAGAGCGAAGCACTTACCGCCTTCAAGGCTTATGAAGCGTGGCTGGCGCGTCAGACGCCGGCCGTCACGCTTCGTAAAGTCCGTTCGGACAGAGGGGGAGAATATCTTAGTGCCGAATTCGACCTGTACCTCCGTCAGCAAGGCATTGAACGTCAGTTGACAGTCCACGACTCACCGCAGCAGAATGGCGTAGCCGAACGTCTGAACCGGACGTTGGTGGAGCACGCGAGGGCGATGTTGATAGGACGGGACCTACCAAAGTATCTGTGGGCAGAAGCCATCAACTACGCAGCATGGCTAAAGAACCGCTTACCTTCAAGGTCCATCCCCGGCACCACGTCCTACGAGCTGGTGCGAAAGTGCAAGCCGGATTTGTCGCGCGCCCATGAGTTTGGGGCGAAGGTCTATGTGCACGTGCTGGAGGGTGGGAAGCTCGAGCCGAAGGCTGTAGAGGCCGTATTTGTGGGTGTAGACGCTGAAAGCAAGGGTTATAGGGTGTACTGGCCGGGGAAACGCCGTGTATCGGTGGAGAGGAACCTCACCTTTGCACCGGCAGAGATCCTGGTGGATGCACTGGACGAGGGGGAGCCTACCGCTGTTAACGAACATAACAGCGGCAACAGTAATAATAATAACTTACCTCATAGCGTCCAGCCCATCACCACTACCTTGCAGCAGCAACCTCAACCATCTACCGCCCAGCAACCTCAACCATCTACCGAGCAGCAACCTCAGCCATCTACTCCTCCAAGGACGACGAGGGCCAGACCTCCTCCAGGCTACTATGCGAGCCTGAACGAAGGCAGCAATGCAGCGGCCATAGCGATGGAGAACCTGTTGGAAGCGTCAGAGGTAGATTTAGTGGACGAAGAGACTCACCTTCAACTTGCCTTGGCAGTTGCCCAACCAGAGCCCACCTTGCAGCAGGCGTTAAACGGACCGGATGGAGTAGAGTGGCAAGAAGCTGTTGATTACGAGATTAGTCAACTTGAGAAGTTGGGGACGTGGGAAGTAGTAGACTTACCTCGTGGCGCTAACCTCATCCCCTGCCATTTCGTTTTGGCCACGAAACGTGGACCCGACGGCGAAAAACTCAAACTGCGGGCACGACTCGTTGCCAATGGCCAGAGGCAGCAATTCGGCGTCGACTACTTCGACACGTTCGCGCCGACAGCCAACATGAGCACCATACGCACCGTGCTGACAATGGCGGCTCAGAACGACTGGGAGATCCACCAGGTCGATATAAAAAGTGCGTACCTGTATGCCAGTATCCAGGAGGAGATTTACATGCGCGCGCCACCCGGCTATCTCACGGAGAGTCAGCGAGGAAAGGTGTTGCGGCTGCGAAGGAGCTTACCTGGTTTAAAGCAGGCCGGTTTTGAGTGGGCTGAGGAGTTAGCGGGAGTCTTTGCGAAGATAGGATTCACCCGGTCCAAGGTGGACCAGGCAGTGTACTACAGGCGGGCACCGGGAGAACACGTCGTCATCACCGTTTCCGTGGACGACATGGCCGTCACCGCCAACAGCACCTCCCACATCACCCGTTTCAAGTCCCACCTCCGCGAATTCTTCGAAATCACGGACCTAGGCGAGCTAAGCTGGTTGTTAGGCCTAAAGGTAACACGAGACCGTGGTGCACGTACCTTGACCCTCTCCCAAAAAGCCTATGTCGACACGATCGTCGAACGCTTCTACATGGGAGACGCTAAGAGTGCGCAGACGCCGATGGAGCCAACACTTACCTTGTCCGTTGAGCAGGGACCTGCCACAGTGCAGGAGATCCAGGCCATGCGCGACGTGCCGTATCAGCGAGCCATCGGCTCGCTGATGTACACAGCCACTAGCACCAGGCCTGATATAGCATTCCCCGTCGCGACGCTGTCGCAATTCATGCGCAATCCTGGTAGGCCCCACTGGGAGGCCACCAAAAGGGCGCTACGTTACCTCAAGAGAACGGGAGACTACGAGCTGACACTCGGTTCGACGGACGGCGGCCTTGAAGCCTTCGTGGATGCAGACTGGGCGTCCCAACCCCACCGACACTCGATGTCCGGGTATGTCGTTCTATTAAACGGAGGGCCAGTGGCATGGAGTGCCCGTAAGCAACCACTGATCGCGCTATCCACGGCAGAGGCTGAGTATATCGCCCTGACCAGTGTGATACGCGAATTACTTTACCTTCAGTTGCTCATCGAAGAGCTCTACGACCCCGTCCCACATCCCATTCCCGTGTTCTGTGACAATCAAGCTGCGATAGCATTAGCATCCAATGGAAAGTTCCAGTCACGCACCAAGCACATCGACCTTCGATACCACTTCGTCCGCTCACACGTCAAGAACGGCACCTTCAAGTTATTCTACTGCCCCTCCGAGGACAACATCGCTGACGCCTTTACGAAGGCGCTCCCACGACCGCGACTCCAGAAGTTGAGGATGCTGATGAGCGTGGCTTGCGCTCGAGGGGGAGTGTTGGACTACGAAGCCGAGACGTCCGAGACGAGAGAAGCCGAAGGATCCGAGATAAGGATGTCCGGGAGGTGATAGGTACGAGCTCAAGCCAAAATGGACATAGGCGAGCGGTGGAGTGACATCGGCTCGCATCCTAGATTATTTTCAGTCTCTCATTCATATATTCAAGTTCCTGACACACTTACTATAAGACCAGTACCAGTAGCGCAGGTGCATCTCAGTTTCGTTCAAGACACTGAGATGTACGTTCTAAAAGTCACCTAGAGTTGTTAACACGTCTAACGTTAGCTGTAGCTTTCTCGTTCTAGGTAGACGCACCGTTTGTAATAGAGTTTCGTTCAAGACACTGAGATCTTTCTCGTTCTAGACTCCTCGTTAATCTCGCGCTCGTTATAAACGCCTTTAAAACCCCACCTGCCAGCGCGCCAGTACTTCAACTGTTCGTGTAACTTAGGTACATTTTCAATCTATCATAATAACTGATGTTCTAACAGCGTCTAGTCGAGCTCCGTGATCGCGCGATTGCCACTTATCATTACCCCTTTCCACGTGTCATGAAGTTGTTGACCAGAACTAGCTGCCTGCATCAGTATTATCGTGTGAGCACGCTGAATACTGAGTTCCCGTAATCAGTACATATAATATCGCTGTTCTTGCGATGTAACGGGCAGTCCTGACATATTACGGCTGCCGGCTGGTACCACACTATGCCAAAACGAAACACCGTCTTGAGTTCAATATTGCGACCCCAATCGATGATCATTCGCTGTTATGCATTATAAAACATGAAGTGTGTAGGGAAGAACTTGAACATGGCTGATCATCGTCCCTGCAGGTCTTCGTACAATTGTACTGTGCAATCATATTCTGATCTTCCTTGCATGAGCACTCATGACATCAGTCCTCTCTCAACTGCGCAATCCTCGGCTCTCCTTCACAACCTTTAATGAGAACCGTCTTGTTCTCAAACGCCGTGCCCTTCGCCAACAAGTACAAGCTTTGTTGATCATCCCAACCCAGCGGGACGCTCGAGTCGACCTGGAAGCCAGTCCAAACATACAAGAACCTGGACATGAGCCCACAAGCCACTGGAACACCAACAGCAGCCTTGTACCACATGAGTGCAACAACGAGCGCCAGGAAGATCATGGCATGGTGGAATGCACAGTCGGCCCAGTGCGCAAAGCGGCGAACACCTTGTAGGGATTTGAGATAGCCTGGGCGGAATACCACAAGCTCGAGCTCCTGAGGGAATAGAAGAAGCGCCCCGCCTACTGTTGCGCACCAGGGAACAAACAGCACCCCGCGGAGAATACTGGTGAGAATGCGCTGGGACGATTCGCGCTCTTCATGAGAGGAGTCAGCGAGAGGGACTTGCGCGGCCACAGGTGGCGACGAGGGCATAGCGGCCTGTAGTTCCTCGACGAATCCAGGAAGACTGAAACTAAGGTTGCGTGATCTACGGGATGGCTTGTTAATGCTTGACGACGGCAGCCCCGAGATGGATGCAATCCTTCTTTCTGCCTTATGTCCAATAGTATTGGCCTGAGGACGTCAGCGAGGTTCGATAACAATGAATAACTGGAACGCACCTTTTGCATAGGCAAATCGTGTACGGAGAAGTATCGGTTTGGAAGGCTGTAGAACTGTCCACGAGAACTTCATTAGTGCTGCGTGCATGCCACTCCTAATGTACTGACCTCTTCTGGTCTGGTTTTGATCGAGATCCTCCTACCAAACCTTTCTCGCAATGGACTAGCAATGAAAACCGGCTCTTCTTCGTCCGACCTCTGAAACAATTGGTTAGCTTAGCGTGATAAACAAAGACGAGACCGACTTACCCTTTTCTTAAAGACCGTAAATGCCCTACTCACCGTCTTCACAGCAGCAGACAACGTGCGCTGCCGGGAATGGAGTGCAGTTGCGGCCTTCTTCATAACGAGACTGCCTCTCAAGACCGGACGGAGCTTCGTCTCGCTCTCTGAGGTAGAAATATGCCGTACGTCAAGTTGGAATACCTTATCCTCGTCATCTTCAGGAGTGGTCTGTCCTGACGAGGATGGGGAGGAATATTTGTCAAAGTCCGATGAGCCCGAACTTTTATCTGAGGATACACTGCTATATGATGAGCCGCGCTGGAGGGTTGTCAGTGTCGACGCTCATAAGTAGACACAAACAGGAAGCTCACTAGCACAATCAGCGATGAAGTCGTAGGTTTCGCGTTTGACATGGTTGCATGGAGTAAGAAGCTAACAGAGAGAAAAACGAAAAGAAATAGTCGGCCTGGGAGGGAACAATTCTGAACTCGCCTGACATCGTCATCAGGAAACAACTGATGGTAGTGTCCCCGGATGATGGTCTCAGATGAAATCAATAAAGGTGTGACACATCATAGAGGATATGAATTAGAAGTTGTTAGAAGTTGTAATTCGTCAAATAGATAACCATCGTCTGTACAGTCCATCTGCCAATGGTACGGCACCAGTAGTCACGTAGATGAGAGAAAGGTTATACGCGGCCTCTTTTGCGACGGATGCATACTGTCCTAAACGTCAGCCACCATAATCAAACGTGGCGGACGCGCCACTTACCTCGTTTCCCCGCTTTTCAGCAATCTCAAGAACACGCTCATAATGCGAGACAGCGTGCGTGTGAAGACCTTGACAGAGATTATAAGATAAAAGGTGTCAAATGAGAAGGTAAATCTCGTACCAAGCTGATGAAATGCCCGACCGAAATTGTATTCCACCTCTTCAAGCATCTCATCACCGGACGATTTCCGGAGTGTTCGATACTGAGACAAGAAGGCCATCCCCTGTCAAAAGTGAGCTACGGAGTCGATGAAGAGCACAAAAGTCTTACTTGTGCTATCGTGTGGTGTCTATTGTCAGACTGTCGCTGCAAAGCTCGACCAAGAGAAGCGATGGCAAGAGATAGGCAGACAACGGGATCTTCAGGGCAATAATCGTATGCATGCAACAGATAGACTGCAAAGAACGATTATTAGGAACTCCTGGAAAGGGATACTAACTTGCATATGGCGCTCTGGTAGCTTTTGGCAGCGAGAGACATCTGACCATAAAGAGTGACGATAATTGGATTATGCTTCGTAGGCATTCGGATCGCTGTTTTTTCTGTCGTGTTGTTCTCCGCTGGACCAGGGATCTCCGCTTCATCATCCCCTTCTTCCTCGGCTTTAGATGGCTCTTCCTTGCCCGACGACGACAGATTATACTTGCGCCCGATAGCATTCCATTTCATGAGCTCTGGAGTTTTGACCGCAGCATCGTGAAGTCGGAGTTCACGAAGTGTATGCTTTTGCAACGTGGAAGAAACGAACGGATCAGTAGGGTGATGTCCGCTAGCTAACGAAACCAGCAGAAGACGAAAAGCTTCGTTGTTGAACTGGTGGGTGTTGATCATTTTACGACACTGTTCTACCGCGATAGAGAACTTGCTAGCATGGACGGCGCACGCTGCAAGACGTGTTACAATATCTAATCGAGAGAAATAAGACACTCACTGATGATCGTTATTCGAATCGTGTCCTGTGAATTGGAATCTCGATAGGCGTTCGATAAAAGGATATGGCGCAGGACTTCTTCACCCTGATCGTAGTCTCCCCGTTTGGTAAGAACAAAGGTATACTGTGAAGTCAAAACGATTAAAGAGTTAGACGGATATCAGCTGCGAAAACTGACTTGCATGAAAATCCTCAGCCAGTTTGAAAATGTAACGCCGCGGAACGAATCAACCTTATCGGATGCTTGGCCATCATCTTTGGCTTTACGGGTATGCCTGTCGCGTTCTGCAGGTGTGTGAGCTCAACATAATGTATAGTCAATGAATGTCTGCCATCACCGACCATTGAGCTCGAGCCGTGACACCATCCTATCCTCTTCTGTATCGTCCCTTCGTTGTATTCTTCTCTTTGGGAACATGCCCTTAAAGTCGTAGTCCTAACAGAATCAATCAGTCACTTCCGCACAGGCGCATGAATACCCATCCAATCACCCTAGTCGTCACAAACAAATTCCTCGTCTCCCTAAACATCTCCACGAGTTTCTCAGCCTCCATCATCCACTCCCTCTCCGCCTCTGCATCTCCATGCCGCATACGTGGCCACAGATCCTCGACGCGGGAATACCCTAAGCTCACCTCTCGCTCACGTTGCTCTTCGAGCGCTTTGAGCTCGGCCAATGTGAGTCTGCTTTTACCGGGAGCTGGAATTTTAGCTTTAGTGCGTTTCTCTTCGAAGAGAGAGGCGCCTTGAGGTTGAGTGGTACTGGGTGTGGGAGTGGCTTCAGGCTGGTGGGCGCGTCGTTTGCGGGAGTCGATGACTATGAAAGGATAGATATTTGATTCTTCAGCTTGAATGGTAAGAGACACGCTAACCTTGGTAAACGAGTTCCAGGGCCTTCCGGGGTTCGTCCATGATTTCGTAGAGCTCGGCAAGTTTCATCTTCGCGTCATTATTGGTCTGATCTGCATCAATAACTAACGGGAGATTAGACTTTAACATGACTTGTTGAGGGGTATCTCACCTTGCTTATAGACCTCCGCAGCCTCTTGCAGGTCACCAAGCATCCTACGACATACAGCCACCTGAAGCAGTACGTACAAGCTACTGGTCTTCACAGAATATCAGTAGGGAAAGCGATATGAGGAGGAAAGGAAATGTACTGCAGGTTCTGAGCCAAGAATTTCATATATCGGCCTGGCGTCAGCATACATCTCACGCTCAAAATACGAGTCAGCGATCTCTCCAAAAAGAGCAGCGTAATCGAGAACATCTTGTGCGAGAACAATAGACGCGTGCATCTATGTGACTCGTCACACACCCATAAGTTTTGACTGTATGACAAACACGCACCTTGCCCTCCTCGACATCTCCGAGCTTGATTCGCGCGATAGCGAGTCGGTGTCGGGCGTTGATGTCAAGAGGATAGTGACCAGGCTGAATGTCGCCGCTTCGCTCTGTATTCATATTGCCTCGATCTTCGGGAGGTAAATCGTATTCTCGATCGTCTGCACACCCATCCCAGAAGCGTTGGCCTGCGCGGCCTTGCAGCCATCTACAGCCTTTCCTTACGATTTGGATTGCATTGTCACTTTCTGCCATCGTGTTATACAGATCGGCAAGAACTAAAATGTCGATGAAGCCAAATGTTTGGTTTGGTAACGGTTGTTCCATCAGGGAGGGGTCAATGGGTTGTACAGGACCCAGGGGCTGAACGGTCTGATAGTGTTCCAAGGCAGTCTGGTAAAGAGAGGCACAGAGGGGAAGATCTGATACTTCAATGAGTATTGGTCGAAGCTCTGCCAGAACTGTCATATCGTGGGGGAACCGTTTCAAAATTGCAAGAAGAGAGTGTCGAGCCTACATCAGGTTGACATATTGAAGACGCGTGGATAAAAAACAATGGAACGTACGGCGCGAAGGTCATTTATCTCCTTTGCCAAGGAAGCACGGTCCCAAAGTGCATCGACATTTGTCGGATCAAGACTATATACCTTGCTGTAGCAATATATGGCTTGTTGGTTGTAGCCCAAATCTCTGGGGAAACGTGCCGTCGGTCAAGGTTCCCTTCGATGAAAGCCGATCACGACCTCACCTTGATTGTGCAGCTAGTCTCTCCCATTCATCTGCATCATGTCGAAGATGCGCCGCCATGATGCGCAGTTGCAGCGCCTTCTTCGGTTCATTGGAATCTTCATAGCATTGAGCGATGACGGACCACGCAGACGCCGCTCGAGGCTCGATGCGGATGACTTCCTGCATCATCCGTATTGCTTCCGGAATGTTTCCATCGACATACGCTTGGTTTCCTTCACCTATGAGGGCGCGTACTTGATGGGAGAGCACGGGTCCTAGGTGACGACCACGCTGAAAACACGATGCGAAGCAGTAGTTGCGAGCGTGCCCAAAAGGGCCATCACAGACCACGCACCTTCTTGCCCTTTTTCTTCCCTATCCCGGATGCTTCGCGAAGGTCGTCACGAAACTCCGCGTCTTGCTGAGCGATATTGAAGTCCCATTCTCGATGGAGCATCGCTGTATTTGAGACATCGTCCGTCATGCGAATGTTGCTTACTAGTCGGCTGTACCTGATATTCAGATACATAAAATTGTCTCAAGGGAGATGGATGCACTTGAAATCGGTATCAATCTCTGCCTGAACACCCTGGGGCAATTCAATATCCTCAACTTCCGATTCCTCTTCTTCATCATCAGATTCGGAGTCGGTGTATTCTGACTCTGAGTCCACCAGACTCCCGTCGTCTATTGTGAGATCAAGTAAAGTCAAACTCCATGATTTCAAAACTCACAAAAGTCATCCTCTTCATCCATGCTCATCATTGCGTTTTACTCGGAGCAATCAATTCCCCTTAATATGTGATGTGGCGTGCGTGACTCCCGGTCACAAACTAGTTTACCGGGTGGCCCGGTGTAAGCCGTGCAGCACTTGGACTTCCACACTCAACTGACCAAGAGCTTCCACGTCGATTTTGCTCCCTCTCAAACCGCGAATTCCTTCTCAGAGGCCAAAACCGGCACAACAACGCGATTGAAATCAACTTACGTAATACATAACTGATTTCCGAATTGCACGCGCACAGAGTACCTGGCACTTTCTTGTCGACACCACCATGGCCATGGACTCATCACTAGATCTGAACGGTTTGGCAAAGTCTCTACCAGCAGCAAACCTGGAGAAAGCTGAGAAGGACTTATTGAACAATTTTAAAGGTGAGGAGCGTTTATCCAGGCTCCATCCACGTTACTCACGTTCAGCACACATAACAAGCTGCTGCGCTCAGTATAACAACTCTTTACCGATCTTCAAGGCATGCGTCCAAACGCGCTTATAATGCTGGATATGCAACAGCTTGTCAAGATCTCATGTCGATGATCCAACAGGGCGTTTCTACGGGCGGTGTAGCATTATCTGGGTCAAGCAACCCAGCCGGAGACGTGATGACGATCGGGCGAATCATGGACTGGATTGAGGCTAGGATGGAGGCTGTAAAGGCTCGGGAAGAGGAGGAGGACGAAGATGAAGACCGTGAAAAGGAAAAAGAAAGAGTAAGAGGGAGCGTCCCTGCAAGCCGCCCCAACATAAATAAAGACTCCACTCCCCGTCATGTTTTCCCCGGGGACACTACAAGGGACACTGTACATCCAGGTCCCTCTTCTTCTCGCCTGGAACAGCAAACTGTATGCTTTCTCATCCTTTTTTGCCCATTGGCTGATATATTCCCCTTTTCGTAGGCTGTTCCAGCGCCTTTGACTCCGCATTCTCCTTTCACGGTTAACATATCAAACGTTCCCAATAGACAAACATCACCTACGCCATCCGCCGCGCCACCCGCGCGCCAATCAAGCCACCCATATGCCAGCCAACGTTCATCCAAATCCCGTGCCGCGGGCGCCAAGAAAGACAATCCCGAGTCATTTCCCATCAGCCCACCTATTACAGCATGCCTTACACCTTCAGAGAATATATTTCGCACCCCTCCTGTCACAGCCGCAACATCTGTTACAGGTGACCCTGCTTTCGCCGACTATACTGCTGGCGCTAAGCGCCGTCATGCTGTCATGATGATGCTCGATTCTACCGCTGTTTCGGGCGCTACCGAGTCATCATCACAAGGGAGTAGCGTCTCATCAACAATCACATCCGCCTCTGGAAATACCAGACGCAGAACGCGGAGCTCACGCACGTCCGTCTTTAGCGCCAGTCATACACAAACCCAAAACAACTTGGGGGACGCCATGGACGTGGAAGACGAGGGACGAGAACGAAAGCGAGTGGCAAGACGATGACAGCCATTCAATTAGAAGTATTAAAGGTAGGTATTACCTTTAAGTGTATGTCATAAGGTCGCACTGTCTTTCTAACCCATTTTCACACAATCCTTTGGCATCTAATTTAACACACTTCTGATCCTCCCCTTGTATTGCTCACGCTGCACGAGTTCTGTATGTACGCTTGATTTCAAGTGATACCAATTTTTGTTTGGCAATCATTTTATCCCCATTACTGTTTTACATTAATATATGCAGTGTTTTAACGTTTATGGTTTACGTAGCAGGACTGGAATATCATAAAGGAGAACACATCACAATCCACCGTGACTGTTGTAGCCCTTGGCGTTATTTCACGACTCATATCCACCTTCCCCGACTCGTCCTTGTATACCCTATTCCCAGAAGGAACCTCGGAAATTTGATCATTTTATCCACTTATACCCTTCCGAATCATCAGTCTCGTCATCATAAATCAAATCTACCCGAACTAGTACTCACCATCCGCTCAAAGACTCCTATTTACTGGAGCGGGTAGAGCCCGGAAACGACCCAAACCCATACGACGCTTGAAGCGCTCCAAAGGCCGCTTCATAATCTTTTGGCTGGGACTGCCCAGGGGAAGTCTGCTTCTTGTCCTTTTGTGACTTGAGCAGAGCTTCTGAGGATGCGTTGGAAGACGTGCTTGATGATGTGAATAATGATTTGAACATTTTCGGTGGTAATAGCGAAGATGATTATAGAGCTCTGGCGAAATATGATGCTTGTATTTTCTCTGTTATAAAGGGCTGGGGAAACTTGTATGAGTGAATGAGTGAATCATGCTCAACACTCACTGTTTTATATTGCATAGTAGACGCCATCATGTTTTGTCGTGCGGGATGCAGTAGCACGGCACCGCAGTAGGAGTCACTATAGATCGGTACCATGACTGTAAACTTAAGACAGGTTCTGACTCAACTCATGCCTCGTGGTGTTGTTCCATATGACATTCAACCTGCGCAACGCAGCCCAGAAAGGAACACAGCAATGAATCTGCGATGAATATTGTCCATAATTAGCCGTGCACTGGTAAACGCCAATATCGAAACAGATCCGCAGCATAGCTTTGCTAAAAATCACGGTGCCATTGGTTACATTGATACTATCGCACTTATTGACCATTGACCGTTATAGCTCCCCAAGTATATAAACACATGGCTCGTGTGTTACTTGACCTCTCTTGCTGCGTTTCATTACCCACAACATTCTTGACACGGTCGAGTCAAGTTGCTGCGTGCATCAAGGTAAGTTTGACAGATGACGCGGCCACATTAATGTTGTCTGAAGTGCGACTGCGGTGCACCTGCCACCGGGAGATGGCATGGACACCCTGTTATTGTGCTCACCTTGTAAGTAAATAACAAGTGTTTCATCCAACTCTCATCATTATGAACCCGGTTGAACGTAACCTGGTTTGGTTCACTACATTATGGGGTCAGTCAGCACACTGATAGGACTCCGAGGACTTACTACAGGAAGTAGTAAACTTCAAACTCGACCATTTGAAGAACCTGCAACCACCATTGAATTGTTGCCGGTATTCCGGCATTCGAGCACTAATCTTTTGAAGCGCTGAGTATTGCTGCGTGTGCCTGCGATCGTGTTCTAAACTGTGGAGGAACTACTGCGGAGAAACCATCCTTGGGAGAACGATAAACGATTTTGATTGGCTGACGCAACTCACGATTTAGGAAAGCCAGCCACGTTATAATGATTTACCATATTCGGCCTGAAATGTTGAAGCTCCGACTCGGACCTTTCCTCTACACTGAGTATCTACTCTACTTAAGAGCGTGTGCGACAATTGTCGGACATCTCTGGCGCTGGCCGCCTAACGCCTGTTTCCTGTTTCCTGACTCCCATTCTCTCACTGAAGCATTAATTATGCCTGGGAAGAGCACCTCACCTGCGTCGGAGCTCCTCTCAATGATATTACTAGTCCCCTATATGGGTAGGCACAAACTTGACTCGTTTTATATAAGACGTCGACATTGATTTTGATTAATCGAGCTTTCGCGGTGCACACTTGAAACTTGAAGGATCTAGTAGTATGACTGGTAGGCTTGACTGGCCCAAATCCCACTATCCAAGTACGCAAGCAGAAGACAAGGCTGAAAACGAGTCGAGTACAAAAGAATTTTGGTGGACATTCTAGTCGACAAAAATACAACAGAGTATACGAAAACGAGATAGGCTATAGCTAGAGTGTAAGAATATATCGGGCTCGTTTTTTACAACAAAGAAGATCGCAGACGAACAATTTGTGAACATGCAGCAAACGACAGCAATACGAGGTAGAACTACACACCAATATGAACGAAAACCATCCTCTGCTCCAGCGGCACTTCCGTCTTCACAGCGTGCGTAGCACGGTTCAGTGCCCAGGCTGCCTTCGTACAATCCATCGCACCTCCATCCTTCAAATCTTTGAACATATTCTCATAGAAGGCTTTGACGACATGTTGTGCGACAGAGTCGTCGACCTGCCACAGCGTCCCAATGACGCTCTTGAACCCCGAAAACTGAAGACCAGCTGCGAGGTGAATCACTTCGTCGGGTGTCTCCTCATCTCCGACAGCGGTATGACACGCCGATAAGAACGCGAACTCGGCGTGCGGAATATCTCTCTCCATGATATCGAGCAGCGTCAGATCTTCGTCTTTCATGACGAAATGCGAATTGTAAGGCTGCTCAGGGTCCTGCTTTCCATGACAAGCTAGGTGCACCCAGGTGTTTTGCTGCAAAGCTTCGAGTGCACCTGCTCGTGTGGCTTCGTCGCCAGAAATAGTGGTGCGGTTAGCCATCGCAGGGACGAGCTTATGGACAAGCTCGAGCTCGCTGTCGACGGTCAAGAGCGCCTTGCCTTTCCCTGCACCCGGTTGACCCTGTCCGATCGCCACAAAGGACGGAGGCACGCGCTTCTTCATCAACTGTCTAGATCTGACCAGGGCCGAAAGTGTCGGCGTGTAAGAGCAGATGTAGAGATCCTCCAGGCATGGCTCCTTCCCAGAACGATCTGGCTTTGTTTGAAACGGGTGAGCTGCATGGAGAGGAATAGACGTGAAAGCTGCAGTTGGACATAGCCAGATTCGAGAGTAGTATTTTAGTTTCAGATCATGCCGGAGGACGTTGACGATGGGCAACATGATCTCGCCCCACACTGTCCGCAGGAGAACTATAAGATCGTTTCGCGGCACTTTTGGGCCCAGGGTAGATGCGTGTCGTATTGCCCTGGCGAAGCGATCCTTCAGATTGGTCAGCTCAGCGAGAGTGACAGACGACAAGGGAACATGATGGGGATCTCCTGACGTCGGGACGATGACGGCGCTGCACGAGTATTGACTCGCAATGAGGATGATGACCGGACCCTGGCGCGCTGCTGCTTGCAGGTCTGCGTACAAAGGTGGGAGCAGGAACCGCGAGAACGTCGGAACATCACGTATCTCAGCAACCGCTGCTTCCCATTGCCTTGTAAGTCCCCTGTATTCTATTGTTGCCTGATCAGCAGCGGCTCTATCGGTGATGATTGCAGAACTCTGTGCAGCATTGGAAACGAGTTTTCTCAGCTCCACATATTTACGCGCCAGTTTCGGATTTGCTGACTCAAGATCTTCAACTGGAGTCCTGAGTCGAGAGGCCAGCGACCACTGCTGGCCACGACCCTGCTCTACAAGTTCAACTGCGCGTCGCAGATTGTCGCGACGTATGGCGCACGAGGCTGCATCTACAGGAAATGATTGTGCACCACGAACAGCGGTTGCAGCTTCACGCCGTGAGATGATCGACGATCGTGTCATCACATGGCTGTCGAAAAGCTCAAAGCACACTTGGTATGCTTCTAGGGCAGATTCATGTTGATAGACTTCTGCTTGGCAAGCCCACTCAATAGCTTCCACGATGCGTCGCAGAAATCCTACAGTAGGGTGCCTTGACGCCAGTCTGAAGTTCTCCACTGCAAGCAACAAATCAGCAGGATCCTGCAGAATCCGGTAACGAGACAAATAGGCCTCCTGCAGCCACATGTAGCTGCAATACCTGTCCGGGTGCAGTGAAGACAGAGCCGCCAATGATTCTTGGCAAAGAGCAATGGCCTCCTCAATATCTTCATTCTTCTGAGTTTCCGTGAAACGAGAGCAGAGCGCCGAGCTCAAATTGAAAAGAGTAACATGGCGCCCTGGATGGTCAAGCCCTGTTAACACAAGAGATTCTCGATACAGATCAATGGCCTCATTGAGATCCTCGCTGACTTGCGATTTGTCATATCTGTTTTTGAGCGCGTGGGCAAGGTTGTTAAGCGTGGCGTCACGACGTGGATGCCCATGTGGGCACAACGTCAGGGACTCGCGATAGTGGCTGATAGCTCGGGTCATGTCTTCGATATCACCGCGTGCGTTGAAACGGTAGACGAGGGCGACCCCTAGGTTGTCCAGTGAGCAATCACGAGATTCGTGCCCAACAGGGTGCAGGTGCAGCGCTTCTTCCTGCAAAAATATGGCCTCATCGAGGTCATTATGATTGCCTTGGTGCTTAAAGCGGGATACAAGTGAACAGGCCAAGTCGTTCAGGTAGGTATCACGGCCAGCATGTCCCTCGAGACACAGAGACACGGCTTCACGACGAAGCTGTATGCTCGTGTCAATATCATCGATGCTGCCGTGCTGATAAAAGCGTGCTTCAACTGCTTGTGCAAGCTCGTGGAGGGTTCTGGGACGAAGTCGATGGCCCAGAGGACAGAGCTCGAGCACAATTCTTCGAAGGTGGATGCCTTCATCTGATGCGTCTTTTGGAAGTTTGTTGCATCGGCCGATCGTATAATCAACACCATTTTTCCCTGCCGCGATGCTACCAAGGTATGTGCCCTCTGGACAGAGAGGTAGTAGTTCATGATAAAGTTGGGCGGCTTCGCAGATGTCGACATCAGTACTTTTCCTGGAGTGGCGCCAAGTCAGCGCTTGGGTGAGATTATATAGGGATAATAGATGATCGGGATGGTGCTGCGGACGCAATGCAAGGGCGTCGCGGAAGAGGGAAGTGGTAGTATCAATGTCTTGAACATCATTTCGGATGTAGCCTCGAAGGCGAACCCACGCGAGGCTGGTGAGAGCCGTTGCGCGGTCTGGATGGCCGACCGGACACTGGTTCAGAACCAACTGAAAATGCTCCATAGCATCGTTCAAGTGAGAGACATTTTTGCTTTTCATGTATGAGGCAAATTGTGCGTGTCCAGCATCTGCGTCTCGAGCAATCTCGCAGTTTACGAGGGACTATAGTTGGCGCTCCGTCAGCAAAGCAAACAGGACAGAGTCCGGGGTCACTTACATCAAACTGTGCGCCATTGCGATCGTCCGAAGCATGTACAACAGCAACCTTCAGTGTGATGGAAGGTTGGACACCGCGCACGGCTGAGAAAGATAGATCTACGAGATGTTAGCATATGTGCATGGATGAGAAGCAAATCACTCACCAAATGGGTGATCTCCATGATTGAGTAGCTCATCCCACGACATTTGAAGTTCCCCGATGACCTCTCCACCGCCTAGCATTCGACCAAGCTCATAGGACGCCCTGATCTCTATTGACAATGCAGGCGAGTCATTTGATGATCTATACACCAATAATCAGTTCTCGCATCACGTCAGAAGATCACCATGGACGTTACAGAGTTACAGCATCCCCCCACGCTAGAGAATCATCAGATGATACGACACTGATGGCCGATTTCCAGCGTCTCCTCGAGTCGACATTGATCGATATGTAGATGCCAGCGGGAATGCGCTCGGACGGGACTCGAAGATTCTTTCCGCTGATGACTGTAGATAGAGTGTGAGGATCATGAAACGGATACGAAGATAATATGGAGAGACTCGCCTTCAAGTCTGATATATCGGCTTTCTGAGCTGCCACGCATAATGTTGCGATGGAGCAAAATGATGAGGATCGCGGATGGGTAGAGTGGTGGACGGGATGAATGGGAAGGGAAGATGGGGGTGATGATATGGGGACTGCAGATAGAGTTCGGCTGAGTGGGAGATGAGGCCTAGGATTCAGGTCACGCTGCACGTGTATTTCCATGATGTTCGGCAAGATAGACGCTGGTATGATTGCATGAGCGCTAGGAAGGGAGATCACCGACCAGGATTAGCAGAAGAATCTGTGCTAAAGTAGAGAATGGCATGAACAATTCGCGGCGAAAGTGGTCTGCCAACATTGAAAGGGACATGTGAGTCTCAGAGTGATTGCTGCTCCTGGACTTGCATCGTACTACTCAGTTAGCACGCAAAGCCAAAATGTAGAATTGAGTATATTTTGTGAGGTAATGACAGAGGCAAAAAAATGTTTATATCGCTGAAAACGGCGCGCAAAGAAAAGACGAATGATAACATACGACTGGTCCAATTGAGCCGATAGTGTCATGGGGGAAGGATGATCTTGCCTGCAACGAGGAATAAGAAAGAATAAAGCGAAAATGCATCCAATTGTATTCTCGTTCGGTGAAGGATGTATCGATGATTGACGAGCGAAGTATTGAGGAAGCCGTGACCGCTACCGGATTCACTCACCGCCGAGAGATAAAAAACTGAACCCTGCGGAAGAGGAATATCCATTATAGGTGGCACTGCATAAATAGGCTGACAAGTCCATAGTGTAGAGAAGCCTTGAAGGTGACGGGACCATACTTTGACCCAGGACATCGCTATTGACATTAGTGTGGCTTGAGGCTGAAAAATGACATAGGTTACAGGAGCGGACCATTGCGGTGAGCATCTGGATGTGGGGCTTCGACGAGAGGGAGGTGTTGTGCTCGAGGTAAAGGTGATGTCAATGGAACGAGGTGTAGAGCGACTGTCGAGTCAATGGTGAAAGAGACAGAGTGAAGAGGGAATCACCAGATATGAGGCGTATCTCGCAGAAGATGGACGTGAACTCCAATCGTGTAATAGACGTGCAGAGGCACAAGGAACTTGGGTGTCGAGACCGTGGTCCGCAACGTGCCGAAATATCCATCCCGTTCTCACGGTGTTTCTTTCATGCCTCGTGGTGTTGTTCCATCAGAATACAGCATATGATATTCAACCTGCGCACGCAGTCCAGAATTCAAAGGAAGACGGCACTAAAAACCACCATACCATCAATTGGTTACATTGATACTATCGCGCTACATGTCAATTATTGATCATAGCCCCAAATAAACACATGGCTCGTGTGTTACTTGACCTCTCTTGCTGCGCCCCACAAAATTCTTGGCACAGTTGAGTCAAGTTGCTGCTTGCATCAAGGTAAGTTTGATAGATGACGCAGCCACATTGTTGTCTGAAGTGCGACTGCGGTGCACCTGCCAACGGGAGATGGCATGGACACCTTGTTATTGTGCTCACCTTGTAAGTAAATAACAAGTGTTTCATCCAAGTTTCATGATTATGAACCCTAATAGTGATTGAGTACCAGGTCGAACGTAGCCTAATTTGGTTCACTACATTATGGGGCCAGTATACCAGCACACTGACGACTCAGACTTACAGGAGGTAGTAAACATCAAGCTTCAAGCTTGACCATTTGAAGAACCTGCAACTACCATCGAATGTGTTGCCGGTATTACGACATCCGGACACTAGTCTTTTGAAGGGCTGAGCATTGCTGCATGTGCCTGCGATCGTGTTCTAAATTGTAGAGGAACTACAGGTGCGGAGTGGGAGAACGATAAACTATTTTGATTGGCTGACGCAACTCACAATTTCGGAAAGCCAGCCACGATGATTTGCCATATTCGGCCTGGCCCTGAACGTTACAATGCGAAAGCTCCGAAGCGCCAATTCTCTACAGCTACTTTCATATCGATAGGACCGGACTTGATTTTGTTCCCTTCCGCTCTTGTTTACTTGTGGAACTCGACAAACAAAAGGGTTCCGCTGGTTACGATATCTGGGCGCGCGAAGTGACTCAGAATAGCAAGCTCGGAGTCCACTCGTTTGACGCTCATATTAGTCACCGAGTTGCAACGACGTGCGTATGTCACCTCTCGTGGCGCACGACTATCGAATATGAATTGACAATGTCGTACTAACACGTGTACTACTAGACTATTGTCTTCACGATTGACGATGCTGATTCTTCGTGGTGATGCAAGTTCAGTGTTACTCAGCCCCATGCTCCCGGCTCACTGGGCTGGCAACCTGGTTATTAGCACGACAGCCTTCTCGTCTACACAAATCGGCCATTTTTCTGCACACGCCACGCATACTATTTGGTGGGCGCAGGGATTGGTGTTTAGTGCGTCGCAAGTTTTATTTTATTTTTCTACACCCTTGCTTAAGACTCTCCGAGACCCGTATCTGCCCTTGTCAATCTGGTGCTGCCAGTCCCGTTCATCGCGTTCGCCGTTTACTTTGAAGCCAGCGTTTTGATATTCAGTATCTAATGTTCTAGTATTGTCTTAAATTAAATTAATTCTAATCTATTGCTATCGATGACCGAGACTAAGTTGACACCTTGACAAAGTCTTGCAGAATTGAGACACTGCAATTTTCGCCAAGCCCCTTATCATGAAATCGTTGGGACAAGGATGATGCTCTATTGTCGATATGAAACCTCTGCGAATTTTGCGCCATCAGCAGTGTGGTTTAGCCACATCATTATTAGTAAATGTCTCACACCGATGTGTAACAAACGCTTGCAGTCAAACAATGAATAGAAAACAATACACCCACGCAGTTGGTGTGAATCGTGTGTGGTCAATGTCCACACCTGCCAAAGGTATATAAGGTCACGAACATCTCACGAAAAACATCAGTTGCAAACCCACTCACCTCATACCTCTCTTCCCATTCCAGACCCAGCAATTGGCTCGAAAATAAACGCAATGGCGGTCCTGTCAGGCATCATTATTATCGTTGCCATTTGTATCGGGCGCAGTGGTACAGAAGTATAGCATGCGCAACTACCTCTGCGCAATACTGCTGCTTCTGGTCGACATTTAGACCCACTGTCTGCGTGTGTCATCGCAAGCCCAGTCCAGTCCTTCATTACCCTCGCTGGGAGAATTGGAAGACATGTCTCGACCAAATATCCCAGCGAGGGTAGGTGGAGGAGCTGGGCACGATGCCAAGGATCTTGATGTTCTGCCAGGTGGCTTTTCAAAGGTAAATACTATGTGTCGTACTTTTATGACTTACTGCTCCTTGCAGGGAAGCTACCTCTGCGCAATACTGCAGCTTCTGATCGGCATTTAGATCCACTGTTTGCGCGTGTCATCGCAAGCCCAGTCCTGTCCTTCATTATCTTCGCTAGGATGAGTATCGTGCCGTCGCGACACGACGCTTCCCAGCGAGGGTAGGTGGAGGAGCTGGGCACGATGGCGAGGATCTCGATGTTCTGCCAGGTGGCTTTCCAAAGGTAAATACCATATGTCGTACTTTTATGACTTACTGCATGCCATAGGCTCCTTGCAGGGAAGCTACCTCTGCCAATACTGCTGCTTCTGGTCGGCATTTAGATCCACTGTTTGCGCATGTCATCGCAAGCCCAGTCCTGTCCTTCATTATCTTCGCTGGAAACATTATGGTGCACAGTCGCAACACAATGTTGTCCAGCGGGGGTAGGTGGAGGAGCTGGGCACGATGGCAAGGATCTCGGTGTTCTGCCAGGTAGCTTTTCAATCAAAGGTAAATGCCATATGTCGTAATTTTATGACTTACTGCGTGCTACAGGCTCCTTGCAGGGCATGAGCGAGTGGGATTGCGCTGTGACGTGCAGATGGTAGTTGATCTACTGTATGCCCGTGTCGGCGTAAGCCGGGCCGGTCCCGTCCTTCATTACCCTCGCTGGGAGTATTGGAATGCATGTCGCAATCAAAAACTGCCCAGCGAGGGTACGTGGATGTATTGGGCACCGTAGCAAGGCACTGCTCACAGCATGCACGACTAGAAGGTATGTCCGAGTCTGCAAGAACTGTTTTGTTTTTCAGTTCGGCATTGATGCCAATGATCTCATCACTGAAAATCAAGATGTGCTATAAACCATTATATTTGCCTTATAATGGTCATAATACCCGCAATCTGGTAAAATATGGCAAGCGGTTAGATAATGTCATATATACCTTTAAACACCTAGCCTCCTTGACCAATTTAAATAATGATCATACATATTTGTCGGACTACCAAGTATGGCTTGTAAGTGAAGAGATTAACATCCTTTTCGCCCAATACACTACCTTATAAATGCACAACGGGGAGTCAGACGTTAAGCAACAGCAACTGAAATATGCAGAAGGTGATTATCTAGCTAATGCTAGCTAATATTGGTAATATATATAACGGAATGTTTGATTCTGCGGAACCAATTCGCGTCTACCCCACATGCATGCTCATCATATATAGCTTTAAATACATAGCATTTGTGGCCGTCAGCCGATCTACATAATTATTACATGTATATACCAGGACTCCGAGTACATCAGCAAAACCCAAATGGGGTATGTGGCACTGCATATTGCCGTACAGTGACTCAGGGTTCGCAGGAAGGTCCCCCCATGTGCAGCCGAGCCATAGTGTGTGCTTCGGATGTGTCATGCTGTGCAGTCGGGTACAGCTGGCACAGCGCTGCACAATCCTGTAGCGCTGTATGACGCTGTATAGCACAAACCTGCTATGCAGTGTCATACAGTGGTGTATGGTGTTCCATAGCACTCTTATTACACTACCAGTACTGCTAGTATAGTTTTTGTTCTTGCATGCTAGCAGCGCATTAATACGAAAGCCAATGATAATTCAATTCAAAATAAAATGATAGGACTAGTAAGTAGTAGTATGTAAAACTACGCGAGATCAACATCCCACTCTGAGCTGTCATCACCTTCGTCATCACCAAGGCCGGCGCCATGTACATTCCTAACTCGATGGTCAATATACTGCTACTGCCGTGAAAAATCATGCCGAAACTTACATGCCTTCCAATGCCCAAGCTTTGAGCATTTGACGAAGTTTCGGCCCGTGATACGCGTCTTTGTTCGTGCGGTTGAACAGCGTAGAAATGCGATCGTATGAAGTCTCTGAATCCTCGATAGGCGTCTGCTTGGTGCGACTTACCTGGCCATATTTACTGTAGATGAAGATGACGTTGCGAATCTTGGTAGGATAAACTCAGAATCAGTGAACGCACTTCAAGTTTAAGCATACTACAGGCGCACTCACAATAGTCCCAACGAGGAAGAGCGCTGCGGGTGGGATGGTCTTCTGAAACTCGGCGAAATGCTTTAGCGATTTGGATCCATTGTCATAAAACGACTTATGGCAAACGATGCGAACTGCGTCGTTTGCAAAGTTAGATGCACGACCCTACTTGATGTTCAGAATCGAATATCAAGGACAACGAACAACGTACCTCAGAATCAGGCTCGCCACGCAAATATATTGCTTTCTTCAGCAAAGCGGTTGCCTTGAGTTTGACGCTATCAGTTGTATTCCCGTTGATGCCGAGGGCGAGTTCATATACCATCGGAACGACAGTAAGTACAATCTGTTTGATCTTGCTGCGGAATGTTGCGGCATCGTTAAAGACCTAGATCCGTGTGACTTAGTTAATGGAAATATATGTTGGTAAAAATCGGAGCACTCACCACGGTAGCCATCCCCGTTTTGAACTCAGGGTAGTAGCCTTTGTATGTGTGTCAGTGGGCGGTAACACTGTAATTAGAGAAAAGAAAATACCTTTCTCGAGTTTGCATTTCTGTTCTTGCCACTGTACGATCGCTTCCGCGATCACTTCACCACAGACTCCGGTACCACCAATGGATTCTTCTTTGTCGGGGAATGGGACTGAAGTAGCGATATAGAGCCTGAAATTAGCCTTCGCGCGGTCAAGGAGTTTTTGCCAGAGTGATGGGTAGAACCCAACATTAGTTGCATCACGATTGGTAGCAGCACCCTTCGCTTTCTTGGTGCGGTGGCGCCTCCCACTATCGATATCGACCTCATTGAGATCCTCCAAGTTGTCCTGCTGGTCAGAGTCACGGTCATCGCTTGACTGGGAGTTTCTTGTGCGAGCACGCTTGGTCTTCAGGTGGTGGTTCCGTGCACTGCTCAAATACGTAGGGGACGGAGAACGTGGTCGACGATTTTTCGTGTGGTGAGCCTGGAGGATATCATAATCGATATTTGGCTGAAAAACAGTGTCAATACATGGCGATAGTATGGGTGAGTACTTACGACTATGGGAGCGTTCAAAAGACTCGGAACTTGTTTGTTAGTACTCTGTAGACCCGATCGCTTTGGCGCCGTCCTGCTAGTGGTGCGGTTATTCTGATCATGACGGTCCGTGCCAGCCACTCCCGCGCCATCCTCATCCTCATCCTGTGAATACACGCTATGATCAGGTGCTTGTGTAGGGTGTCTTGCTTGCTTGCTGCCACGATAGGTTTGATCACCGTGATGTGGGGGGTGCATGACGGTGTCACTCCCGTAAAAATCCTCCTCGTGCTCCATAATCTCATCGGCATCATCGTCTTGCGCAAAATCTCCACCCTCAAGCTCGTTATCAACGCCATCATCTTCTGCAAAATCTCCACCCTCCTCAATGTCCTCTTCAATGTCCTCTTCAACGTCATCTTCATCCTCTTCAACATCCGCCTCTTCATGACCTTCTTCAGTTTCAACGACGGACATATTTTGACTGACGGAGGAACCGAAAGCAGGAGGAGTGCGAGCAACGGTATGGTGGGGTGTCATGGTCGCTGATGGCTCCCGCTGAACAGCAGTGTTGAGAATAGGAATAGATGAGCCCGAGCGTTGGTTGACGACAGAATGAGAAACACTACGAGGAACAATACGAGCACCAGCAGGATGCTGGACAGCTGGAATTCTACTTTCATCAGCCTGATGGTCATGAGGAGCGCCATAAGAGGCGCCGTGAGAGACGCTTCGAGAAGCACCGCGAGAAGCACCACGCCGAGAAGCACCACGATGAGAAGCACCACGAGAAATACCACGAGAGACGCTGCGAGAAGCACCTTGAGAGGTACCATGATCATGGACATAGGGCCGGGCAGGAGATATCGTTAAATCAGGTTGAGGATCCGTTTGGTGGGACTGGAGTGGTTTGGAACCAACATATGTTGAGGGAACTGGATGACCCTGCAAACCAAACCTTCCCGTATCCGCGACGTGTAGAGCAGGTGTGGGACCTGCAGCACTAGGGTCTGACTCGGATGCCTCCTGCTAAATACCAAACATTAGTACCGCCGTGATGATGCGGTTTCAGGAATGAACATCAACCAAGCAGGTACTTACTATTGCACTTAAGTTTCTCCGAGTCTCAAGCTGCCGAGGAGCTTTTCCTCCCCTCTTCTTCTTTGCCACCGGAGCCATCGCATTTTCAGGTTCATCAAACGGGACAACGACGTTCTGAACCTTCGATTTTCCAGGTGCTCTGGCCGGAGTCTGAAGAGCATTTCCTATCTTCTCTAGCTGAGAATTCCTTCCTCCAGCACCAGCGCCAGGTCGGTTGGAACGACGACGGGGAGGTTGGACCGACGTCACTGGTTCATTGTCGATGTCTGATTCAACGACTTGAAGCGACGGGACTCCGACTTGTTGCCCCCTCTGTCGGCCCATGGTAAGCACACGACTAGTAGGCGAGTGATGGAGAAGGTGAACCTTCAAAATCAGGTTAAATAATAGTTACAGCATCCATGGGTAGGTACCAGCATGGTGCTTAATTACTAAGTGGTAGTACTACCGAATCCGAATCGTACCGGCACGTTACGTATTAGTACAGTAGCAAAGTCCAGCACATACTAGTACCTCCGTCCCGACTCCCTGCTCAATCTCAATGACAGCTAACTGCCCTAACTGTTTGAAAGAGTTTCAGAGCGCTTGGGCTGTTTCACGACACCTGAGCCAGCCCCTTACATCCTGTCTACGATGGATTGATCAGCTTGAGGATGCAGCGCAAATCTTGCGAGACTCACAGTTGGCGGACCAGCACGCAACTCTCGGCCCATCTGAGTCGTCATCCAACCCTCGTCATTCCAGAACACCAAGCCCTTTTCAAGTTCAAGTTGATAGTGAGGAAATGGTGTATGTTCAGGATATGAATGACTCGGGCTATTTCTACGGTGACGAGGGAGGCGTGGTGGGCTTGGAGAGTGACCTGCCAGGGTCGGTTGAAGAGCCTTTGGGCAGCCAAGCTTCGGAGAAGCCTTACGTCGAGCGCTTCAGGAACGCTGCGAAAGTGTATCGGCGCGGCCAGACCTTTTGGGACAGGTTTAATATGGATCCCTATTCAGCATATCGCAAGGACAACCTTTACTATCCATTCGCGTCCCGTCAGGACTGGGAGCTCGGCAGCTTTCTCCTGTGCTCGTCATTAAGTATGGCCGCCATAGATGAGTTCCTGGAGCTCGAACTAGTACGGCTTGAGTCAGCTGGCATGTTACTGTCACAAGTGCTGATTTCTTCGCAGATTAAAGCATTGTCTCTCTCCTTTCGTACAGCCAAGGAGTTGCGTGGTCGTGCTGAGCTGCTACCTCCTGTTCCGAAGTGGCAGTACCGCATAGTCTCAACCACTCACCCAACAAAACAGCCGTTATATTTTTACTGGCGCGATCCATTGGATTGCATCAAATCGCTTTTTAGCCACCCGTTGTTTGCTAAAGAAATAGATGTCACGCCGCAACGTGTATATCACACAGTGGAACGCACATCACGAATTTACAATGAATGGCTGACGGGTGACACAGCATGGTCGATGCAGGTAATACATACCTGACTATCAATGGTCTCCAACTTGCTAACTCTCACATCTCATCGTAGTCACAACTTCCAGATGGTGCGACATTGTTAGGTGTCATACTGTCCTCTGATAAGACCAACATCACCAACATGACTGGTGGACGTGTCGCTCACCCGCTCCTGATCAGCCTTGCCAATATCAAGATGGCAACTCGAAACAAGGCATCCTCACATGCTTTCCTCCTAACAGCGCTGCTTCCAATTGCTGAATTTCTGCATCCAGTGAAACGGATGCAGAGTGTTCTTGAAGCCCGCTTAGTCCACCAGTGTCTAGATATCGTGCTAGAGCTGCTCAAGCAAGCTGCACGCATCGGCCGGATGATGTCGGACCCACTTGGGAACCTCAGATACTGTTTCACTCCCTTAGCTTCGTACATTGTCGATACACCCGAGGCATGCATGCTCGCATGTGTCCGAGGAAAGACCTCACCGATCACTATGGCTATGTATGAAAACTTCGGAGACGCCTTCCAGCACTCCCCTCGAACAGCTAAAATGACTCTCGACCAGCTTTTGAGCATTAGTTGTGACCCCCTCGACGTCGAAGGTTACTTTGATGCATGCGCTCCATTCCGCCTGAGTGGTGTAGCCCAGCCATTCTGGCGTGATTGGTCACTTGCAGATCCGCATGTATTTTTCACTCCCGAACCCCTGCATCACTGGCACCGTGAGTTCTATGATCACAATGTTAAGTGGTGTCTCGCAGCTGTTGGCGAACAGGAACTAGACTTTCGCTTCTCCGTTTTGCAACCACTCACGACGTTCCGACACTTCAAGGATGGCATTTCCAAGCTTAAACAAGTCACTGGAAGAGCCCAACGTGATATGCAACGCTATATTGTTGCTCTCATTGCCGACGCAGCCCCCCGTAGTGTTGTGATAGCTGTTCGCGCGCTGATGGACTTTCGCTACATATCGCAAGCGACAACGATCGACGAAGCGCATTGTCAAAAGATTCTCGGTGCCCTCAAGGAATTTCACGAACACAAGCAAGAAATCATTGCTTGCGGTGCACGTCGAGGTGCGAAGAGCAAACAGGTCCTCGACAACTGGCATATACCCAAATTGGAGTTGATGCAGAGTGTCGAGCCCAGCATACGTCAAGTCGGCTCTCTCTTGCAGTGGTCTGCCGACACCACAGAGCACGCTCACATCACCCTAATCAAGGATCCCGCAGATTCCTCCAACAACATCAACTATGATGCTCAAATATGCTGGTTTCTTGATCGCCGAGAGAAATGTCGAAACTTCCAGATTGCAACATCAATAATCGCTCATACACAATCACAGTCACAAGCTTCTACTTCTCGAACGACGGATGCCAGTTCGGAACATCATGACGAGTCGCACGACGAAGATCCACACGCTGACAAATCAAACTTGCAGACAGGTTTGGATGATCTCTGGGGGCCGAAGCGTGTAGTGACCGATTTCTTCAAGAAGGCAGAGCAACTCTCTTCAGATATCGAAGTAGCCAGACCTCTCCGCACATTCGTGGTCGGTGCAGCAGCAATCCACCTGAATTTCGATTTTTCAATACGACGCATACCAGTCGATGTCGTCGCTGAAAAATTCTCTCTACCCGACTTGCGGGGAGCACTCGCTGACTATATTCAACGAGAGGGTATGGCTCAGAACGTCCACTCGCTGAGGGGACAACGCCGAGCATTGCCTGATGCACCTCTTCCTTTTAATGACCTTATGGTCTGGTTTAAAGTACGCGTGCAGCAGGCATCGTACCACAGCCCATCAATCACTCCTCCTGCTCTCACAGTCAACGCGCATCCTCCGAGCGCAACTTGGAAGTATGGGCGTTATGACGCTGCTATTTTCACTGTTGATGACACCGGACGTGAACAATGGCCTACTAGTGGGCTTAAAGGTATGTTTCTCAGATGTCCATTTGTATACTTGTGTCCGAGTTTGACATCCGAGCAACTTGCAGGCCATGATGTTGTTGAGGTGCACCTTATCATGCAACCGCTTCCTCCACGAGGAAAACCTGGTAGTGCCCCTTGGGCCACGCGTTTTCTTACTTATGTTCAGCGCCTAGATGTTATGCCTCAGCGTCATGGAAGCTTGCTGGAATGCACAACACAGATGCATGTTTTAAAACGTGCAATGCGATCAGCAGGGACTCCCTTCGGTGATATCCTCCCACTAGATCAACTTCGTTCTTTTGCTCAAATTATCCCCCGCTTTGGTCGTGTTGCTGATTCTCGTTTAACAGCACAAAATAGTGCTCACTTTGCTCAGACATTCTTCCTAAATAAGTACATTGACAAAGACTTCTACTATGCTATCTCAAACTAGTGTAGTCTTTTGCATTATGATTCAATTGTATGGAAAAGTACTAGGTTGAAGATGATAGTTGATATTAATGATTGAAGCACTCTGTGCTCGATGTATGATACTATGTGTCACTGTAAGACACTGCACAATCCTAGACTGTACAAGGACCTGCTGTATAGCTCTGTATAGCGCTATATAGCGCTACCTTAGACACGTGCCTCTCAGCTGACTAATAAACTCCAGTCATCAATGGAGATGATTGACAGGCCAACCCTCACTGGTTGTCAGCATCATACTACCTCTCTCAATGCCTGTCACCAGCAATCTCACTGGCATGGCTCTTCCAGCTCTTTATTCTAAGCTCTCACAGAGTTCAAAGTCTTGGCTTCCAAGATCACCCTCAATGAATTTGATCCTCCCTCCTCAATGTGTACAACTCGAGAAAATCTCCTGTTCCTTGTATAATCATGTTCCAACGGAAACAGAACTTCAAGACAAGCAAATTCTTGAAGACCTCAAGACAGCAATAAAGACAACACTCGAGGTTCAATTTACAGACTTGGATAATCCCGATTCTTTAAGCTTAGGTTAGTATTTCTCAGATCGCTTATTACACATTCAAATCTTCTTCCTGACCATTCATCAACACAAACTTGAAGACCATTGCGCCATTGTCCTTGAAGCACTCCAACATCCTCAACCTCATACAATTGTAGGCCGATCTACACGTTAAGTATCGTAGATCAATATTTACCATTATCTGAGGTCATCGCCGATATCACGCCTACAGAGTACGCGGTTGTGGTAGCATTTACGTCGGAAGAGCGAGATTTTGAAGTCAGAGCAAAGTAAACAGTAGAGTAGTAGCTGAGTCGTACGCGTATACTGACCACGTCTCATTTCTTACTACAGATTCGTCTACTTCGCGGATACTCAAGATATTTACATCATGCCCCCCCTTCCCGTCCATGAACAACCAGCTGCGCACCTTGCGAAGGCCGTGAACAAGTTCACGGAAGCCATCCCTTACGACAAGCTCCTGATCGACACCACTGTACACCTCAATCATCGCATCCAAAACAAGGATTCGACGAATATACCAGATCTACACCTTACCGTCACAGCACAACCCCCGGAGGATATAGAGTCAGATGAGATGGTGGTAGCGAAGCCGGTGTCCAAATGGGTTGGAGAATGCGGGCTTTCCTCAGATACCAACTGCATGGTGCGGAAGCTAAGCAACACATGCGACGGCCATCAAGACATTGATTACGCTTTCATCATATCCTTCAAAGAGCGAATTAAATGGCAACAACCAAAAGAAGGGGACACCACTATTCAACAACTTCGCTCAGCTCCCGCGTTAGATTACGAAGACTTCATCCCATCCCGCATCAAGAAGAGCTTGAGGTTTGGACCGGTGGAGATCAAGTCTCACACCTGGATTGATATCAGCGAGGTCCGCTACAGCATATACAAACGTGGCACGGACGGTCACTTTGATTTCAACAACAAGGATGCTTCTACATTCGCAGAGGGGGTACGTGCTATGTGTTCACCTTATTAGTATCTACTAATTTTTGGCCTCAACTCGCCCCCCACAGACCCTTTACCCCGTGTTGCAGATGGGTGATGTTGAACGCATGTTGGATAACGCCGCAGAGAGCTTGAAGGGTTACATTGTATCATTGATGGAGGGTATGGGTCTTGAGGAGAGTGCAGTTCAGAGTGCGCGTGATTCCCATCCCGTATTTGAGCCCGTTTGGGGGGCAGCCCTCAACTCTATCTCCTCCGCGATCTACCTTACAGCATATTGCCGCTACTTGGACTGGCGCCACCACAAATACGACAAACGCAAGACAATGCACGTTGTCATTCAACAACCCTCAAGCTCCGAGTCTACCAGTACCGGACCAACCGATCCTTCGACCATTACGACAACTTCTTCCTCATCTGATCCCACAACTCGCCCCTCGTCCGCCACGACGCCGGCCTCTTCATCTACTGGGTTATTGCTCGACGTGCAGCCTGAGCGCTCAGCAAAGAAGTTGAAGGTTCAGCCAGAAGGTGAAGGGTCTACTAGGGGGAAACAGCAGAAGGAGGCAAAGGCACAGGTGAATGGGAGTGGGAGTGGGGGTGGCAAGGGGAAGGGGAAGGGGAAGGGGAAGGGGAAGGGTCGTCAGTAGTGGGCTCTTGCCGTGTCGATCGTCAATGGTAAGTGTCCGTTGTTTGACTCAACTTCCTCTTAACACTGACGATTTACAATCGGTAGTACTTCAAATCTTCGCTTGTTCCGAGTCTATCGCACCAGCACTCCGAGTCTTTGAATTTGCTGGTCTACTACTACTAGTTTGTTGCATTTCTTTTGTACTTTCAGAGCCTACTACTACTATGGATATTTCTCACTGTACTGTGCGCTAGTTAGCCTATGTAGGTACTATGAGATTCGCGTACAATTTGTCACATCACGTTTAACCACTCACTCTCGGCGTGACCCGGGAAAATTGAACTACTAACAGCATAACTTCAATGGCCTCCGGTGCCCAACCTGCAACAGACACGTCTCTTACAGGGATTTCACCTGATCGAAAACGCTCACATGAGCCCCAGACCCATCTAATAACACAAGCAATTCACGCCGGAACGCGTGCGCCAGTACCACCAAAACCAATAGGACCTTTTTCTGCGGTCTCCAGCTCAAGCACAGAAGGACCAGTCGTAAACAACACATCATCCATTCATCGCACTCCATCCAAGTCGTCCATCTCTGAGGCTCAACATATGTCTACTGTACTAGTACCTACTGCTATGCAAGGCGTTTTGCATTCTAACTTGAAGCACATTGGAATGCCTAGGGCCATTGGCGCTCTACGAAACCGATCCCCTGCATTATTGCGCCACTTGACCACGCCGAATGTTGCGCGTTCTACTCTCGGGTTGAACTTGAACAAAGTTCCATCACCTGTATTCTCGGTAAAAACAGAGTCAGACTCAAACTGCGAAGACAGCGACAATGTAAGTTCAACAGCATCCATACACGCTATCTAGTACTAAATGACAATATTGCCCAGGAATCTACTCACACCATCGACACCCAGGCCCGGTCTAGCGAGGAACACAAGGCCCAGCTCGTTTTGAACGCGACCCGTGCACAGCGAGATGTTTGCTTTGCGGAGAAGACACTCGCAGATTGTGTTGTCCAGCAGAATAGAGCACTTGGGCTCCTCTACCAGTTCGAGGCTACAGAAGCTGGGAGGAAGTTGGAGGACGCTCATATCGACATTGGTTATGTACGTCATTCGGTCCACAAAATCGGCATCACATTGCTCGAGGACTTTACTAGTAGTAAGCCTCGAAAACGTCGTCGCAAATCTACTAGTCAGGTTGATGGTGATACGCTCAGCCCGGAAGTAGACTTGGCTCTGCCACTGCCCGGGCCACTGGCAGGTAATTGTATTCTGTTAAATTTGTTCGACCGCTCCTATTGACGTATTTTCTATGAAATAGATACAGGATCTGCGAGCGCGACCCAGAGCTGAGTCAAACACTCGAGAATCTTCTGAGGTAGCGCCCGATTCCTTGACCTGTTATTCAAACTAGTAGATACTCTTCTGGCACGACATATAGTATACTGGCAGTACTACTAGTACTATACTGTTTGACTTGATATCCCGGATCTACTGTATTAGCAGTCGCAGTACATACTTTTAATGAATCAATGTTTGTTTCAAGTCGTTCTTTCAAGTCGTTCAAACTCAAGTTAACTTGAAGAGCTGGTACTACTAGTACTACTCGGGTCGTTCGCTGTAGCGCGCTGTGTGGTGCTATGTCGCGCTGCAGAAGTCTACTTTATGTACAGTTATGTCATTGTGCACTGCACGTGGTCGCTACACATCACTACAGGTGCCTGCAACTGCTGTAAGGTGCTGTAAGATGCTGTAAGCTGCCACGGTAGCTGTGCTAAATTTAGTGTTTTGCTGATGTATGGTACTCTACACATGTATCCCATAGCTCAATGGTATCTTGGCACTAGCCTCTATCCCGGTAGCTCATTTGCAATGCGACAGTAACAAATGGTTGGCCATGAAAAGTACTGCGAGCATCTTGAAGTTCAACACGAGCAAGATGCAGGTGTTATTTGGTACTACTGATTTCGTATGCAGGATTTGCAGGGCATAGACTCGTGCGCCAGCAGAGCATCGAGCGCAGTAGCAGAGCATGGTAGTAGAGCATTGAGAGCGGTAGTAGAGCATCGAGAGCAATACTAGAACATCGAGCACAGCAGTAGATGATCAAGTCCAATGATAGGATGCAGTTCGGCAATGGGAGTTAGCCATGGGATCAAGGGCTGGCCATCCAATCGAATTTCTACCGTTGAGCGCCCCGAGTTTCCTGTGGGGTTGTTCCTAGCCATAACCAAGTTTCCTAGACAGACGAACTTTACAAATCCGAGGGAAATGCGGACCAGGAGGGGATTTTCTGGAGCAGGACTTGTCGAGAAAGTAGTATTAATGAGTGAGTAAAGGTAAAGCAGGCGATTGTGTGGGTACAGAGCATCGCCGGGGCGCAAAGAAGGTCCGATAGAGTCTGATAACGAGTAACGAACTATTTCTTATAAATGACTAGAAAATATACTTGGTGAGCGGTGATTGAGGTCTTGACTTGCTCTGCCGACACGTACCTCGTTTACTTTCAGATCCGGGAACCGAACTGTTTCAGAATAGGAAGAATTGCATTATTAAAGTTAGGAATGGAGCAGGGTTGCAGGGCTGCGAGCTTCGGTGTCAATAGCGGACAACAAAAACGAACGGAGAACCGAACCGCTTTGCTTTGCTTGAAGGGGAATTCGGTTCTCGAGTACTTACATACTTGAACATGAGACCGAACTTGCCTGCCAAACTAGTGTCTAGTAGTTCGACTCGGAACATCAAGACAAATGACTAAAATAACGAACCTTTACCATGGTAGAGAACTTGAACATCAACTCGGAAGGGAAAAGAGGCTGAAGAGCGGCTATATCGCAGTATGCATAATCAAACAGCGAGTCAGTGGTCTCTTGCGGGGAATTGACAGGACATGCACAGACTGGCAATGCGGTGAGGCCAGATGCTCGACCGCTTCCGTGTCCTTGATGGAACACCAGTACTAAAAGCGAGAAATCTGACATGAGGTGGTAATGGTTGAGTCATCACAAAGAAAATAAAAGAGAAAACAGACCGAAAACCAATAGTTTGATTTGTGTCTTAAATGTGCAATGTAGAGCACTCGGAACTTGATAAGCTGTTGCCAGTGGGATATAATGGCATGTCCAATGGGTTCCGATGAGACCGAGAGTTGCAAAAATCCTGGCATTCGTCTGTCGCCCGATATACCATTATATTGGCATATCAAGCGCTGCATGGATGGAGAATATGGTCCAAAAACGATATTCTCACGTGCACTTGATAATCCAATACACCGGTATGTCAGGGTATATCATGGCCAAACAAAATTAGCTGAAAGGGTAATATAACTCGACTCATATCAGGCTGAGTGAATTTCAGTGATGCCTAGTACTGTTTTCGGAGGTAAGCGTCGTGTGTTGTCATCATCCAACCGATCACTCACTACATGTGCCACAGTCTACACCGTACGTACGGGTAGGTGAGCATTACTCGTATTCCCGGTGTTAGGCTCGCGCTGGAGCGGCAAACATGCGACACTGAGTTTCTCATGTTTGCCGCTCCAGCGCAAGCCTATTGACTTCCCGTCAGGCTTCAAAGTTCCGTGTTCCATTCAGGCGAAACTCGATATCAGCAGTAGGGCAGATCTAGAGCTGACCGGACGGTGATGATAGCATAAATAGGTTATGACTGGGTACTTTACTCACTACATGTGCCACAGTCTATACCGTGCATACGCGTAAGTGAGCATTACTCGTATTCCCGGGGTCAGGCTCGCGCTGGAGCCGCAAACATGCGATACTGAGTTTCTCATGTCTGCCGCTCCAGCGCAAGCCCGTTAACTTCTTGTCAGGTTTCAAAGTTCCATGTTAACTTGGAAATCGACGATATCAGACCTAGAGCTCAGAGGGCCGCAGCATAGAAGGTCCTTTGATAGCATAAATAGGTTATGACTGGGTACTCCTGAGCAACATTTGAAATTGATTGGTGGAGAACTCACCGCGGGCGAGTCTGACATTGAGCCAGTTCATTCCCCAAATATGAAATGACATCATTCAATTTATCTGACAGACACGAGGCGCAGATCATTTCAATTGACATTGACACCCCATCAACACCATGGCTCCATGTCCTCGAGGCAGAAGCATGTAAGTACATCGATAAGATAAACAGTCCAGTCACCAAGAAAGGTATGGTCATTGGGATTAATGAACTATCCCGTTCTCGACCATTGCTGCAAGCACAAGACGGCGACCATCCCAGAAAGCATTAACGCGCCACTTTGATCAACACAGCTATATTAAGGACGAACAGACCGATCAACGCCTACGTAAGTGATGGTGCGTCTGCGCTTCGACAGAATGCATGGCGATGAGGTGGCAGTTATAAGTACATAACATCTATACATGTTGATGTAGCATGCTGTATTAAATAATAGCGCTAGAAACAATAAGTATACATACATAGCCTAGAACCACCACGAGTGCCTGTTATGGCTGGTCACCGCTTGGGCTCATGTCTCGGAGAGGGACATTGACAACGCCAAGCTCAATGACAGGTGGTCCATCCGCCTCCCGCGCGTGATATTGTGTGGGCATTGCAATGAGGACAGCTACGCTTACGGAATAAGGTGCCGATGTTGACGGAGATGAAGATACAGGTGTAGAAGGAACAATCGGAGATGACGTCGCCGGTGCTGGTGAAAATGGTGTACGGTAAGATCGTAGGAAGCGCATCGTGCGAGACGACGCGTCAGATCGGGTTTGCGGTGACTGTGGCCTCGAGGACCGTGCACTTGAAGAAGACTTAATATGAGCGGCGTAGACGGGCTGTGACATGAAGTTAGCGACAGCACTTGCGGGACGTTCTGCACGAGAGAAGCGTACCATTATGTCATCCCAAGCACATTTGATGTCAGCTGGGCCCTCCTCATCACCACTCCGGAGCCATGCTTCCCACAACTTTGGTTTCTTTCCAATATCTCTTCGTCTGCGACTCCCTCTGGGATCATACGGTTGGTGAGGGAGCCATGTCCCTGCTCGGATAGCTTCTTCTACAATGCGTTGGTGACGTCGTCGAAGTACAAGGCTGCGGATAACAATGGCGGATGAAACAGCGAGGAGAAGGACGAGTGTAGCTATTAGCGCCGTATACGACATAGATGTAGAAGCCATAGGATTTTGAGTGGAGGTAGACATCGCGAATCGTCAATGGTAGTGAAAGCAAGAAACGAGAGACACGAACCAAGAAAGGTGTAGACTGTGAAAGGCGAATTGATCATTTTGGTATTATGGGGATGAGTTTGGGTAATATGATTTCATGCACAGGTAACCGAACCGGTTCGGGCAGTTGAATAACACAAGCGAAGAAATTCCGGAACCACAGGAACGAGTCAGCGTACCACAAACACACGAGTAGGAAGTTGAAGGTAGAGGAGTGAGGGAAACATCGGAAAAGCAGTGTGAGAGCCATGTCACCATAACAATCAATTAGACTCACGATACAAGGCAGCACTCGAAGTTAAGCTGGGTTCGGCACTAGTAGTACTGCTCGTACTACTACCATTGATTGCACCAGTAGGAGTACCAGGAAAAGAAGATGTAAATAATGGTGAAAAAGTACTAGTGCTTGACATTTTGCGTGCTGAGCTGGCAGACCTTCTGGGAAGTTCAGTTAAGCGGGACCAAACCGTCGGAGACTATTAATGTATAAGGTCTTGAGAATACAAGGGCGAAAAATTGAGAGAGTCAGAGAGATGTGCGCGTGGGGTTTCGGTCGCCGTCCGCAACGACGAGCTGGTCACACTGAATCCTGATCGACGATATCATTCCTCAGTGAACAATATTTACGGAATTTTGCGAAATGAATTCGCACACTTCCAGTGACTGGATGGCCACGGCAAAAATTTGATCATAAACATTTCCAACTTCTTATTGATCACTGCGCAATCCAAAGTGGCCCGGTCCAGGGAAATCCATTATCCTTTGCAGCCATGTCACGCATCAATTATGCATGATGCCTATCATTACTCTCCGGCTGACACCGAACAGCGTGGATTCAGGTTCCAGACTACTGACTTACTGAGTCCGCGGCGGCCCTGACAATGAGGTTGATTCTCTTGGCCAGGGTTTACAACACCGACATGGTACTGCAGCCACCACAAAGTAAGTAACCACGCGTTTCTGTGCTAATTAGAGTAAATCCGTCGTCTCGGTAAATTACTTGGAGGTAGCGGCGGAGGCACATTCTACTTCTGTTCATTTGAACTGTGACATGACGAACGAGCAGTAGCAACTTTTTCCCTAGTCACGACTCATCTCGGAGGTGTATTGCGCGATTCCGTGTAAGTAAAAAATTTACTTTGGGTATTGCCTGTGACTGAAAACTTTGTTTTCTGCTAGCAGGAATACATCTCATGTCATCAATACACCGAACTATGAGATGCCCGGGCCTTACAGATACGGTGGCACGCAAAAAATGCAGTGCGCTTATTTGCAATGCGTGTCTACACACGAAAACTTCAGCAGCACGCGCCCCTTGAATCCAATACTGTCCATTCAGAGCGGGTACCTGTATATGGGCGTGCTAATTAGGAGGAGAATACCCGTGTCTTTTCCTCTTCTCCGTTCCTGCGAATGCTCCGAGACACGTAGTAATACCCAAGTGCTGGACCCTGGTTCGGTTCGTTCTCGGCCCCCTCACACTTTCAGTTTCCGGCATTCACTTCAATTTGACTCGCGGTAACCTCGCCTCTCAATGCGTATACATATTTCATGTTCTTACAACCCGTGGGGATTTCGATTTGAATATTGTCAGCTTTTGAAAGGCGAGATTAGGCCGCTATTGTTTGGAAAACAGATACGGGAGCTCTCAGCTCATTCGTCATTCATTCTTCCAGGTGTACGCTGATGCATCGACGTTTTAAACAGTCTTTATTCACTGATCGTCGTTCACCACAGAATATCAAGAAGCTATTCGACGCAGCTGTGCGTTAACTAGTCCTTGTTCCTTCCCGCGATTTTGACTATCTACATTCTAGTTCATGCTACACGGCAATGACCTCCGAAAATCGAAGGTGCTCGTCGACTCATCAGTGCAAGGCTGGTCCTCGTAGGGCTTAATTGTGCGCTGTAGGCTGTGCCACGCATGTGATAAGTTATCGGTCGTACGATATGATACGATATGACAATTGATGCCTACTAGAAGCAGCAGTTTATGTAATAACAATAGTTGTGCATACCGTGTACTTTGCCACGGTGCTCACTTCCTCCGCCTACCCCCGCTGGGCAGTCCCGTGTTGCAATTGCAACATGGAGTTGCCAGCGAGGATAATGAAGCTTGATAGAACCGGGCTTGCGCAGAAACAGCAGACTTAGATCCTTCAAGTCTCAAGATCTCACCCTTCGGTGCAAGCCTCATTACGGCCTGCTTATCTCCTATAAGCCGTGGCGCATAGTAAGTTTGTGGTTGTACTTTCATAATCTGATACGATATTCACCCTCGGCGAACCTTGAAAAATTTGGGGTGATGCCGTTCAGAAGGGCTCAGCAGTATTTGGGCATACTGTTACCTATGCTGTGCCAGTGCGCTGGGTGCCAGCAACGATGGCGAAGCCTGATAGGACCGTCGTTGCGTTTGCTTGCAGCGATGCCGAAAAAAAATGCACGGCCGGTCCTCCCGAGCACCAGTGAGGATCACGGGGCCCGGCGAGGCCGTGCTTTGACAGGAATGGACAAACTTCTGTGATCAAGGCCTCTTGGAACCAGGCAAAGACCGGCCGCTGTAGGATTTGTGGCTTGTGGCACACAGTAAACTATGAGCCAGTAGGCAGGTCTGGTGGCAAGTGAGGCATTGAGGGGTGAGTGGGTCTGCAACTTATTTTTAGTGAGCTGTTCGCGACCTTATATATCTTATCGCACGTGTGGGTGAGTTGTTTTCTATTCATGGCTGGCTGCAAAATGTACTTCGGAGTGAGACATTTTTCTGATGATGATCAAGGGCGATGGCGTATAGTGGCATCCTACTGCTAGTGGCAGCCCAAGGTTTCATGTCGACAATGGAGCATCCTTGTACGATTTCATGATTTTTTTTGAAGAAAAATTCTCTCATTGTCACTGTAGGCTGGCCTAATGTCGACAGGACTTGAACTTCAAGTATTATGCGATGTCAAATATGATCGAGTTAAATGTATAAATAAGTGTCCATCGGCTTGTACCTCCGCTGGGGGAGTGTACGAAGCAGTGAGAGTTGGTCTGGCAGCTATCTAGGATGATTTCGTGATACACATCTGGCCAGAAACCGCACAAAGTCTTGAATGCTTCGGAACTCCCGTAAATCCACTGTAAGATCTTCTTGTTTTTGGCCAGGTGTAGCATTGTATATAACGTCATAGTCTGATAATATTGCCCCCTATGTATGCGACGGAAACCTTGTCCCTGAATAAAGCCACGGCGAGAATTTACTGTCTTAGAGATGTGAAAATAAATAATCTTCGCTTGTCTGTTATTTTACCGATCCGAATTAAGTTGTTCAGGCACTAGCTGATGGGAGGGAGAGATTCAAGGTTCTCCCAGTGGAATTGACTCCACGAGGGACAACGAGTTAAGCGATGTTGGAGTGACAGAACAAGCAAATATCGACTGTTTTCGTATTGCCCGCACTACCACTTAGTGCCCGGTTTAATCTAACGATATAGATATGCCCGCGGCGAAGATTTTACTAGTAGTCATCCTCAGATGATCAATTTCCGATGAATCCTTCATGTATCCAGTGGATTTAACAAACATGTCGAAGTCGTGGCAGAATACTCCATCATCACAAACATACGAAATCGGTTTTAAATGGGAAGGTGAGCTGAACAGCCGTTCCTATTAATTCGGAATTCCAAAGGTGGTCAATTTACAAGTGCCGAATGCAAGCTCGTACCTGCAGGGGTAGAGCCAGCGCTTTCTTTCGCGAGATCATCAAGTACGATTGGCGGCTCATAGTATTTCCTGGAGCTATGCTGAGAGAGCGAGCATAGTTGATAAAAAAATTGTTTGCAATTTCGTACGTACCATTGACTAAAAGAAGGGAGGCATGGTCAAGTGTCACTGCAGGGAAGAAATTGAGGTGATTGACATGAGAAATTGCAGTGTAACATCGTGTGTCAGTATTTCCCCATCTCTGCCATAATTGCTTACAGTATCCAAATGACCACGAGATCGACGTAATATTGAGGGAAGAGTGCGTGCTGGAATTCTGGGTGGCAGTTCAGACTGAGAGCTGAAACAGACTCCCGATAGAGTCTGTGAAGGACACTGTCACTGCGTACCACTATGCCCTTCAGATTTCGATTTATCTCCTTGCGTCGGATCCTTTGTTCCTGACAAAATTCATTCTAAAAATTGAAGGACGTCCAAAACGCGACCACGGCACCCGGACCAGCCATCTCGTAGTCTAAGAGTCCAAAATAGTCTAAACCACACTCCACCAACACGCCAAATAAGCTACAGGACAACACGCTACACCGTAGGGTCTGCAGGTAACATACCGGACATGGAAATACATTCAAGGGAATCAGAGTCGTACGCGTGCCAGTTGTCATGCCAGAGATCGAGGTGCATGCGCGTGGCGAGGATTGCGAGGATAAGGACCTGCAAACTATAGGTTTTTGGGGGTGTTGTATGTAGGAATTCTCAACGGAAGTGGGAAGTGCATACCGTTCGAAGAAGTCTATGGACTGGTATGCGGGACATCAACGGCTCAATCGTATTGAACGGTATAGTATCTACTCACAATATAGGAAAACAGCACTGGTGTGAGGACGTTCACGGCTGAGAGAACTTTCGTAACAATAATCATCATCGATAAGCACGGAAAATATTTAAACTTTGACTCACACAAACTGCATGCGTAGTAAAACATGTTATGCTTCATCAGGATATGCAGGCGGCCCTTTGTCTGCCAGCTCTGTATGATAGGTATGAGTGTGAGAAAGACCAATACTGGGGAGTGCGTTGGTCAGCACGTGTCTGTAACGTATGTTTTAAATTCCCAGCGACATACCTACTGCAAGCACAAATAAGAGAAGGAATGATACGAAGAAATAGACATTGCTCGAGCTCCGGTAGCAGCCTACAGTACCCGGGATCGTGCTAGTTATGACTGAAAGTGGAGTCAATATATGCGAACATTAGTGGAGGAAGGTGAAAGTACAAACCATCAGAGGTGGCAACAGCGGTAAACCAAATGCTGATGAATGATACAATGATAGCCTGAGTGAATGGTAAACGTTGCAACCACGAGAGTGGGGATCAAGGTGGCATGGAACTCACAGAAAGGGTGGACAGCATGGCTACGAGTACAATTCGATTTTTGTTCCAAAGCGCGTATGTTCTGAGTATAAAAAAGCCTGCGTGGGTCAGATCAGGAGTATGTGTATGTCGTAGGGAAAGGGGAGATACATTCAGAGCAAGTGAGTGATATCACTCCCAAACCTATAAGAGGAAAGATCAGCCCTCGGCCAGGAAGTGCAGTTACATATACCGTGCACGTACATGAGTAAATATTGATCAACATCCGGCATTTCTGGCAAATTCATGCAGTAAGCGTTATTCATCGGTGGGCAAGTCTCACATACATCTGGGTTGTCGTTCGGGGTGAAGATCACTGAAACACAACATGTCAGTTCATCTATGCTCACTGCTTGGAATGAACGTACTATATAGGTCCGTGGCGATGAAGAAGAAGGGGACATATCGTGCAATGATATAAAGGGCTTTTAGCTTATTCCAACGTGACCGAAGCAGGAATGTCCACTTGGAACAGCATGTTATTAGTATCCAAAGCGAGGCGTGTAGTAGAACAAGTGCACGACTTACCTCTTCGTGAAGTGAACTAATGTAATCATAGGTCTGGATAGACAGGTTTAACGGCAAACGGGAATAGATTGGGACAAGCCTACCCAAAATGTAGCCAGTGTCACTGAGTTGTTAAGTTAGAACGAGGGAGACGCAGTTCAGACCACACGCACCACATGTACACTGGTGGTCGGGCATGATGCATGATGAGTATCTGTTAATATCTTGGCCTTATTAGGGAAGCGACGTACCGCTAGGTAATGCAGATTCCAGGCCGTTGCGACTTGGACATCGTCAGCTGAAGAATCCATCTGCTTTCGTTCGAGTGGCAAAGAAACAGGTTTCGCGCGCACATCATACAGTGCTTTTCTTATCTCTTATGAATGAGCTAGAAACCCGTCGAGATGGGGGTGTAAATATTGGCGACACTGGTATGATGCTTAGCTGGATGATCATGGGGAACGTGTCACTGGTTGATTGATTTACATAACATCAGCCGTGCAGGACGGAGGTTGATAAGAATTATGGTAGTTGGGCTAGACTGATCAAGAGCATAGTCATAGGTACTTACTCGATTTAGAGCACCGCCCAGCTCTATATAATTAGATTTGATCGACACATTGTAGGTTGACTCGCATGTGCTCAATATCGTGTCGGTCCTTAATTCTTGCTTTGAAGGCTTAGAGTTTGAAACGCCAGTAGTCACGGAAATACACCGTGGGCCACCCTCACCACGGAGACGAGAAATTAACCCAGTCGCTAGACCTAGGTCGCCATCATGGGCAGCATATACATGAAGGTGGGTAACAAATGCAATGTCAACGCCACTGATGATACCTGCTGTACACGACTATTCATTAAACTCAAATTCTCAGCGGACAACGAAGACCTGACCTGCTACTGCCTCGGACTGCTCTGACAATGTTGCGCTCTGCTCGGCTAATCCCAATCCAAACACCGCGGAACCTCCTCTTCGCTCTCACCCTCTGCCTAGGGATCCCTACTCCAACGCCTTTCCCTTGAATAGTTGCCACTCATCAACAACGCGGTTGGTCATTAGGACTAAAGAGCCCACGAAAGAAAGTTGGGGATCATGACTTGCGCCAGAGAGCTCACGACCGCTGAGAAATGTACGACCAGTTAGCTATTGAAAGCAGCTGCGACAGGTGAGCGACGGGATAGACTGTTGAGGTTACATGATAGTTCTGGTCAAAAGGACTTGACGAAAAAAAAGGAACTCACTTGTACAAACTCAAGGATCGGGTTGTCGTTTCACAAGGTGTATATCATTGAGTTTTGAGCGTTAACGCGGTGGAGAGAAAGGTGGAAACTCCAGTCTACGTTGGGTCGAGTTAGGACAGTTAAATTTTCAACCAGTCTGATTGGCCCCCATCTGCAACCCGAATTTAGTCCACGTCGATCGATTTTGAGGTCTGGAATAGGTCTTGTGTATGTACCACGTTGGTTACAAACCTAAACACCCTCGGATTACGGTGGAGCTAAATTTTTGTTTCTACATGGAACTCTGGAAGTTGAACTCGGGGACCGGCGCTTCTCCTAGCACCGCTATGATGATATGGAAGCAGACCAAAGGAAGCACAACACGTTTTCGTATGAAGCAGATTGATATAGAAATCTGTAAGGGGACAGACGTAATTGGGAAGAGTGGTTACAGCCGTTTGAGAAACTAATGTCATTGGCAATTTTTTTCACGTGCGTGACCAAAAAGGAAATCACTGGAAATCGCAGACGCGACGGTTTCTCAAACGGCTGTAAAGGCTTCGGAGTTTCAACGTGCTATCTCTCAAAACCACCTCAATGAAGTCGCGTCATATGTATGTTCCATGGCATTGTCCACTATGATACTCCCTCCCGAGGACTTCAAAACTTTACGGTATCGATCGATATGCGTGCTCCTTGTTATCAGTTCGATTCGGAAGATGAGTGCTGGGAAGGAACGAGAAATTCATGGTGCAGCAGAAAGTCAGCCTTGGTTGCGAGACACACGCGCAAGTTGCAATCCTTGACAAGCAGGTAATGTCACCGTAACTCATGCGTTTATGTTACAAGATATATATGATGTGTGCACATGCATACGTCGGTATCTAGGTCTTTGTGTGTTGTGTTAAAGTCGCACCTCAGGAACTGCGCATGTTGCCAGAAAACAAGACTGAGGTATTTGATCTGCAGAACCAGTTGTGAAGAATACGAGGATAAAGCGTCAAAGACGCACCTGTATACGATTTGACTGCGTCACACAAAACGAACTCACTTACAACTCTCACCATGCGCGTGTTATGCATGATACAGTACCTCTGAGTAACCATCGATCATCGTTCGACGGAGAGCTGAATTCGTCCCGCACCCATTAGATGACGTCCGCGAGCCAAAATCATGTCTTCATTGGCCCCTACGAAACAAGAGAAATCAGCTATGAAGTATAAAAATCCAAGGACACACAGCCTAACATACTACATCGAGACTGAGGTAGGGATGCGAGCTTGACCCTCACTATTGCATTAACGGATCACTAGATGGTAGTGAGACTCATGGGTCCAGGACTAGCAATATTTGAGTACATTCAGATCTAGACTTCAGCGTTCCAGCGTCGCTGGCAGTCAAGGGTCGTTCTGCGCATTTCTCGTCAAGCTCTCTGGGTCGCTAGCGCAGACCGCGACTCCCCCACCCAATCTCAGTAATATCTGGCTTTTAGCACACCGAATGTCGATCGATTATTCCCTTTCAAATGATAGCAGAAGACTGGTGAAATCCTTGAGAAGATTCTGACATGAGAGTGTGACAATGGAGTTGGGGATATCGATATACTTCTCGATCGCAAAGACACGTTACAAAAATAGGAATGTGCAGGTCAATCGTGCGATTAGACGCTGCCATAGCAATAACTATCAGCTTCAGAGTAAACCATTCTATCTGACCTGTGCAAATGGATCAGGATGATGTAACGCATATGGTCAAAAGTGAAATACCGAAAGATCTGATGTACCAAGTGAATTTGATTCTCCTCGGTCGTTAACCCCTGACTGCAGCCTAGCTTGACACATTTACCCATGATATTGCACAGCACACCATGTAGTGTGATGCCAGACCCGCCGGCCATAAGAAACACGCTTTCGTGCAGACCCAGACCGACACTCGACCCTCTGTAGGACCGTCCGACATGACTTGAATGAAAGCAGACAAGTCACCCTCGGACTTCTCATTGATTTGTAAACGTTCTTGTTCCTCACGGGTATATTTAATCAATGCCCGTGTCTAGTCCCGTCACTTTAGGCAGCGAGAAGGAACCTGGGTGGGGAGAGGCGTAATTAGGAAGGCGGTGCCGAGAGAATAGTGAGGGCGTGGGATTCAAACACTTTGTTGCAGAAGAAAACGCGCAGTCCGACATGCTAGCCAGTAAGCCAGCCATCGTCACAATTATGAATGCGGATCCATGAAAGATGAAGTCAAACAGGTTATCGAATAACACTCAGATATCTCGTACCAAAGTCATATGAGCGTCTTGCGTGCGCAGTGAGGTGGTGTCCTTGATTCGATAGCGGAATAGGTGCAACAGAACATCTGCAGCATAAAATGGAAGGGGAAGGAATATCCACGGCGATGTGTGGTAGAATATAGTGACAAAGAATGCCACGTATGTCAGTATTCACACATCCCATGTCATGATTGCTTGCAGTGTCTAAATGACCACGAGTCTTGCCCTGGTCGACGTGATATTGAAGAAAAAGTTTAGCAGTTCATGGTGGCGGTTCAGACTGAGAGCTGAAACAGACTTCCGATAGAGTCTATGAAGGACGAGAAAGTGACGGCGCGGCGCTGCCAGCACTATCATACCATTCAGATCTCGGTTTATCTCCTTGCGTCGAATTCTTTATCCTGACAAAAAACATTCCAAAAAGTTATGGTCGCAACCAAGCCACCCGGATCAGTCATCTTGCAGTCCAAAAAGGCAAACTTCACCCCACCAACAACGTTAAATAAGCCACATGATAAGACGTTATACCATACAGTCTGTAGGTGACATGTTGGACATGGGAATATATAAGATGACATTAGAGTCGTGCACGTGCTGGTCGCTATGCCAAAGTTTGAGATGCATGCGCGTGGCTAGGATCGCAAGGACAAGGACTTGCAAACTATAAGGTTTTCGGGGTATTGTCAGCGGGAATTCTCGACGGAGGTTGGAAGTACATACTGTTCGAGGACGGAGTAATATGCGGACTGGGTGTGGGGGATATCAACGATTCAATCATACTGAAGGGTATGGGGGTTTACTCACAACATAGGAAAACAGCACTGGTATGAGGACGTTCGCGGCTGAGAGAACTTTCGGAACAATAATCATCACCGATAAGCACAGAAACATGTTTAAACCCTGACTCACATAAACTACATGCATAGTAGAACATATTATGCTTCACCAGGATGGCACGCAGAGGGCTCCTGGCTGTCCGCCAGCTCTGTATGACACGTATGAGCGTGAGGAAGGCCAATCCTGGGGAGAGCGTGGTCAGCGCGTGTCTGTAATGTATGTTTCTAGTTCCCGGCGACATACCCAGTGCAAACATAAACAAGAGAAGAAACGGCATGAAGAAATAGATACTGCGCGAGCTTCGGTAGCAGCCTACAATGCCTGGGATCGTGCTAGTCGTAACTGTGAAAGTGGAGTGAATATGTACGAATGGTAGTGGGGAAGGTGAGGTGAGATTACAAACCATCAGAGGTAGCAATACTCGTAAACCAAATACCGATGAATAATATGATGGTAGACTGATTGATTCATAAACGTTTCAACCACGAGAGTGGGTGTGGTCAGGGTAGCATGGAACTCACAAAAAGGGCGAACGTCATCGTTACAAGTAAATTTCGATTTTTGTTCCAAAGCGCATATGTTCTGAGCACAAAAAAGCCTGAATAAATCAGATCAATAGTACGTGTATGTGGGAGGGGAAGGGAAGATACATTCAGAGCAAGTGAGTGATATCACTCCAAAACCTGTGAGAGGAAATATCAGCCCTCGGTCAGGAAGTGCAGTCACATATACCGTGCACGTACATGAGTAAATATTGATCAACATCCGGCATTTCTGGTAAATTCATGCAGTAAGCGTTGTTCATCGGTGGGCAAGTCTCACATACATCTGGGTTCTCGATCGGGGTGAAGACCACTGAAACGCAAAATGTCAATTCATCTATGCTCACTGCTTGGAATGAACGCACTATATAGGTCCGTGGCGATGAAGAAGAAGGGGATATATCGTGCAAGGATATAAAGGGCTTTCAGCTTAGTCCAGCGTGACTGAAGCAGGAATGTCCACTTTGAACAGCATGTTATTAGTATCCAAAGCGAGGCGTGTAGTAGAACAAGTGCACGACTTACCTCTTCGTGAAGTAAACTAATGTAGTCATAGGTCTGGATAGACAGATTTAATGGCAAACGGGAATAGATTGGGACAAGCCTACCCAAAATGTAGCCAGCGTGACTGAGATGTTGAGTCAGAACAAGAGGAGGGAGAAGCAGTTCAGACGGCACGCACGGCATGCACACTGGTGGTCGTGCATGATAAGTATCTGTTAATATCTTGCCCTCGTATTACGACGTACTGCTAAGTAACGCAAATTCCAGGCCGCTGAGACTTGGACATCCTCAGCCGAAGGTTCCATCGAGGGTGCTTTCGTTCGAGTGGCAAAGAAACACGTTTCGCGCGCACACCATACAGCTTTTCTTATCTGAGCCTGAGAACATAGCCATGAGTACTCAATTTAGGCCTAGTCCTATATAATTAGATTAGATCGACACAAAGTTGATCTGGACGCTCGCATGTGCCCATCGTGTCGGTCCTTGATTCCTGTTTTTGAAGTTTGAAACACCATCAGTGCTTGGAACACACAGCCACCTTAGAGAGGGAGGGTTTGATCAACCCGGCCGTTTCCGATGTACGTTTCTTCGCGGCTTTGATACGTGATCATGACATGAAAGCAGACTGAAAGAAGCTAAGTTAACAGTCAAAGGCTTACATAACATGCGGATCTACTATATACCTCAATGAAGTCGCGCCACTGTATGTCCCTTGGCATCGTCCACTACTATGAGACTTCCCCAGGCTTCTGACAACTCGAAAGCTTTGTGGTATCGAACCATATGCATATCCATCGTTATCGGTTCGACTAGGAGGATGAAGTCTTTGAAAGAGATGAGGGAATGAGAAAAATCATTTCATGACTCGGATACGCCAGAAGATCAGCCCTGGCTGCGAGACGCGACCCTTGACAGAGGTACTAGTGTCATCGTAACTCATGCGTTTAGGTCACGAGATATACCGTTTGCGCACACATATGTCAGTTGGATGATGTTCAGTATCTGGGCATTGTATTAGCGTACCCTTGATCTTGAGAAGTCTGGCACGATGCATCGACGAAACAACTGCGCATGTTGCTAGAAAAGAGGACAGGAGCGACTTGGAGGGCCAGCTGTGAAGAACTATGAAGTACGAGGATGATTGGAGACACACCTGTATACGACTTAAAGCAGCAACATTTGACTGCGTCGCACAAAACGAACTCAGATGCAACTCTCACCATGCGTGTTTTGGCTTTCTGTACAATACAGCACCTCTCAGTAATCGTTCGATGGAGAGCTGAATTTGTCCCGCATCCATTAGGTGATATCCGCGAGCCAACATCGTATCTTCACCGGGCCCTGCGAAACAAGAGAAATCAGCTATGTTGTGCAAATGCAAAGGAAGAGGGAATTTCTACATTTATATTCCGCAACAAACAACGGAAACTGTTCAAGACACGGTGCCTACGAGCTGTCCTGGGTAACAGTATACAAGATAAGGAGAACAGCCGGTATTATGGTTCGAATGGCCGATAAAATCTGTTTTGAAGTACTTGTTGATATTTTCTAGATTGTGATGGCGTTCATGCTGATTTGCCATGTGACAACCTCTCCACTCAACCTCCCCCTACCCTTTGGCGTCTTCTTCCCTCTCTTACTCATCCCTCGTCTCTTCCCATATCCCTCCCTCTCCTCTACCTCCTCTATCATCCCTTCGATGTCTTCCTCATCATTTCTCTATCTTCTTTTCTGAATGTATCGGATTCTCTAAAAAATGTAACCAATGCAATGATTCCTTTCTCCGTACCCATGATTTCGCTGGATATGAGTTGGAGAGATACTTCGCGCAAATGAATACATTGGCGGGTAAAAATAGGGCAATTGCATAGTATATGTTCTCGTGTTTGACGCGGTTCTCCGCATGAGCTGGTTTCGGTGGGCACGAATTATGCATAGTATTCTCCGAAGAAACCGTGACTTGTACAACGTTGGATGAGACGACCGTAAACTTCCCGGGGGTGGTGACAGAACGGTCTCGAGATTTCAGTGTAGGAGGAAGCCTGGAAAAAGATGCAAGGCCACACAGACTATCTATGGGAACGCACTAGATCGGGACCTAGGACCTAGGTAGGGATGGTGAAGTAAATGGAGTGGTGAAGGCGGGTTTGTCACTCACCGTTGCATGAACGGAGAGGTAAATAGGACTGAGACTCATGGGAGTGGCATTTGAGTCCGTAATTTCAGGCGAGTCTCAAACAAAGGTGTGAAGGAGACGCCTCAGTTGACGTTTGACAGCCTGTTTTTGACTTCATTTATTTCCTATAGATGATGATCAGCGTATAAATCCTTGAGAAATATAACCCATGCTTACCTGCAACTCGTGATGGGTCGAGCAGTATTTCGACTCTGCACGAAATGTGTTTCCCACGCCCCCTTACCTTTCGCCACTGCCGTTCGCGTGAACATCCACTCGGTATTTGACATATACTGTTTCCCGACCAAACGTAAAGGGTTTGTTTCTAAACGAGACGTCGAACACACTCACATTCAATGTACTCTCTAGGAAATTACTGCAATGGCTGCAGAGGCAGGCGTAGTTGCAAATGCAGCTGAAGGTTCGGGATCTTGGACCTCGAGCTCTGGCCAGACGAAGGTATCTACTTCTCCTACAGCACGTCATTCCCTGAGTTAGTAACATCATATAGCTCTCCATATACCCTACACCCATACCCGAACTCATTCTACTCGACACCCCGTCAGCATTAGAGAAGCAGATCGGAATGGTGCGGCGGGAGATCACGGGTTATTATACCGGCGTCCACTCCAAAGCGCAAGGTATCATAGACCGGTGGATCTCTGTTGAAGAGAGGGTGGAGAGTGAGTCATATCATCTTGCCGACTACTACGCCCTCGTTGACCATTGAACCGCGAACAGCTCGCATAAAATCCTTCCGTGATCCTACAGAGCCCTTAAATCCCGGACTGCTCTATACCGGAATTTCTGCCCTAACGACATCGGTCCTCACTCGCTCGCGCGGACTCCCTACGCGTATCTTTCTCCCTCCTACAGCCTTAATCAGCGCATTCGCATATTTCCTTCCGGGTACCGCTTCTCGGGTCGGTGCGTATGGCAGGGAGCTCGAAGATCGGTATGTTCCTCGCTTTGGAGAAATTAGAAGAACCTCTATTGCACACAGCGGCATAGCCTGGGAGCGCGCGAAAGAAGGTGCTGCTGTTGGACGAGACTCGGTTAATAAAGGTGTGAAGAGTATTGTGGAGAGCATTGAACAAGGGACGGGGCTTAACCTAAAAGCTATGGGATGGGCACAGGAAGTGAAGAAGGAGGCGCAGAGTGTTGTTGATGTGATTCAAAAGGATACCAAAGAGGTCATCGAAAGCAAGAGCCCGAGTAGCGACTCAGAAGACTCCAAGCGATTGGTATAGAGTACGAGTGTCGTATGTACGGACTCTTATTCATATGGTGATTTCTCACAGTCCCAATCATACTACAGCACTTAGAGACTAACGTTCTGTGACCCTGGGATATCATATGTGATGCTCCCATCTTCAAAAAGTGTTATGAGATAACCAACGGGACCAAGTATAAGAAGTCTATTACGGCCGCGACGGTACCAGATGACAAACATGCCACAAGCCACCACCGTCCTTGACTCCCCTTGGGTACACTCATCTGGCCAAGTCCAAGGCTGTGACTCTTGCGTATAAGTTCCAGTTGGAGTGACCAAAAACACGTACTCGACGATTAGTAAAGCACGTTCTTGTCAGGTCAAACTGTCAATATTGAAACAGTCTATGAGGACCAGGATGATGAGATAATGTTGATGCGATAGCAACACGATGCGCATCTCACAGAGTCCATTGAGTATAAATCAATCAGATATATTAAAATGCTGAAGTATCTTGAACAGTTTCGGTGTAATAAATGATTACTCGAAATCAAGCATTTCGATGCTCTGTGAAACATTATACATACTGCTTCCCTGCGTTTGAATAAGTGCCATGTCCACAATCGGTATCCGATGATGACTCACTTTGAGGGATAACAACGTTATCCTGTTTGCTTCCACGGTCATATCATTCGCAAGGAACTTTTCCTGAGAAATCGTCTCGATATATGGGAGACCAGGCCCTAGTGGATCCAAGAAAAGGGTCGAATTTGGTGATTCGCCTTCGACAAGTCGTTGATGCGATGTAGTGATGTTCCCAGCCTTGAAGTCCGTCACCCTATGAGGGTTAAAGTCGCGGATGCGCAATGGTCGTGACTGTAGCACCCCATCACGAGAGACAAGGTCGCCAATCAAATCCGCACTACGGAATCCGAAAATGCGGTGTGTGCAGGAGCTGTTGGCATTCTCGAAGAACCGGGTGTGCTTTGAGCCCCAGGCGGACCAAGGCAGACTGGGAGAATCCTGGCTTGCTTCTCCATAACGGCTGATGTAGGTAGATTCGAGCTCCAAGAGGGTGTCGCGCTCGATATAGAAGGTGAAATATGGCGATTTGGTGGTCGTAGGCGCCGACATGCACATGTTGATAGCGATGAGTTGATTATGAGTGCTGGCGTGGAATGGAATAGGACTGAAGGTGATGTAGTGAAAGATGAAGGGGTCCCTCAATGCAGGGAAGGAGAATTTGGCAACGAGCCGGATGGCATTGACCGAATCGATAGTCTCGAGGGAGAACAGCATTAGTTCCGTCGCGCTGGCGACGAGGAATCTACCGTTCGTTAGAAAACTGAAATTCGTCGTTCCGTAATCGACGTCAAAGATTTGGAGGCACTGCAAGTCGAACTTGGTCGTAAGTCGTAGCAAAACAGGAGACTTTGACCCACCTGAGAAGCTTCCTTGGACTTCCAGTTCCAAATTTGCAAGAAATCGACCAGTTCACCATCTACTTTGTGAGCATATTTGCAGAACAAGCCATAATAGTCTCCGAAGATCATAGTTTGCGTGTAGGGGGAGTCAAAGAGTTGTGGATGGATTTGATTGTGCAGTGCTTTCACGAGGGGGGATGCGGCATCAGGATGGGGTTTGTCCTCAGACAATGATCTGAAAGTGACGTCATATGCATGACTCTCTCTGTTGCTGTCAATATAGCCCATCGTCATATGCAAGAAGACACTCACCCACGAGTTGCTCTGGAAAGGATAACCACAAGATCCTGTGTGGGCGAAAAACTATAACCCTCGAATGCTGTGCTGTCAATTTTGCAAATGCGTTGTCGCAAGTCGATGGTGTGGGTGTCGCCATCTGACAGCGAGGGCTGGACGAACTTGAGTTGTTCGAGAGATTTCGCTGGGATTCCAAGAATGCCACACGACCAACGGTAGTTGTCGGGAGAGTAAGACATCGTAGTGGAATTTCTTTGAGAGTATTCGGCTCTCTGCCACGCAGTTTCGCTTTTTTGAAGCAATTGGCGACGTGTTGCAACGGCGATGTCGCAGCCAGGCAACGAGGGTGGAATCGCATTGAAGTATCGAACATCGATCAAGTATTGAAGCTCCGAGGAAGAGTCAATGAGTTGTCGAATATCACTGCATACCTGGAGATTCTGCATTAGTAGCGATTTGGGCATTTTGAAAGAGACGTACTTTGCGTGCTCGGACTAGATCGTATACGTCTAGGTGACCAAGAATATGCAACAGTAATTCGGCAGGGACATCCATAAATTGTATGGTGATGTTGTGGACTTGATTCATTGTTGTCTTGCAAGGAGGTGAGATTCGTAGAAGATATCGATAAAGGCTTGTTGCAAGAGTGTGCAATGAAGATTTCGAGTGAGCAGTAATAACCAGCTTGCCAGGTTTCATTATATACGATGTTGATGCCAATATAATTGCGGATCAGTGGGGAACGGAAGGACTATGACGTCATTTGTTCCGACCCGTTTTAGTATAACGGATCTCGGAGGTAATATATCATCCGGAGCCCCTGTGGCGTTAGAACCCCAAAATTCCCACGATGCGCCAAAATGCCTCACTCTTTCAATTCCCACATCTTCTTCGACTTCTTGCAGCTCGAAGCTAGCGCAGAGTGTTACAGGGCCTCAACTGCAAGATATACGATATACTTTGGAGCGAATTGGCCATCGTGGTTGCAACCAGAATTGCACGGTGAAACAGACTCCAGATGATGTGCGGATTGTCAAGACGCAGACCGATATCGATGAGCGAGAGTGTAGTTCTCAATTTTTCTACGTCTTGACACTCTGTTTTTTGCCACACTTTGACGACGATCTGGGATATTCCATCCTCTATCTACCGCCCACTGGCAGTTCAGAGAATCAACTCTATCCCCCTTCAACCTGGCGTCATTCCGCTAGGGGAAGGTAGTTCCCACGGACAGTCAATTACGCTGTCGGAACACCATCCTTGCGAACGCCTAAGATGAACTGGCAATTATCGGCGCTCTGTCTCTTGTGTTTGAGTCAAATCTGTCTCGCAGACAATGGCATGGTCATGTCCATGGATGATGGCATGACTCTTGCCGTAGGGAACATGCTCTCGTATCTGCACTTTACGCCAGGAGACACTCGTGGGTCATATCTTCTCAACAATGAGCTCTTCTAACAGACCTGTATACAGTTTGGTTCCTTGGCTGGGTTCCTGAGAGCTCGGGAGCCATGGTCGGCACATGTATCGCACTGTTTATGTTGGCGGTGATCGAGCGCTGGATAGCGGCTTGTCGAGGAGTGATGGAATTCCACTGGAGTCAACAGTACGTTCTCCTTATTTTTCATAGTATAGTTCTTACGCATGAGCAGGGCGATTATCATTGCGTCGGACAAACTCAATATTCTACCAACTCGGTCATCTCCCATTGGATTCATAAAGCGCTTCACTCCACCCTTTATTCCTGCGTATGATATCTCACGTGGGGTCATGTTTGCAGCGCAGACGCTGCTGGATTACCTCTTCATGTTGACAGTTATGTAAGTTGCATCGCTCTTTCTGATCGTCGAGTTGTTGATGTGCTGGGCGTGAACAGGACGTTCCAACTAGGTTTCATATTCTCCCTTGTGGTGGGGTTCGGTGTGGGAGAAACACTCTTTGGAAGGTTTGGCAGTGTCACACATGTGCATTAAATCTATGCACGTTCGTTTTTGTAAGTTTAGAATGGCAAAGTATTGACTTCCTCTTGGTTATCGTCAGGCATGCCAAGCTAGGATACAGTGTATGATGCGGATAACTTGGATATGCTTTCTAACAACACAAACATAGCACTACTTACCATGGGTAGGCGTGAGGGCACGAGCAGGCGTGACGATCGGTGGTAGAACACAGCATGAGATATAGGGTAGTCGACTGTCAGGCAGGAGTTCCAGAGTCTTGTCATTATGGACCCCCCACTGGCCCCAAATCTCACGCTAAGTCTGAAGTATTTTGTGTAACATTCAAGGCACCTTATATTGATAATATCGATAACCTCGATGTGAATATACCTATGGACTTGCTGACATGACTGTGATCGTCAAACCTCGCAGCCCGTAGTACGTGTTCATTATCTTGATGAGGAGCGAAAATGTTATCTTGACTTACTAATCAGTACCAGGCACTTCATCCTGGGTTACTGCTGCGCACCCGGCACCGGAAAGTGATTGCTACCTCCTAGGCCTCAACTTGAACAACATGGCTGCCCCGGTCGTTCCAAGCAGCTTCCAAATTTACAAGTATATTCGAAAAATCTCATTCCGCATACTGAAAACGCATGCATGAATTGACAGCTCATACGTCGAAGATCCTAAATGGCAAATCAAATTCACCATAATCTGGTGCTCTGGCGTCGCACTGGCTGTGGCCGTTTCTATTCCAAGTGTTATTCTTGGTCTGAGACATGGGCGTTCCCTCAAGGGAATCGCTGGAATCTCAGAGACCGGTGGATATCAGTCTGCCCATTCCGATGGCAAGGAGCCACCGCCTACTACCCGTCGAAAAGGTCGCAGATTGGTTGGAGCTTGGAATGCTCTCATCTCACCGACGTACTGGTCTCCTCCGAAGCTAGGGCTTAATGTTGGACAAAGTGCGCATTGAGGGCGTTTGTTACTGATAGGAAAACTGATACTTTGCAACTTATTCAGTTATAGTTTTATCGGCGTACCTCACAGCTGTACTCGTCTGCATCATAAAGGATGCACCTCTTATTTCTAATCCGAACAGAGCTGGTAAGTCAGTCAATCCGTTGACGCACGAGAGGAACTTATTTGGGCCACGTAGGATTTCTCGCTCTCGCACAGTTTCCGGTCGTCTTTTTGTTTGCAACAAAAAACTCAATTCTGTCCTTATTGTTAGGACCAGGGAATGGCTACGAGAAACTGAACTTTATGCATAGGATGGCGGGAAGAGCTATGTTTCTTGCCGCATGCATTCATGGGTTCCTGTGGATCCGCAATCGCCTACAGTATGGACTTGCAATTCTTGGTCCACAGAAAGAGACTTCGGGAGTGGCTTCGCTGGCTCTACTCTGTATCATCGTCCTTACGTCGCTGAGGCCAGTCAGGAGACTATTTTATGAGTGCTTCTTCATCATACAGTAAATTTCGTTGCTTCGCGTCATACCACATCTAATATTTCTTGCAGCATATTGACATACGTGGCATTCTTTGTCGCTATATGCTACCATACGTCGTATGCATCGCCGTGGATATTCCCTCCCCTTGCATTTTATGGCGCAGATATTTTACTGCGCCTATTTCGCTATCGAATCAAGGCCGCCACACTTACTGCGCAGGATACTCGTATGACTATGGTACAACAGATGTTTGAGCGTTATTTGATAAACTGTTGATTTCATCTTTGATAGATCCGCGTTCATAATTGCGACGATGGTTGGCTCGCTGGCCAGCATGTCAGACTGCGCGTTCTCTTCTCCAACAGAGTTTTTGAATCACATCCCCTCACTATTCTCTCGGCACCACCTTCCCATTCTTGCCTCTCCTCACCTGGATTCTTTCTCGCTGCACGAAATGATGGAGACTGGACGCGGGCGCTGAATAGCTATACCCGGGGGGAACAAGAACGCTTACGAATAGAGAATAGGTCAGAGGGCGACTCGGGTGCTTTCGTTCAAGTCATGCTGGATGGTCCTTATGGAGGGTCGAGCGTCGATCTGGGTCTGTACGAAAGCGTGTTTCTTATAGCCGGCGGGTCTGGCGTTACATTCACTCTTGGTCTGCTGGACGACATTGTCGGCAGGTGTGTCAAACTAGGCCGCAGTCAGGGGGAACGAACGAGGGGAATCGAGTTCACTTGGTGCATCAGATCTTTTGGTATTTGATTTTTGACTACGGGCGTTACATCGTTCTGATCTATTTGCACAGGTCAGATAGAATGGTTTGCACCGATGCTGATAGATATTGCCACGGCAGCGTCGAATAGTACCATCGACCTGCACATTTCTATTTTCATAACGTGCTCTCAGGCTTGCGATCCAGAAGCGGTACTTCATATCCCCAACTCCGTCGTCGCACTTTCGCGTCCAGCTGTCCATAATCTTCTCAGGGACTTCATCAGTTTTCCGTCATCATGTGAAAAGGAAGATTCGATCGACATGCAATGTGATGAAAGCCAGAAATTAATGGGCTTGGGTGGGGGAGTCGCGGTCTGTGCTAGCGGCCCAGAGAGCTTGACGAGAGATGCGCAGAATGCAGTTGCAGGATTGGGTTTGATAATGGGTATGGATGTGGGCGGGATTGCTCTACATACGGAGCAGTTTACTTTGTGACCTAACTCAAGTACATTGGAAGTTCTCAAAGCGGATTGATCAGGTACCCGAATGCTACAAATTATACATACCTGGAGACTGTAATGGTCTAGTGATGCTATGCTATAGAATGATTGCCATAAGCCAGGTCTGAAATTCTCTATGCAAGAAGGGCGTGAGAACGGGATGCCGCATGTCGGCACGTTGCCACGGTCTCGACACCCAAGTTCATTGTGCTTCTGCACGTCTATCTTACGGATTTACGCTCAGTAGAGTAGCGGTCCGCACCACCTCCATCATTCACATAATTAGAGTCCACGTCCATCTCCTACGAGATACACCTCTGGTGATTCCCTCTTCACGCTGTTTCTTTCACTATTGACTCGACAGTCACTCTGCACTTTGTTCCATTGACATTACCCTTACCTCGAATACAACCCCTCCCTCTTGTCGAAGCTCCACATTCAGGTGCTTACCGCAATGGTCCGCTCCTGTAACCTCTGCCGTCTTGCAGCCTCAAGCCGCACCAATGTCAATAACCATGTCCTTGGCCAAAGTATGGTCCCGTCACCTTCGAGGCTTCCCTACACTATCGACCTGCCAGCCTATCCATGCAGTGCCGCCTATAATGGATATTCCTTTTCCGCAGGGTTTAGTGTCTTATCTCTCGATGGTGAGTGAATCCGGTAGCGGTCACAGCTTCCTCAATACTTTGTTCGTCAATCATCCTTTGCCGAACGAGAATACAATTGGTTGTATTCTCCCCTTATTCTTTCTTATTCCTCGCTGCAGGCAAGATCATCCTTCCCCAATGGCACTGTCAGTTCAATCGGACCAGTCGTATGTTATCATTCGTCTTTTCTTTGCGCGTCGTTTTCAGCGATATAGACATTTCTTGCCTCTGTCATTACCTCACAAATGTAGTCAATTCTACATTTTGCCTTTGCGTGCTAACTGAGTAGTACGATACAAGTCCAGGAGCAGCAATCACCCTGAGACTCGCATGTCCCTTTCAACGTTGGCAGACCACTTTCGCCGCAAACTGTTCATGCCATTCTCTACTTTAGCACAGATTCTTCGGCTAATCCTGGTCGGTGATCTCCATTCCCAGCGCTTGTGCAATCATACCAGCGTCTATCGTGCCGATCATCCACTGACAATATGGAAATACACGTGCAGCTTGACTTGAACTCTAGCGCTCAATCTCCCTTTCAGCTGAACCTCTATCCACAGTCCCCATATCCTTACCCCCGTCCTCCCTTCTCACTGATTCCTTCCACGCCACTCAGCCCGTCTTCGAATCTCATCAATTTGCTCCATCGCAACATCATGCCTGGTCCCTCAAAACGCCGATATATCAGACTTGAAGGTGAGTTCCTCCGCATTACCTTCGTATCAGTGTCATGATCCTCAAGCTCTATCTACAGTCATCAGCGGAAAGAATCTTCAAGTCCCGTCCGGGCGCATTGCCGCTGGTATTTACGTGTCCATCAATGTCGACTCGAGGAGACGCTGGAAATCGGCCATCAGTATCCTATCATCTGATGGATCTGTAGTGTGGGGGGATCCTGTAACTCTGTGAGGTCCACGGAGACTTTCTGATGTGATGCGAGAACTGATCCTTAGATTATAGACCATCATCACGTTCCTCACCTGCGTTGTCAGTGGAGATCAGGGCTTCCTATGAGCTTGGTCGAATGCTAGGCGGTGGAGAGGTCATCGGGGAACTTGAAATGTCGTGGGATGAGCTACTCGATCATGGAGATCACCCATTTGGTGAGTGATTCGCTTCTCATCCATGCACATATATTAATATCTCGTAGATCTATCGTTCCCAGCCGTGTGCGGTGTCCAGCCTTCCATCACACTGAAGGTTGCTGTTCTACATGCTTGGGAAAATCAAAACGGCGCGCTATTTGATGTGAGCGATCCCGGACTCTGTCCTGTTAGCTTTGCTGATGGAACGCCAACTATAGGCCCTCGTAGACCGCAAGATTGTTCGAGACGCTGATGCGGGCCACGCACAATTTGCCTCATATATCAAAAGCAAAAATGTCTCTCACTTGAATAATGCTATGGAGCATTTTCAGTTGGTTCTGAAGCAGTGTCCGGTCGGCCATCCAGACCGCGCAACGGCTCTCACCAACCTCGCGTGGGCCTGCCTTGAAGGCTACATCCAAAATGATCTTCAAGACATTGATACTACCACCTCCCTCTTCCGCGACGCACTTGCACTGCGTCCGCAGCACCATCCTGATCATCCCTTATCCCTATATAATCTCGCTGTGGCGCTGAGTTGGCGCCACTCCAAGAAAAGTACTGCTGCAGACATCTGCGAAGCCGCCCAACTCTATCATGAGCTACTGCCTCTCTGTCCAGAGGGCACATACCTTCGTAGCATTGCGGCAGGGGAAAATGGTGTTGATTATGTGATCGGCGAATGCAACACACTTCCAACAGACGCATCCAATGAAGGCATCCACCTTCGAAGAGTTGTGCTCGAGCTCTGTCCTCTGGGCCATCCACTTCGTCCGAGAACCCTCAACGAGCTTGCACGAGCAGTGGAAGCACGCTTTAATCAGCACGGTAGCATCTATGATCTTGACACGAGCATACAGCTTGGTCGTGAAGCCGTGTCTCTGTGTCCCGAGGGACATGCTCACCGTGATGCCTACCTGAACAACTTGGCCTTTTCACTCTTGTCCCGCTTCGAGCACCAAGGCAATACTAATGATCTCGATGAGGCCATCCCTTTGCATGAAGAAGCGCTGCACCTGTGCCTTGTTGGGCACAAATCTCGTGAATGTTCATTGGACAACTTAGGGGGCGCCCTCGTCTACCGTTTCAACAAACGCAGCGACATCGGAGACATCACCAGAGCTATCAGCCTTTATCACGAGGCCCTGACGTTGTGCCCACCTGGGCATCCTGGTCGTACCATCACGCTTCACAACCTTGCCCACGCGCTCACAAAGAGATACGACAAATCGCAAGCCAGCGAGGATCTTAACGAGGCCATTGATTTGTATCGTGAATCCCTTGTGTTAAAAGGGCTTGACCATCCATTGCGTCATGTTACTCTTTTCAATTTGAGCTCGGTGCTCTGCTCTCGTTTCACGCAAGCTCAGAAGAATGAAGATGTCGAGGAGGCCATTACCCTTTGCCAAGAATCATCGGCGGCTCTGTCTTCACTGCACCCGGACAGGTACTTCAGCTACATGTGGCTGCAGGAGGCCTATTTGTCTCGTTACCGGATTTTACACGACCCTGCTGATTTGTCTCTTGCAGTGGAGAACTTCAGACTCGCATCAAGACATTCTACTCAAGGGTTCCCAAAACGCATCATTATGGCATTAAATTGGACAGTTGCAGCTGAGCAGCATGGTCATGGATCCGCGCTGGAAGCCTACTCGACATTTTTTGAGCTTCTTGACGGTCATTTGGCAACGCGATCATCGACAGTTTCACGACGCGAAGCTGCTGCTGCCTTCGATGATATCAGATCGCTGCCTGTAGATGCAGCATCGTGCGCTATCCGCAATGACAATCTACGACACGCAGTCGAACTCGCAGAGCAGGGTCGTGGCCAGCAGTGGTCACTGGCATCTCGACTCAGGACTCCAGTTGAAGACCTCGAGTCAACAAATCCGACATTGGCGCACAATTATTTGGAGCTGAGCAAGCTCGTTTCCAGTGCGGCCCAGAGTTCTGCAACCATCACCGACAGAGCTGCTGCTGATCTGGCAGAAATGGAGTACAGGAGGCTTACAAGGCAATGGGAAGCTGCGGTTGCTGAAATACGTGATCTTTCTGCGTTTTCGCGGTTCCTGCTCCCACCTCTGTATACAGACATACAAGCGGCAGCGCGCCAGGGCCCGGTCATCATCTTCATTGCGAGTCAATACTCATGCAGCGCCATCATCGTCCCAACGTCAGGAGACCCGCATCATGTTCCCTTGCCATCTGTCACTCTCGCAGATCTGACCAATCTCAAGGACCGCTTCGCCAGGGCAATACGACATGCATCTACCCTGGGCCCCAAAGTGCCGCGAAACGATCTAATAGTCCTCTTGCGCACAGTATGGGACGAGATCATGCTACCCATCATCAACGTCCTCAGGCATGATCTGAAACTACAATACTGTCGGATCTGGCTGTGTCCAACTGCAGCCTTCACATCTATTCCTCTCCACGCAGCTCACCCATTTCGAACGAACCTAGATGGCTCTAGGGAGCAATGCCTGGAGGATCTCTACATCTGCTCTTACACGCCAACACTTTCGGCTCTAGTCAGATCCAGACAGATGATGAAGAAGCGCGTCACTCCATCCTTCGCGACAATCGGACAAGGTCAACCGGGTGCAGGGAAAGGCAAGGCGCTCTTGGCCGTCGACAGCGAGCTCGAGCTCGTTCATAAGCTCGTCCCTGCGACGGCCAAATACACTACTATTTCTGGCGACGCAGCCACACGAGCAGGTGCGCTCGAAGCTTTGCAGCAGAACACCTGGGTGCACCTAGCTTGTCATGGAAAGCAGGACCCTAAGCAGCCTTACAATTCGCATTTCATCATGGGAGACGAAGATCTGACGCTGCTTGATATCATGGAGAGAGATATTCCGCACGCCGAGTTCGCGTTCTTATCAGCATGTCATACCGCCGTCGTGGATGAGGAGACTCCCGACGAAGTGATTCACCTCGCAGCTGGTCTTCAGTTTTCAGGGTTCAAGAGTGTCATTGGCACGCTGTGGCAGGTCGACGACTCTGTTGCACAACATGTCGTCAAAGCCTTCTACGAGAATATGTTCAAAGATTTGAAGGATGGAGGTGTGATGGACTGTACAAAGGCGGCCTGGGCACTGAACCGTGCTACGCATGCCGTGAAAATGAAAGTGCCGCTGGAGCAGAGGATGGTTTTCGTTCATATTGGTGTGTAGTTCTACATCGTATTGCTGTCGTCTGGCACGTATTCACATGTTGTTGATTTGCGATCCTTTCATCCTGTTGTATAATTGATTAGGCCTGATATATTTTTTGCGTTCTAGCTACCTCATTTTCATATGCTTCTGTTGTATTTTTGTCGACTAGAGTGTTCACCAAAGTTTCTATGTACTACTCGACTCGTTTGCAGACTTATCTTCTGCTTGAGTACACTCGACCAACCACTACCAAGTTAGAAGCAGGGCCCATCCAACTCAACATTTGCACCCGTCGAAGTCAGTAGTCTCTTCAATCCGTTCCTCCTGACTGCGGCCTAGTTTGACACACCTGCCGATGATGTCGTCCAGCAGGCCAAGAGTGAGTGTGACCCCAGACCCGCCGGCTACAAGAAACACGCTTTCGTGCAGACCCAGATCGACGCCTGACCCTCCATAAGGACCATCCAGCATGACTTGAACGAAAGCAACAGAGTCGCCCTCAGACTTCTCATTGATGTGTAAACGTTCTTGTTGCTGTCGGGTGTGGTTATTCAATGCCAGCGTCCAGTCTCCATCGCTTCGTGCCGCGAGAAGGAACCCAGGTGAGGAGAGGCAAGAATGAGATGGTGGTGCCGAGAGGATAGTGAATGGATGGGATTTAAAAACTTTGTCCAAGAAGAAAACACGCAATCTGACATGCTGGCCTGCGAGCCAGCCATCGTCGCAATTATGAACGCGGATCTATGATAGATGAAGTCAACAGTGCATCGAACAACGTTAGAATACTATACCAAAGTCATGTGAATGTCCTGCCTAGTGAGGATAGCATCCTTGATTCGATAGCGGAATAGGCGCAATAAAACATCTGCGCCGTAAAATGCAAGGGGAGGGAATATCCACGGCGATGCGTACGACGTCTGGTAGCATATGATAACAAAGAATGCCACATATGTCAAAACGCTTCAGAAAAGGTTAGTTGTGATGCGATGCGAGGCAACAAACCTTACTGGACGACGAAGAAACACTCGTAAAACAGTGTCTTGACTGGCCTCAAAGATGTGAGGACGATGATGCAGAGGAGGGCCAACGACGCCACTCCCGAAGTCTCTTTCGGCGGACCAGGAATTGCAAGTCCATACTGCAGATGATTGCGAATATACAGGGACCCATGGATGCATCCGCCGAGGAACATGGTTCTTCCCGTCATCCTATGCATGAAATTGGGTTTCTCGTAGCCATTCCCTGGTCCTAACAATAAGGACAGACTTGAGTTTTTAGTTGCAAAAAAGACGACCGGAAACTGCGAGAGCGAGAAATCCTAAGTGACCCAAATAAGTTCCTCTCGTGCGTGAACGGATTGACCGACTCACCTGGTAGCTCTGTTCGGATTAGATGATGCAGACGAGCACAGCTGCGAGGTACGCCAATAAAACTATAACTAAATATTACAATGTGTCAGTTTTTCCTGTCAGTAACAAAACACTCTCGATACGCACTTTGTCCGAGATTGAGCCCAAGCTTCGGAGGAGACAAATACGCTGGTAAGATGAGAGCATTCCAAACTCAGAGCAACCTACGACGTCTTCGACGGGTAGGCGGTGGCTCCTTGCCATGAGTCGGAATGGGCGGACCGATATCCATTGGTCTCTGATATCCAGCGATTCCCTTAATTAAGGGAACGTCCACATCTCAGACCAAAAATCAAACTCGGAACAGAGACATATGCTGAATTTGATTTGCTATTTGGGATCTTCGACGTATGAGCTGTAGCCATTCAGTGTGCAAGATTGAAATTGTCAGACGTACTTGTAAATCTGAAAGTTACTAGGAACAACTGGAGCAGCCATATTGTCGGGCTAGTTGGAAGGTAGCGGCCCAGTTGAGACTCTATAACCAGTGTGCACTGTATGATTAGGAAGTCGAAATCAAATGTGACAATTTCATATATAGTATACCTGAAGACAGGCGCTAAGAAGCACCGTGAGAACGGGATGCCGCATGTGTGATATGCCGGGCACGGATGGACCACGGTCTCGACACCCTCTGCACGTCTATCTTACGGTTCTCTCTACGGAGTCCGAATATAGATCATCATTCATCTCTTCGTACTTGATGCAGTTCAAGGAGGACGTGATTTACGCTTGGTAAAGTAGCTGTCCGCACCACCTCCCTTATTCACATCATTACAGTCCACGTCCATCTCCTACGAGATACGCCTCATATCTGGTGATTCCCTCTTCACCCTGTTTCTTTCACCATTGACTCGACAGTCACTCCGCACTTTGTTCAATTGACACCACCCTTGCCTCAAGTCGAAGCTCCACATTCAGGTGTTTACCACAATGGTCCGCTCCTGTAACCTCTGCCATTCTGCAGCCTCAAGCCGCACTAATATCAATGACCATGTCCTTGGTCAAAGTATGGTCCCGTCACCTTCAAGGCTTTCCTACACTTGGACCTGCCAGCTTATCCATGCAGTGCCACCTATAACGGATATTCCTCTTCCGCAGGGTTCTGTTTCTTATCTCTTGGCGGTGAGTGAATCCGGTAGCGGTCACAGCTTCCTCAATATTTCGTTCGTCCGCATCAATCATCAATCACTGTCAACCGAACGAGAATATAATTGGTTGCATTCTCGCCTTGTTCTTTCTCATTCCTCGCTGCAGGCAAGATAATCCTTCCCCCATGGCACTGTCAGCTCAATTGGACCAGTCGTATGTAATCATCCGTCTTTTCTTTGCGCGCCGTTTCAGAGATATAGACATTTTTTGCCTTTGTCATTACCTCACAAAATATACTCAATTCTACATTTTGCCTTTGCGTGCTAACTGAGTAGTACGATACGAGTCCAGGAGCAGCAATCACCCTGAGACTCGCACGTCCCTTTCAACGTTGGCAGGCCACTTTCGCTAACTGTTCATGATATTCTCTACTTTAGCACAGATTCTTCTGCTAATCTTGGTCGGTGTTTCTCCATTCCCAGCGCTTGTGCAATCATACCAGCGTCTATCGTGCCGAACATCCACTGACAATATGAAAATACACGTGCAGCGTGACCTGAACCCTAGGCCTCAATCTCCCACTGGGCAGAACTCTATCTGCAGTCCCCATATCCTTACCCCCGTCCTTCCTTCTCGCTGATTCCTTCCACGCCACTCGGCCCGTCTTCGAACCCTCATCAATCTGCTCCATCGCAACATCATGCCTCGTCGCTCAAAACGCCGATATATCAGACTTGAAGGTGAGTTCCTCCACATTACCTTCGTATCAGGGTCATGATCCTCAAGCTCTATCTACAGTCATCAGCGGAAAGAATCTTCAAGTCCCGTCCGAGCGCATTCCCGCTGGCATTTACGTGTCCATCAATGTCGACTCGAAGAGACGCTGGAAATCAGCCATCAGTGTCCTATCATCTGATGGATCTATAGCGTGGGGGAATACTATAACTCTGTGAGTTCCATGGATAATTTCTGATGTGATGCGAGAACTGATCCTTGGATTATAGACCATCATCACATTCCTCACCTGCGTTGTCAGTGGAGATCAGGGCTTCCTATGAGCTTGGTCGAATGCTAGGCAGTGGAGAGTTCATGGGGGAACTTCAAATGTCGTGGGATGAGCTACTCGATCATGGAGATCACCCATTTGGTCAGTCATTCGCTTCTCATTCATGCACATACACTGACATCTCGTAGATCTATCTTTCCCAGCCGTGTGTGGTATACAACCTTTCATCACACTGAAGGTTGCGGTCGTGCATGCTTTGGACGATCAAAACGGCGCACTGTTTGACGTGAGCAACCCCGGACTCTGTCCTGTTAGCTTTGCTGATGGAACGCCAACTATAGTCTCTCGTAGACTGTGAAATTGCTCGAGACACAGATGCTGGCCACATACGACTTGCCAGATACGTGAGATACAAGAGGGTCTCTTGCTTGAACGGTGCTGTAGAGCATTTTCAGTTGGCTCTGAACCAGTGTCCGGTCGGCCATCCAGACCGTGCAACAGCTCTCACCAACCTCGCGTGGGTTCGCCTTCAAGACTACATCCAAAATGATGTTCAAGACATTGATGCTACCATTTCTCTCTTCCGCGACGCCCTTGCATTGCATCCGCAGCACCATCCCGATCATCCCTTATCCCTATATAATCTCACCAAAGCGCTGAATTGGCGCTACTCCAGGAAACATACTGCTGCAGACATCTGCGAAGCCGCCCAACTCTATCATGAGCTACTGCCTCTCTGTCAAGAGGGCACGTACCTTCGTAGCATCGCGGCAGGGGAAAATGGTGTTGATTATGTGATCGTCGGATGCAACAATCTTCCAACAGATGCATCCGATGAAGGCATCCACCTTCGAAGAGTCGTGCTCGAGCTCTGTCCTCCGGGCCATCGACTTCGTCCCAGAACCCTCGACGAGCTTGCAGGAGCAGTCAAAGCACGGTTTGATCAGCATGGCAGCATTGATGATCTTGACACGAGCATACAGCTTGGTCGTGAAGCCATGTCTCTGTGTCCCGAGGGACATGCTGACCGTGATGTCTACCTGAACAACTTGGCCTTTTCACTCGTGTCCCGCTTCAAGCACCAAGACAATACTAATGATCTCGATGAGGCCATCACTTTGCATGAAGCAGCGCTGCACCTGCGCCCTGTTGGGCACGAATCTCGTGAATGTTCATTGGACAACTTAGGGGGCGCCCTTGTCGACCGTTTCAACAAACGCAGCGACATCGGAGACATCACCAGAGCCATCAGCCTCTATCGCGAGGCCCTGACGTTGCGCCCACCCGGGCATCCTGGTCGTACCATCACGCTTCACAACCTTGCCCACGCGCTTACACACAGATATGACAAATCGCAAGTCAGCGAGGATCTTAACGAGGCCATTGATTGTTTTCGCGATTCCCTTCTGTTACAGCGGCTTGACGATCCAGAGCGCCATAGAACTCTTTACAGTTTGAGCTCGGCGCTCTGCTCTCGTTTCACGCAAGCTCAGAAGAATGAAGATGTTGAGGAGGCCATTGCTCTTTGCCAAGAATCATTGGCGGCTCTGTCTTCACTGCACCCGGACAGGTGCTTCAGCTACAGGTGGCTGCAGAAGGCCTATTTGTCTCGTTACCGGATTCTACACGACCCTGTTGATTTGTATCTTGCAGTGGAGAACTTCAGACTGGCGTCAAGGCACCCTACTCAAGGATTTCCGGCACGCATCGTGGAAGCTATTCACTGGGCTCGCCAAGCAACAGTCTATCAACATGAATCTGATCTAGAAGCATACCAAGTGTGCTTTGAGCTTTTCGACAGCCATGTGATGACACGATCATCGATCATCTCACGGCGTGAAGCTGCAACTGCTGTTCGTGGTGCACAATCACTTCCTGTAGATGCAGCGTCGTGCGCCATACGTCGTGACAATCTACGACACGCAGTTGAACTCGCAGAGCAAGGTCGCGGCCAGCAGTGGACCCTGGCATCTCGACTCAGGAATCCAGTTGAAGATATCGAGTCAGCAAATCCGGCACTGGCGCGCAATTATTTGGAGCTGAGCAAGCTCGTTTCCGATGCCGCACAGAGTTCTGCGACAATCGGCGACAGAGCTGCTGCTGATCGGGCAGCAATGGAGTACAGGAGGCTTACAAGGCAATGGGAAGCTGCGGTTGCTGAAATACGTGATCTTTCGGCGTTTTCGCGGTTCCTGCTCCCACCTCTGTATCCAGACATACAAGCGGCAGCGCGCCAGGGCCCGGTCATCATCCTCATTGCCAGTGAATACTCACGCAGCGCCATCATCGTCCCGACGTTAGGAGACCCCCATCACGTTCCCTTGCCATCTGTCACTCTCACAGATCTGACCAATCTCAAGGACCGCTTCGCCAGGGCAATACGACACGCATCTACCCTTGGCCCCAAATTGCCGCGAAACGATCTAATAGTCCTCTTACGGACAGTTTGGGACGAGATCATGCTACCCGTCGTCAACGTCCTGCGACATGATCTGAAACTAAAATACTGTCGAATCTGGCTGTGTCCAACTGCAGCCTTCACATCTATTCCTCTCCACGCAGCTCACCCATTTCGAACGAACCCAGATGGCTCTAGGGAGCCATGCCTGGAGGATCTCTACATCTGCTCTTATACGCCCACACTTTCGGCTCTGGTCAGATCCAGACAGATGATGAAGAGGCGCGTCACTCCATCCTTCGCGACAATCGGACAAGGTCAACCGGGTGCAGGAAAAGGCAAGGCGCTCTTGGCCGTCGACAGCGAGCTCGAGCTTGTCCATAAGCTCGTCCCTGCGACGGCCAAACACACTACTATTTCTGGAGACGCAGCCACACGAGCAGGTGCGCTCGAAGCTTTGCAGCAGAACACCTGGGTGCACCTAGCTTGTCATGGCAAGCAGGACCCAAAGCAGCCTTACAATTCACACTTCGTCATGAAAGACGAGGATCTGACGCTGCTCGATATCATGGAGAGAGATATTCCGCACGCTGAGTTCGCGTTCTTATCAGCGTGTCATACTGCCGTGGGCGATGAGAAGACTCCCGACGAAGTGATTCACCTCGCAGCTGGTCTCCAGTTTTTGGGGTTCAAGAGCGTCATTGGGACACTGTGGCAGGTCGACGACTCTGTCGCACAACACATCGTTAAAGCCTTCTATGAGAAGATGTTCCCAGATTTGAAGGATGGAGGTGCGATGGACTGTACGAAGGCGGCCTGGGCACTGAACCGTGCTACGCACGCCGTGAAGACGACAGTTCCGCTGGAGCAGAGGATGGTTTTCGTTCATATTGGTGTGTAGATCTATATTATCGTATTGCTGTCGTCTCGTACATGTTCACAAGTTGTTTATCTGCGATCCTCTTTCTTACTGTTGTAAAAAATTCTTGCACTATAGCTATAGCCTATCTCGTTTTCGCATGCTCTGTTATATTGCTGTCGACTAGAGTCTGTTCACCGAAATTCTTGTATACTCGACTCGTTTGCAGCCTTGTCTTCTGATAGCTCTGGAGTGGGCTTTGACAGGCTTGAGTATTTAGATAGTGGGATTTGGGCCAGTCAGGCCTACTAGATTCTTTACGTTTTAAGTGTTGAGTTTTGCATCACGGAAGCTCGATTAATTTCAATCAATGCTAATTTATGTGCCAAGTTATGAGCAGGTTTGGGTCTGCTCATAGGGAACTATCATTCAGAGGGAGCTCCGACGCAGGTGAGATGCTCTTCCCAGGGACAATCAATTCAATTCTTAAGTGAGAGAATGGGAGTTAGGAAATAGCAAACAGAAAACAGGCGTTATTATAACATGCTAAGATGTGCCAGAGATGTCTGACAATCGCACACGCTGGTAAGTAGATACTTGAGTGGAAGCAGTGTAGAGGAAGGTCCTAACAGCTGCTCTACTAGTAAATGTGATGGTCCTTCGTCTCTTCGTAGGAAAATCCAAGAGTGATCAAAATTTTCAATCTAGATCGCATTAGTTTCATCAATGGCTTGCTGTAGAGCGTGAGTCATTTTCCTTCTTCACCAAGACACCCAGGTGAAAGAGACTGAGAGCGTAAGTATCGAGAGTAACTATGGCACCATTGAGATAGTCTACCCAATACAGAGCATTGTCAGCGTATTCCTAGCGAAGATAGTGACAACGCACCAAAGCAACTCTCTGTCGTAATTACTAGCCCAGCCCATCCATTGGCGAGCTCCACAGTACGGTGCCCCGATGTAAGGACGGACTTGAGTACATGGTAACGGCTGATAACAGAGTACGTTGAACACTGACCAAATGAAGATGCAAAGGGTGCAGAACGCCATGCCACAAAGCATGAGTTGAAAGTTCTGACTCACAGCACGTTGGCATCGGGCTTTCTCCGATATGCGAGGCTGCTCAACATAGCGAAAGGGTACATTATATTTCAAACGCAAGAGTCAATCACCAAAGCGACATAGACCACTACTGCAACTGTAAAGCGAAGGTTGTGAATTTGAATGAGAGAAACATACAGGATCAATCATCACGTATAACAGTTCCTCCTAGCATAATGTTCGCGCCCTGTCTCGATTATGTGAATGACAGATGAAAACGACGGGATGGAGTACATACCATCGAAGCGCTTGTCTTCGTGTTGGCAGCATGCACAGCGGGCTTGTACAATCAAGCAAATGATACCCAAGGAGGAAGGGTGATATGTAGGATCAACAACAAAAAACGATGGTACCTGCACTAGATAAATAATTGAACACTAGCAGCATCAGACCAGCACTGACAGACCCGGTGGGTGAGTATCTGCAGACCCATAGTGAATAGCCGGATACCGAGAGCGGGCGAAAATAGCTGGACACCAAGAGTGAGCAAGAGCAGATGGCGACTCAGTGCGGGAGAGAGTGAATACAGCGAGTGGGAGGGCGTGGCTGGAGGTACTGAGCGAGAGGGGGTATCAGTTTGGACTATCAGTGCCCTCGATGCGCACATTGTCCCAGATTGAGCCTGAGCGCTGAGCTTTGGAGGAGACAAGTACACTGGTGAGATGAGAGCACCAACCAATCCACGACCCCTCCGACGGTTGACAGGTCAGCGGCATCTCTATGCTATTGGAATGGGCAGACTGATATCCAATAATTGGTCTCTGAGATTCCAGCAATTAATCCCTTGAAGGAACACCTACTTCTCAGACTGATATTACAACTCGGAACAGAAACAGCCACAGCCAGTGCCAATGCCAGAGTATCAGATAATCATGGTGTGCCATTCGAAATTTCAACGTAGCAATTCATGCATGCGTTTCAGTGTGCAGGATGAGATTTGTCGAACATATTTGTAAATTTAAAAGTTAATGACGACGGGACCTGCTATAATGATTGTCAGGCTATTGGGGAGGTAGGCTACAGCCAAGTCGATACTCGAGGATTGAAAATGATTAATTGTTGAAAATAGCGGCAAACTGTGACGTAAGACGATGCCGTGGGAACGGAAAGAAAGTGTACCGAGAGAACTTGAGATATTTCGGTATCTGTTGCTCATATTCTCGGCCAAATTTTGTTTCTATCACCTTCAAGACTTCCCTGCAGTACGATGGACCTGTTAGCTGGTTCATACGGTGCCACATATAGTGGATATTCCTTTTCTGCAAGGTATAACTCCCGGCTATGGGTGATTCCAACAGCAGTCACAACATTTTGCTCATTCACCGAACGAGCATCATATAATTATATGGTTCGTTGCATCCTCGTTTTTGAAGGTCATATTCTTTTCTCATTCCTCGATGCAGGCAAGATCATCCTCCCCCTCCCCTCACTCCATTCCACTGTCAGCTCGATCGGGCGAGTGGTATGGAATCGTTCGACTTTGCTTTGCCCGCCGTCTTCAGCGGTATAAACATTGTTTGCCTTTGTCAGTCAGTACCTTACAAAATATATTCGGTTCTACATTTTTCCTTTGCGTGCTAACTGAGTAGTAAGATGCTTTCGCCGCAAACTGCTCATGACATTCTCTACTCTAACGGATTCTTCTGCTAATCCTGGTAATCTCCATTCCCGGCGCTTGTGCAATCATACCAGCGTTTATCGTGCCGATCATCCACTGACAATTTGGAAATACACGTGCAGCGTGACCTGACCCTGAGCGTCAATCTCCCACTTAGCCGAACTCTATCAGCAGTCCCCATATCCTTACCCCCAACTTCCCTTCCCATTCATTCCGTCCACCACTCTACCCATCCTCGATCCTCATCATTTTACTCCGTCGCAATATCATGCCTGGTAGCTCAGAAAGCCGATATATCAGACTTGAAGGCGAGTCCCTCATATTATATTTGTATCGGTTTCATCATCCTCACACTCTATCTACAGTCATCAACGGAAAGAATATTCGAGTCCCGTCCGAGCGCATTCCCGCTGGCATCTACATATCGATCAATGTCGACTCGAGGAAACGCTGGAAATCGGCCATCAGTGTCCTATCATCCGATGAATCTGTAGCGTGGGTGGATACTGTAACTCTGTAACGTCCATGGAGATCTTCTGACGTGATGCGAGAACTGATCGTCGGTTTATAGATCATCAAATGCCTCGCCTGCATTGTCAGTGGAGATCAGGGCGTCATATGAGCTTGGTCGAATGCTAGGCAGTGGAGAGGTCATCGGGGAACTGGAAATGTCGTGGGATGAGCTACTCAATCATGGAGATGAGCCTTTCGGTGAGTGATTCGCTTCTCATTCATGCACATATGTTAAGATCTCGTAGATCTATCCTTCCTAGCCGTGCGCGGTGTCCAACCTTCCATCACACTGAAGGTTGCTGTTGTATATGCTTGGGACAATCAAAACGGCGGACTGTTTAATGTGAGCGACCCCAGACTCCGTCCTATTAGCTTTGCTGACGGAACACCAACTGTAGTCTCTCGTAGACTGCGAGATTGCTCGAGATACAGATGTGGGCCACGCACGATTTGCTGCATACGCGACGAGCAAGACAGTCTCTCACTTGAACGATGCTATGGAGCATTTTCAGTTGGTTCTGGACCAGTGTCCGGTCGACCATCCAGACCGCGCAACAGCTCTCACCAACCTCGCGTGGGCCTGCCTTCAAGGCTACATCCAAAATGATGTTCAAGACATTGATATTACCACTTCCCTCTTCCGCGACGCCCTTGCATTGCGTCCGCAGCACCATCCCGATCATCCCTTATCCCTATATAATCTCACAGAAGCACTCACTTGGCGCCACTCCAGCAAAAGTACTGATGTCGACATCTGCGAAGCCGCCCAACTCTATCACGAGCTACTGCCTCTCTGTCCAGAGGGCACGTACCTTCGTAGCATCGCGGCAGGGAAATATGGTGTTGATTGTGTGATCGGCGGATGCAACAATCTTCCACCAGACGGATCTGATGAAGGCATCCACCTTCGAAGAGTCGTCCTCGAGCTCTGTCCTCTGGGCCATCGACTTCATTCCAGAACCCTCAACCAGCTTGCAGGAGCAGTTAAAGCACGGTTTGATCAGCACGGCAGCATTGATGATCTTGACACGAGCATACAGCTTTGTCGTGAAGCCGTGTCTCTGTGCCCCGAGGGACATACTGACCGCAATGTCCGCCTGCATAACTTGGCTCTTTCACTCATGTTCTGCTTCATGCACCAAGGCAATCCTAACGACCTCGATGAGGCCATCTCTTTGTATGAAGAAGCACTGCACCTGTGTCCTGTTGGGCACAAGTATCGTGATTTCCCACTGGACAACCTAGGGGGCGCCCTTGTCCATCGTTTCAACAAACGCGGCAACATCGAAGACATGACCCGAGCTATCAGCCTTTATCGGGAGGCCCTGACGTTGCGCCCACCTGGGCATCCAAGTCGTGACACCACGCTTAACAACCTTGCTTCCGCGCTCCAAACTAGATATGCAAAATCGCAAGTCAGCGACGATCTTAACGAGGCCATTGATTTGTATCGCGATTCGTTTCTGTTAAAGCGGCTTGACCATCCAGAGCGCCATAGAGCTCTTTACAATTTGAGCTCGGCGCTCTGCTCTCGTTTCATGCAAACTCGGGAGAATGAAGATATTGAGGAGGCCATTGCTCTTTGCCAAGAATCATTGGCGGCTCTATCTTCACTGCACCCGGACAGGTACTTCAGCTACATGTGGCTACAGGAAGCCTATTTGTCTCGTTATCGGATTCTACACGACCCTGCTGATTTGTCTCTTGCAGTGGAGAACTTCAGACTGGCATCAAGGCACCCTACTCAGGGCTTTCCATACCGTATCAGAATAGCCCGGAGATGGGTCGCCGCTGCAGAGACGCACAGTCATACGTCCGCACTGGAGGCCTACAGCACGTGTTTCGACCTTCTTGACGGTCATTTGGCAACGCGATCATCGACAATTTCACGACGCGAAGCTGCTACTGCCTTCAATGATATCAGATCGCTGCCTGTAGATGCAGCATCGTGCGCTATCCGCAATGACAATCTACGACACGCAGTCGAACTCGCAGAACAGGGTCGTGGGCAGCAATGGTCGCTGGCATCTCGACTCAGGACTCCAGTTGAAGACATCCAGTCAGCAAATCCGGCACTGGCGCACAATTATTTGGAGCTGAGTAAACTCCTTTCTAATGCAGCCCAGAGTTCTGCAACCATCAGCGACAGAGCTGCTGCTGATCGGGCAGTAATAGAGTACAGGAGACTTACAAGGCAATGGGAAGCTGCCGTAGCTGAGATACGTGATCTCCGGGAGTTCTCGCGGTTCCTGCTCCCACCTCTGTACGCAGACCTGCAAGCGGCAGCGCGCCAGGGCCCGGTCATCATCCTCATTGCGAGCCAATACTCATGCAGCGCCATCATCGTTCCCACGTCAGGAGACCCGCATCATGTTCCCTTGCCATCTGTCACTCTCGCAGATCTCACCAATCTCAAGGACCGCTTCGCCAGGGCAATACGACACGCATCTGCCTTGGGCCCAAAAGTGCCGCGAAATGATCTAATAGTCCTCTTGCGGACAGTATGGGACGAGATCATGCTACCCATCGTCAACGTCCTCCGGCATGATCTGAAACTAAAATACTGTCGAATCTGGCTGTGTCCAACTGCAGCCTTCACATCTATTCCTCTCCACGCAGCTCACCCGTTTCGAACCAACCCAGATGGCTCTAGGGAGCCATGCCTGGAGGATCTCTATATCTGCTCTTACACGCCCACACTTTCGGCTTTGGTTAGGTCTAGACAGATGATGAAGAAGCGTGTCACTCCATCCTTCGTGACAATCGGTCAGGGTCAACCAGGTGCAGGGAAAGGCAAGGCGCTCTTGGCTGTCGACAGTGAGCTCGAGCTTGTACATAAGCTCGTCCCTGCGACGACGAAACGTACTACTATTTCTGGCGACGCAGCCACTCGAGCAGGTGCGCTCGCAGCTTTGCAAGAGAACACCTGGGTGCACCTAGCTTGTCATGGCAAGCAGGACCCAAAGCAGCCTTACAATTCACACTTCGTCATGAGAGACGAGGATCTGACGCTGCTCGATATCATGGAAAGAGACATTCCGCAGGCTGAGTTCGCGTTCTTATCAGCGTGTCATACCGCCGTCGGAGATGAGGAGACACCCGACGAAGTGATTCACCTCGCGGCTGGTCTCCAGTTTTCGGGGTTCAAGAGTGTGATTGGGACGTTGTGGCAGGTCGACGACTCTGTCGCAAAACACGTCGTCAAAGCTTTCTATGAGTATATGTTCGAAGATTTGAAGGATGGAGGTGTCTTGAATTGTACGAAGGCGGCCTGGGCACTGAACCGTGCCACGCACGCCGTGAAGACGAAAGTTCCGCTGGAGCAGAGGATGGTTTTTGTTCATATTGGTGTGTAGTTCTACGTCGTATTGCTATCGTGCGGTACATAATATTTACACGGTGTTGATTCGCGATCAACATTCATGCTATTGTACAAATGACTTGGCCTGATATATTTTTGCGCTCCAGCTATCTCGTTTTCGCATGCTCTGTCGTATGTTTGTCGACTGCAATTTTCACCAAGTTCTTGTGGAATTGACTCATTTGCAGTCCCGTCTTCTGCTTGAGTACTTAGATAGTACTTAGGAGCTGGGCCTGTGAAGCCGACTCTCAGGCTCGCCTTGCAGTCATACTTCAAGCGGTCAAGACCTTCTGCGATGGACACTCGACCAATCAATACCAAATTAGAAGCATGGTCCATCATTAGATGGCAGTTCAGGAAGGTCGTACACTGGCTTTGCTGCCTTGAAAAGTTTCATGCAGTGATATACAGAAACTAGGTCTAAAACGCCGTGGGAACAGGAGAAAAGGTGATCTGGCATGTCTCGCATTTCGCACGTTCAAGAACTTGAGGTATGTTGGCCACCTATGAATGCATGTGAACCACTGAACGTGACGCGGTCTATGGGCCCGGTCTCTACATTCAAGGTCATTGTGCGAACAGGTATCTACACATCTATTTTTCTATATGGAGTCTGAATATGCTCATATTCAGATCATCATTCATCGACATCTCTTCTCTCGCCCAACCTTTTTCCAAATGTACTTCATGCAGTCCGAGGAGAACGTAGTGTACAAGGATTTACGCTATAGCCGTCCGCACCACCTGTCTCATTTGCGCGATTGGAATCGACGGGCCGTTCCACGAGATGCACCCCATATTTGGTGATTCCCTCTTTACCCTCTTTCTTTCACAATTGACTCAACAATCACTCTGCACCACATGCCATCATCCTTACCTCAAGCACAACCCCTCTCCCTCATTGAAGTGCACACTCTCGAGACATTTACATGTTTACCGCAACGATCCTGTCCTGGTAACCCTTGCCATTTTTCAGTCAAGCGACTCAAGCCACACCAGCGCCAATGACCATGCCCTCGGCCAAAATATGTCTCCATTACCTCCATGGCTTTCCTATATGGTGGACTGCTAGCCTGTTCATGCAGTGCCATCTACAGTGGATATTCCTCTCCTGCAGGGTTCCGTTTGATATCTCTCGGTGGTGGGTGAATCCGGTAGCAATTGTAGCTTCTTCAATACTTCGTTTGTCCTCCACTGAACGAGTATACAGTTGGTTGCATTCTCGCTTTCGAAGCCGATATTCTTTTCTCGGTGCAGGCAAAATCATCCTCTCCCTGTGGCACCGTCACCTCAATCGGACGAGTCGTATAGAATCTTTCGGCTTTTCTGTGCACTATTTTCAGCGGTGTAAACATCGTTTGCATTTACCGTTGCCCTATGAAATACACTCCATTCTGCATTTTCTCCTTCGTGTGCTAACTGAGCGGTGCGATACTGGTCCAGGAGCAGCAATAACCGTAAGATTTGCATGTCCCCTTCAACTTTGGGAGGCCACTTTCGCTGAGGATTGATCATGACATCGATTCTTCAGCTAATCCTGGTCAGTGATCTCGATTCCCAGCGCTTAGTGCAATCATATCAGCGTCTATCGTGCCGACTCCAGCCCTCGACCACATGGAAATACACGTGCAGCGTGGCCTGAACCCTCAACCTCATCTCTCTCTCAGCCGAACTCCATCTACAGTCCGACTCATTCCACCCACCCTCTGCCTTCTCCTACTGCTCATTTTGAACCTATCTCAATTTCTGATGCTGCGTGTCGTTCGTTGTTTGTTTCATCCCACAATCACACGCAGTAGCCTAGAAGAACGATATATCAGACTTGAAGGCGAGTCCCTCCATTATTAACTTCGTATCTGTTTCATCATCCTCACACTCGATCTACAGTGATCAGTGGAAAGGATCTTCGAGTCCCCTCCTGGCGCATTCCTGCCGGTATTTACGTGTCCGTCGATGTCGACTTGAGGAGACGCTGGAAATCGGCCATCGGTGTCTTATCATCCGATAAATCTGTAGCGTGGGCGGATACTATAACTCTGTGAAGTCGATGGAAACTTTCTGATGTGATGCGGGAACTGATCTTTGGTTTATAGACCATCACATTCCTCACCTGCATTGTCAGTGGAGATCAGGGCGTCCTATGAGCTTGATCGAATGCTAGGCGGTGGAGAGGTCATCGGGGAACTTCAAATGCCGTGGGATGAGGTACTCGATCATGGAGATGAGCCATTCGGCGAGTGACTCGCTTCTCATTCATGCATATATACTGACATCTCGTAGATCTATCCTTCCCAGCCGTGCACGGTGTCCAACCTTCCATCACACTGAAGGTTACCATTGTACATGCTTGCGACGATGAAAACTGCGCACTGTTCGATGTGAGCGACCCCGAACTCCGTCCTGTCAGCTTTTTCTGACGGAATTGCGACTGCAGTCCCTCGTAGACTGCGAAATTGCTCGAGAGACAGATGTGGGCTACGCACGACTTGCGAAATACGTGAGAAGTAGGAGGGTCTCTGACTTGAATGATGCTGTAAAGCATTTTCAATTGGTTCTGAACCAATGTCCGGTCGGCCATCCAGACCGCGCAACGGCTCTCACCAACCTCGCTTGGGTTCTCCTCAAAGGCTACATCCGAAACGATGTCGAAGACATTGATACTACCACTTCCCTCTTCCGCGACGCCCTTGCATTGCGTCCGCAGCACCATCCCGATCATCCCTTATCACTATATAACCTCACTGAAGCGCTGACTTGGCGCCACTCCAGGACACGTACTGCTCGTGACGTCCACGAAGCCGCCCAACTCTATCATGAGCTACTGCCTCTATGTACAGAGGGCACGTACCTCCGTAGCATCACAGCAGGAAAAAATGGTGTTGATTATGTAATCGACGAATGTAGCGATCTTCCAACAGACGCATCCGATGAAGCCATCCACCTTCGAAGAGTCGTGCTCGAGCTCTGTCCTGTGGGCCATCCACTTCGTCCCAGAACCCTCGACGAGCTTGCAGGAGCAGTTAAAGCACGGTTTGATCAGCACGGCAGCATCGATGATCTTGACACGAGCATACAGCTTTGTCGTGAAGCCGTGTCTCTGTGTCCTGAGGGACATGCTGACCGTGATACCTACCTGAACAACTTGGCTCATTCACTCATGTCCCGCTTTAAGCACCAAGGCAATACTAGTGATCTCGACGAAGCCATCTCTTTGTATGAAGCAGCACTGCACATGTGCCCTATTGGGCACGAATCTCGTGATTGCTCACTGGACAACCTAGGGGGTGCCCTCGTCGACCGTTTCAACGAACGCGGTGACATTGATGATATTACACGAGCCATCAGTCTTTATCACGAGGCCCTGACGTTGTGCCCGCCTGGGCATCCACGTCGTGACACCACCCTTAACAACCTTGCACTCGCGCTCCAAAACAGATATGACAAATCGCAAGTTAGCGAGGATCTCAACGAAGCTATTGATCAGTATCGCGATTCCCTTCGGTTAAAGCGGCTTGACAATCCAGAGCGCCATAAGACTCTTTTAAATTTGAGCTCGGCGCTCTGCTCTCGTTTTACGCAAACTCAGAAGACCGAAGATGTCGAGGAGGCCATTACCATTTGTCAAGAATCATTGGCAGCTCTGTCTTCACTACACCCGGGCAGGTTTTTCAGCTACGGGTGGCTGCAGGAGGCCTATCTGTCTCGTTACCAGATTTTCCATGACCCTGCTGATTTGTCGCTTGCAATGGAGAACTTCAGACTCGCATCAAGACATTCTACTCAAGGGTTCCCAGAACGCATCATTGATGCATTTAATTGGACCGTTGCAGCGGAGCAGCATGGTCATGGATCCGCGCTGGAAGCCTACTCGACATTTTTTGAGCTTCTGGATGCTCATTTGGCAACACGGTCTTCGGCAACTTCACGACGCGAAGCTGCTGCTGCCTTCAATGGTGTCAGATCGCTGCCCGTAGATGCAGCATCGTGCGCTATCCGCAATGGCAATCTACGGCACGCAGTCGAACTCGCAGAGCAGGGTCGTGGGCAGCAATGGTCGCTGGCATCTCGACTCAGGACACCAGTTGAAGACCTCGAGTCAGCAAATCCGGCACTAGCGCACAGTTATTTAGAGCTGAGCAAGCTCGTTTCCAATGCCGCACAGAGTTCTGCGACAATCAGCGACAGAGCTGCTGCTGATCGGGCAGCAACAGAATATAGGAGACTTACAAGGCAATGGGAAGCTGCAGTCGCTGAAATACGTGACCTTCCGGCGTTTTCGCGGTTCCTACTCCCACCTCTGTATGCAGACCTACAAGCGGCAGCGCGCCAGGGCCCAGTCATCATCCTCGTTGCGAGTCAATACTCATGTAGCGCCGTCATCGTCCCGACGTCAGGAGACCCCCATCATGTTCCCTTGCCGTCTGTCGCTCTCGCAGATCTGACCAATCTCAAGGATCGCTTCGCCAGGGCAATACGACACGCATCTGCCCTGGGCCCAAAAGTGCCGCGAAACGATCTAATAATCCTCTTGCGGACAGTATGGGACGAGATCATGCTACCCATCGTCAACGTCCTCCGGCATGACCTCACACTAAAATACTACTCTCGAATCTGGCTTTGTCCAACGGCAGCTTTCACCTCCATTCCTCTCCACGCAGCTCACCCGTTTCGAACCAACCCAGATGGCTCTAAGGAGCCGTGTCTGGAGGATCTCTACATGTGCTCTTACACCCCGACACTTTCGGCTCTGGTCAGATCTAGACAGATGATGAAGAAGCGTATCATTCCTTCCTTCGTGACAATCGGACAGGGTCAACCGGGTGCAGGGAAAGGGAAGGCGCTCTTGACTGTTGACAGCGAGCTCGAGCTTGTCCATAAGCTCGTCCCTGCGACGGCCAAACACACTAGTATTTCTGGAGATGCAGCCACACGAGCAGGTGCGCTCGAAGCTTTGGAGCAGAACACCTGGGTGCACCTAGCTTGTCATGGCAAGCAGGACCCAAAGCAGCCTTACAATTCACATTTCGTCATGAGAGACGAAAATCTGACGCTGCTCGATATCATGGAAAGAGATATTCCTCACGCCGAGTTCGCGTTCTTATCAGCATGTCATACCGCCGTCGGGGATGAAGAGACTCCCGACGAAGTGATTCACCTCGCGGCTGGTCTCCAGTTTTCAGGGTTCAAGAGCGTCATTGGGACGCTGTGGCAGGTCGACGACTCTGTTGCAAAACACATCGTCAAAGCCTTCTATGAGAATATGTTCAGAGGTTCGAAGGATGGTGGTGTGATGGACTGTACAAAGGCGGCCTGGGCACTCAACCGTGCTACGCACGCTGTGAAGACGAAAGTTCCGCTGGAGCAGAGGATGGTTTTCGTTCATATTGGTGTGTAGTTTCACGTCGTGTTCCTATCGCCTGGTACACATATACAAGCTGTTGATATGCGATCTGTTGTGAAAATGACTCTGATATCATGTTCTTGCGCTCTAGCTATCTTATTTTCGTATACTTTGTTATCTCTTCATCGACTAGAATGTTGACTAAAGTTCTTGTGTACTCAACTCGTTTACAGAGTCGTCTTCTGCCTGACTCGGCTCGAGTACTTAGATTTCAGGAAATTAATTAGACCAGTCGAGCATACTACTTAGTCATATTAGATCCTTCAAGTTTCTAGCGTTAAATCTTTCTGCACAGTGGAATCTCAAGTGAGAGAATGTGAGTCGCCGGTATGACAGCTGGCAGGAAACAGAAAACAGGCGTTATTATGACATGCCAAGATATGCCAGAGATGTTCGACAATCGCACAAGGTACTAAGTAGATACGTGAGGGGAAGTAGTATAGAAGAACGTCCTGACAACTGCTCTACGACGGTCCATCGTCTCTTCGTAGTAAAATCCAAGAGCACTCAATGTTTTAGGTCTTGGTCGAACTAGCTTCTTCGTCGATAGATTGCTGTGAAGCGTGAGTCATAGGATTATCCTTCTTCACCAAGATACCTGGGTAAAAGAAATTGAGAGTGTAGATGGCGAGAGTTACCATGCCACCATCGAGCCAGTCTACAGCATTGTCAGCGGCGTATTCCTGGTGAAGATAGTGACAACGTACCGAAGTAGCGCTCCGTCGAAATCACTGGCCCATTCCATCCATCGGCGAGCTCCACAGTACGGTACACCGATCTAAGGACGAATTTGAGCATATCATAACTGCTGATAAAAAGATTTGCTGAATACTAACCGAATGAAGATGCAAAGGGTACAGAACGCCATGCCACAAAGCATAAGTCGCAAGCTCTTACTTACAGTACGTGGGCCTTTCTCCGATATGCGACGCTGTTCAACGTAGCGGAAGGGTAGATTATATTGCAAACGCAAGAGAGTCTCAACCGCCAAAGCGACATAGACCACTATTGCAACTGGAAAACCAAGGTCGTGAATGTCAGTGAGAGAAGCATACAGAACCACTCATCACGCACAAAGCTGAGCAACGATTCCTCCTAGCATAATGTTCGCGCCCTGTCTCGATGATGTGAACGTCAGACAAATTATGGGATGATGTGCATACCATCGAAGCGCTTGTCTTCGTATTGGCGGCGTGCGCAGCAGATGCGCCTCCCGCAGCTTGTACAATCAAGCAAACAATGTCCTAGGAAGAGGAGGTATATGAAGGATTCACACCCCTTGAATGTATGACACTAACAAAGCAACAAAAAACGATGGTATCTGCACTAAATCAGTAATCGAATGCTAGAAGCATCAGAAAAATACTAACATAACCTTGGGGTTAGACGGCTGTACTGGGGTCCAATTTGAGTAATTACCCTGCCAAGGATGATAAAGTTGGCTGCGACAAGCGGAGTAGGTGCTATTATAGTGCCAACGATCCTGCAGCGAAGATGTTTAAGTGTGCATACGAGTGATTCCTGCTGGATGAACACTTACTGCATCTCATAAGGCGTCAAAAGCTTGGGGTTCCGACTCGACCATAACCTGGCACTCCATCCTAGAATTTCCAGGATACCCGCGAAGGTCGCTGTGGGGATCATCCACCACAGTCTATACTTGACCGCCTGGCCCAAGTGGAGGACTAAAAATATTAAGCCATGACCGTGCATCGTCAACAGTCGAAATTCATACCGGTTGAGATACTGTACAATACCAGGAACTAGGGAAGAATGTGAAATAGATGCAAACAACACAAACACCACAACTCACAAGGATACATATCCACTCTGTAGGGACGTAGTGGTACGGGCCAACACTAATTGGTGCTGTTGACGCACTTATTCGTAGAAGTCACCGAGGGAAATTTCATATTGAGGCACTTACTAGTTGTAGCAAACACAGAGCCAAAGGACATTGTGACGGAGGAATGGCCTCCAGTTGGTGGGTGTTGTTAACGTTGAACGTTGAGCAATGGGAGCCTTATACACGCCACGGCACTGCAATCATTTCTTTCAAGTAGGTACCGGGTTAGAATTCCTGCCATGCACGCCGCAGCGTCCTCAAATTAGCCCATCGTGGTGTGGATGACTCGCTAATGATATGTTTGCGACCAAGGTCTAAAATTGCCGATAAGCTGGAATGGCCCGTAACCGGAGTTACTGAGTCAGGCTGTCCTGACTGCTGGGAGCTGACGAGTCCCTTGGCTCGTCCATCGAACATACCGTGACGATGTAGTACTACGAGCACCGTTCATGAAACAGATAGACTCGTGATAACTAACGTGACATACTATGAGGTCGATCAAAGACTTTGAAAGTGTTTTCATTGTAAAGTGCTGGTCGAAAAAAGACAGAAGCGTTTGGTGAGTGAGATTTGAAATCATGACACGCTCACAGGAGTCCAACATGTAAACCTGGCCTCTTGTCCTGAGAATTGCATCCCACAGCCGAGGCTATAAATATTTGTAGGAAGATATCCAACTCAGCCGCCGGCTGTCATGAAACGATGTCAACAGTGCCTATCCGTTTTTTATCAGAGCGATGTCCGATTCGAAGCGGCGGTTTCTGCGGTGTTGTACAATGACATACATAGTACATACCGTCAATTGAACTTCAACTTGGCAAAAGTTGAACAAAAGCCTGAGATAGGCGAGAAAAATTACATACCGTGGTAGTAGGTGGTAGCCTGTGCTACTGCTGCCAGAGTCCAGATGGTGACCATGTGCACCTCGGGTGTGCATGTGAATGTTCTGGTTCAACCAAGTGTTGCCGGCTGAGCGCTAATCAGAGGCTGTTGCAATCGGTGACATGCAACTTGAAGCATAGTACTAGTTCCGATATTTCCTTACTTGGCACATAATGTTGCAGTCACTCATTTTCGTGACGTACTACGTACTGTAAGCACTTTGGCTCGTCTCTCGTACCATGCAAACAAGAATAACACTCTAGGCCGCGATTATACATCGTACAGGCTCACCATTCAACCATAATCAGTGATTCCTTCCCAAGGTATCGGCAAGACACGAGGAAAGCTGTCTTAGAATGCAGGAATAGAACAGGGACAGTAGTGACTCTACACAATGCGCAGCTCGCGGCATGGCCAAAGATAAGAAGGCTGCGTATCCTTTCAATTCTTCGCTCGGACTGGTTACTTTATCACAGAACATCATGATTGTCCGAAAAGAGGCACCTTCGGAGGATTAGGCGACTCTGACCTCAGGTCTATGCATAGCGACTCTCAGCAAGCAGAGTGCACGTTCGTGAATATTTCCGCGTCTGGCGTGACAGGCATAACCAAACACACAAACTTGTCTCATCGACTCGGATATGTTACCCCGAAATCATAAGCTGCCGAGTCACTGGCGGGGGACGATCCAGAAGTTCAGTTGATGGGTATCGTACATACATGAAGCAGTAAATTAAATATCCAGGTGAGAGAAACCAATCATGTAGTAAAACAAGACTCATAACGGTCCATAAGATATAGCGATACAATACGAGGATTAAGTGATACTCAGTCGACGAAAACCGGACAGGATTAATAAATAATGATAGGTATAAGTCGAGTTTCAGCCTTACAGTGAAGTAGGCTCAGTTGCATCCGTGGGGAAGCGGAGCCTGGCTAACACCAACGTGTCCCAGTCCTTGTCATTGGATCCAGCATTTAGCCGCACTTGCGACACTTTGCTCGCGAACACTGCCTTTCGGGGTATCTCTTCAATGTATGAGGGGCCACCCTCATCGGAAGGGTACTCAGTATCTGTGGTGAAGGTGCCCCATGGTCGACCACTCTGACGATCCGAAAAGACATTGAAATGGGCTTGGCCATTTGGATGAGAATGGCTCACGAAGAGCGCATATTCCGGTGCAGACAAAGTACCGAAAACTATCGGGGAAAGTCGGTATACTCTCGACTATGAATAGCAAGGGCAGGGATACTCACCCAAAATAACGTCTTCTTTCTGAATGGGATGATGGGGAGCATATTCCTTGACAATGGTATTGACATTAGCCTTAAACCAGTCTTTCGGTGCTGCGAGGTCTTCTATGAATCGGTACATCGTCGACTCTGCATAGATAAATGCAGCCTTATGGCCCGCTCGAAGGGGGAACGGGTGGCGCCTCGAAATGCGTTCCCTAAACGTGCGTGGTTAAAACAAACCGGTCAAAAATATACCTGCTGTGCACTCACGAATATGACCCATCACGATCTATCAGCGGGAAGGTCAACAACCCGGAAATGAGCTCAAGCCCTCTCTGCGTCATCGTACGGATTGAATCAGACTTCTTCCCAATACGAATAGGTCCCTCGAGGTACCCGCCCAGCGAAGGTATATTCGTGACTTTGCTCCCCGCTGTTTGATGGGGCTTCATGGCATTAAAGAGCGTAATGAACTCCCCTTTTGGTGCAGAGAGATATCCCACTGCGCCCAGCTCGACATGAGAAGGTGACCAAAGAGGTAAGGTAACTGCCAACGAAACCACATGTTCAATCAGTGCCAGAACACCCAAGAACAGTTATAACATAGAGAAACAGACATACGAGAATGATGGAAGTCATGGCTCAACTGTGCTAATGACCTGAACCGCAACTCGTTTCTCCTCTCTGCGAGTTGCTCATCCATTGGTAGAGATGGTTTGTCCAAGGCAACATGGGGCGAACGACGACGACGACGACGAACCTCCTCCAACGCGCTGTGTTCAGCTTCTGGACTTGACGTGAGATGCGACGAGGTACTACTCATCGAATCGGTCTCTGCCAAAGATAATTTGCGAGTCGGCGTATAGATAGCAATCCCTGAATACTTGCCCTCGGGCATCTCCATATTGCCCGTATGAGAATCCACGGTGGGTTCCCAATGATACGATGGATTGCTGCGCGGCTGTCCGATTGGACAGAAGGGTTTTGGCTGTGATTCCCGTGATGTTGTTGACACCAACTCCGCGTCACCAGGAACGAGTCTTCCCGTACCCTCAGACGCAGTACCAAACTCGTCTCCCACACTGGCATCCAAGTTATCGTCCAGTAAGACTTGACCTTCCTGCAGAGTAGACGGAGACGTCTCTGGTAGCTCTAGAGGATGCATGCTCGGCGAGTGGTGGGGCGGGTCTGACCAAGCTTTCAAAAGTAGCTCAGCCTGCACTGGGATAGGGGATTCCTCCACCCCTCCTTGATGCTTACGAAGTCGCTTGAGCGTCGCAGCAATGTGTGTGAACGTAGGGCGTTGCTCGGGGTCGCGAACCCAGCATTCTTGAATGAGAGGTTCCACAAGTGAAGTGATGGGTGTCGAGGGAATCTCGGCACGCTTATTTTGGTCTGTGAAGGCGTTACTAATAAGTGTGTATCGTATAGGTCGGGACTCACAATTGACAAGGAATGCAACAAGCGTGTCGTCGCGATGTCCGTACGGAAGGTCGCCCATGCCGAGAATCTCGATGCAGCAGATGGAGAACGCATATACATCTGTAGCTGTCGACAATTTCATGGGTCCATTGAGTAGTTCTGGTGCTTGCCAGCGCAACATCCCGTCTACATGAAGCCTCAGTCAAAGGAAGAAGGATAGAAGGGAGACGAGGTAAACGCACTCGTAATGGGCTTCCTCGACGCCTCCCACTTCATCTCGCTCTGCCCAAAGTCAGAGATGACACACCGCCCGTTATCATCCACCAACACATTTGAAGCCTACATACTCCAAACTCAGACCTGAAGACCAAGGAACGATCAATACTAACCTTGAGGTCTTCATGCAATACATTCTGATCATGCAAGTACACCATCCCCTTCGAAATGTGGTGCATGCACCGGAGAAGATCCACATCTCCCTTAGCACCTGCACTGGGAGGAGTCAATGCAGCCCCAGCGCTTGTTTCACCGATCCTCCCCTTCCTCTCTCTCAACCACCCTACCAAACTCCCGCCGCTACAATACTCGCTCACTATGAACCACGGTCGTTCGCCTTGTGCGCTGCTCGCACCCCACATTCCCAACACGTTCTCGTGCTTCAGTTTCCTCCATATCTCCACCGCTTTTCTGAAGAGGGGTGCAGGAGTGTGGAGGGAGAGGACTTTGATGGCGACACGCCGCCCGGACCAGCTACCTAGGTAGACTTTGGAGAAGGAGCCGCTACCAATCATGGTGAGGCGGTCGACTTCGTAGCTGTTTGGAAAAATATCATTAACTTAGTCTACTCCACCAAAACTGATCTGAAACCAGACGTACCGGGTAATAGTCCAAGGCGGTAAATCCCAGGGAACATCTACATCTTGATCCTCTGCCTTCTGTACAGCAACACTACTCAACCTCGTCATAGCCTCAATCCCAGTCTCCATGAACACTCTCTCCAGGCCTTCGTCGATTACATCTCCTCCTTTTCTTTCATTAGCTTCTCTTTCCCCTCTCAGCGCTTCCTCAGCCCTCCGAAGCGCCTTGAGTGCCTCAGGCACCTCTCCAGGGCGAACTTCTAGTACCTGTAACACCTCAGCATCCCTTCGAGCACTAATAGCACGTTGGAGTGTGCTGCGGAATAGTGCACGGTCTTGTTCTCTGTCAGAGGCGTTTTCGACAACATGAAGGTCCTGAAGCTCTGTAAGAGGGGAGATCGGCGCGTCGGGGGGTGGATCAGTGTCGTTAGTTTGTGATTGTACGGATTGAAGTGGGGACAATGGTGGATTCTGTGCTGGAGGACTCCTGCTCAGCCCAGATGCCGCTGGGAGAATGTCGTGCGATTCTGGAAGTGCTGGTGTCCCTACTGTTGGGGTGCGGTCTAAGGAAATGGGTAGGGTCGGCGACAGAGGAGATGCATATATAGGTGGAGGCGTAGGCCCCTGCGCATAGTGCCCAGCATCAAGACGCGTATCCCTCGCGAAGCGTTTGAATTCTTTGAGGATTCTTATTTGGATTGAAATCTATGTCAAGTCAAAGTTAGATGGACTTTAACAGAAAACGGAAGCAAAGATGACACTCACGCTAAACATCTGCATTGCATCCCCAAGCGCCTTGTCACATGCTTGAATTTCCTCCTGGATTTCGTCGCTACGCAAAAACCGCTTGAGGAATGGACGACGATTGAGCTTTAGAAGGAAGTTGTATACCTAGAGAATGAGTGTTAGCGCTCAAGCATAGGACAAACAAAACGGTTGCTCGATCCGTGACAAAATTAAAGCACAGCAGAACTTACCATCTCAATGCACTCGTTCAGCTTCCTGACTGGACCTTCCATCTCCTCTGCCAGCCCCACAACACCAACACCTCCATTTTGACCTTGCTGAGACTGCATGTCCCTTTCAGCATCCGCGATCTCAGCGCGCACAGAGTAAATCGCCATCGCACAGCGTTCGGTAAGGCGAAGACATTGCAGGCGGTTGGTCTGTTGAAACCACGTAAGTTCTATTCAAACTCTACTCCCGAAAAAGAATGATGGAAATCAAAATGAAATCAAACACTTACCTCGACTTCGTCCACGGCCTCCCATACAGCCAGCAAAATCCTCGCAGCTTCATGGAGCCCAGGGATAGGTGTAAGTTTGGCGACATCACCAAGAATCATGAGGGAGGTTCGAAGCATAGGTGAGACAAACGTTGCTGTGGATTTCACTGATAAAGAGAATGGAATTAGTGAAATCCAACTTCACGCGATGAGAACTCACCCGTCAACCAAGCCTTCTGGCTGGTCCCAATCTTACTCTCTGTACCCTGGTAAGTCTCGGTCACAGCACCTTTCTTGGTACTGGAAGATGCCTTCACATCTTTACCATTGTCCTGCTCAGCGGTGGTACGAGCAGCATGACCCTCCATCGCAAATGCCTTTCCTGTTTCTGACAGTTGTGCGAGCTCAGAAGTAGAAAGGACAGCATTCAACGCTAAGGATACATTCTGTTTGGAATGATACACATGAGTACGAATTTGATCTTAAACGAAAGAAAGGAGAAACGCCGAATCCTTTGGTTGAAGTTTCCATCCAGCAAGGACGGGATTAAAGACGACGGGGTGCTTATAAGGTACAAAATAGATAGAACTCACCTCCCTCGTTCGAAGCCAACTATCAGTCTCCTTGTTCTCCTTCTCCTGATCTTTTGCACTTTGACGATGTGTGAACTTGTCAAACCATGATTCCAAGTGTTTACTTTGAGCTTGCGGTGTAGAGGTGGAAGGCTCCTTGTGGGGTGCATCTTGGGCTTTCCCCTTACCTTTCCCGGGATTAGAGCGTTTTTCTGACGGGGTTAGAGACACCAGTATCACAGAAAATTAAGAGAACATACGAGGTAATGTCGAAGACACTGCCGGATTCGGTAGTCCAGGTGCTTTACCTTTCGTAGGTGAGGATGCACCAAGGGACATGACCGAAGGAGGGACATCTAGGGACTTTCCGTCCCAAGCCTCCATTGAGACAACAAGACCCTCTTCAACTTGCAGATTAGTCTCGTTTGCGGACCCACTTGTCCCTAAATCGGCACCAAGGGACTTGGGAGACGACTTGGGAGACATCCTGAATAGCTTCGGCCAATAGCTATTCTCGATGTCATCCCTCCGCAGACCCTCTTCAATTCCTATACCTAGTGACTTGAGGGTCTGCGGGTACATGTGTGCAGTAACGGGGAGAGTGGGCGATACAAGGGCGGCAGGAGTAGCCTCGGGAGAGGATAGCAAAAGCGAATGCTCATTCCCTCCATCTTCATCGCTGGAGTTCTTCTCATCGAGATCGCGGATTTGAAGATCCTCACGGGATAAAGAGAGAAGGTTATTGGACAAAGGAGCAAGAGACATATGGTTGGGCAACGAAGAAGAAAGTGGAGTTTCCCGTTCTGTAAAATCATTCGGCATCGAGAGATTGGAGTCCGACCCGGGCGAAAAAACTACCGGGTCTCTGAATATACCTCTAAGGAAGGGGACACTTCTCCCTCTTGAGGGCGAGACAGACCTTCCTCTCTCCTTCGAAGGTGAACGTGACCACCATTTCCTCGGTACCCCATTCGGCGGTGTATCTCCTTGGGGTTCATGATGCTGGCGTCGCAAGTAACGAAACAAGTCTGAGTGTTCGCTTGACGACACAGGCACAAGAGACGCCGGAGGTGACACCCTCTCCATAGGTGACGTCGGGGCCGATGAGGCCTTTCCGTTATCATGGTGATGATGAGTAAGTATGACAGATGGTGTAGGGGATGTATCAAATTTTGTATTGGCCGGTGACAGAAGAATGGAGTCACGAGGTATGTTAGCAATCGTGCGCGCACTCATATTCTTACTTCCATGTCCTCCACCACCTGCGGAGAAACTGGACCTGATTGTGATTTGATTCGAGTTCCTGGCACAGTCATCGTGACGAGATAGATGGACGGTGCTATCTCCTGGGGATGACACACTGTGGACAGGCTCTGGAGGGAGAGCGGAGAATGATTGATTCTCGTCTGCACCGGATAAGGATCGGGTTGGGGGATGCGGTGACGATGAGGTAGATGAGCTAAGACGAACTTCGGGGACACCTGATGTAGTGCTGGAAGGAGGTGTGCTCATTGTCAGTTGGCAGTTGCCGCTCACCGTCACGGTCGATTAGCTTTTCGGACTGTGAAATTGTGTCGTGAGTCGTCTAAAATGAAGGAAGGAATGAAAGAAGGTTATTTATTCGACACAGCAAGCGACTCTTGATGTTATACAGAAATAATGTGGTTGCACCATGCTCAGTGTATCTGAATGCAAGTAGCAAATCGGGCCCCGGGACTTCAAGCTAAGCCTTTCTTGGCAGGTATTACAGTATTTGTTCATGTTTTCCATTTGAAATGGATAACCATTTTTGCTCCCGCGGAACTTTCCAAGTCGCAGCGGTGATCAGTCTGCGCCGAAAAAACTGACGCTGACTAGTTTAAACATCAAATCTTCGTAGATCAAGCCGATTCGGATCAAACCTTCATCATGATTCCACCGCAACGTCATACTGGGACTCTTTTCATCAAAGGCGATACGAGCCCGCACCACTTTCCGCAGTGTAAAGAGCAGTGTACCACCTATGTGATCATCTGGTAGTAAGTGATTATACCACTCGCAAACCTACACATCGTCTCTAACATCACTTGCTTGAATATTGTTGCACCACTGGCAGGCTTTAATTTTATCAACCGAGCTGTGTCCTTCACCGGTGATCTATGCGTTCCGTGTATTTGATATGAGCGCTATCCTTATTCATGGTAACACGGATACTCATCGAACAATGTTTTCACTGGCAGGTACCGTTACTTGGATATTCTCGGGTAGTATTCGTCCCCACCATAATGGTTACATGTACACCGCTTTGCTTCAAAAGCCCGATAGCAGTTTCTTCAGCGCTCAATATCACTGTACGTGTTCTCACATCAAATCACTGTCTGATTCCAAACGCATGGCAACTGATCCCAGACCCGTCGCCACAGCTTGCCAAAACGATGGCAATACCTGCGACTCCACACGTGTTTGCGCAGTGCGCGCTGAGCACGGCGTCCATCTCTTTCTGCCAAATCGAGATTTAATCTCGATTCGGCTGATGTTCTCCGTGTCTGCATTCTTAAAGTCGATGTCGTCATCCCCGCCCAATGTTCCCTGTATTTCATGTTACCAATACCGAAACTCCAGGCTATTTTTTAACATTTGCGCCGAACTATAGAACTTTTTTCTATTGCAGTCCGTTCCTTATTTCTTAGTAGCCAATGTTGGCCCAGGCTCAAATACTCCACTTTGTCAATGTTTCAAAAGATCAGGCCCTGACTTTGACGACATCAATGTCCCTCTGAGTTGGAGCGTCTGCCATAAATTTACTCTTTCCTCAGTCGTCGACTGGAATTTCGTCATCCTGCCAAAGCCAAGTGCTCATGCTGTATTACAATATTCATGTCTTACAGCATTGGCCGTTGCCTAGCACTAGACACACAATGCAACCTGAATCCCCACAGGAAGCAAACACAGCAACACGCTCCAGCGCAGTGACATCATTGATACAGACAATACATGTGGGTAAGAGATTTCATCGCCTATCTACAAAATTAACCTACAAAACCCTAGTCAGATGCGCCGTGACCAACCTCCAATTGTTACGATTGCCTGCAACACCGAAGATTGCGCTTTGAACATCATATTAAGTTCGCATTGCAGGGCGATTTAAGTTGCCATTTGCCCTGCTACTTATGTGTTAGTTACGTTAGCTAAAGAAGTCAGGTCAGCATACGCAGCGCTATACTCGTGTCCACTCACTGTTTGATTTCTTCACCTCTTTATAAACTTTTCTTGAAGCTTTAACAATACGCCACGCAACGACAATATCAGACAAACTTCTGATCCATTTCTAAATCAAAATTTGATTAGTCAACACCTCCTACCAATATTTAAAACAGTCACCCAAGAAAAACAAGTGTTTCTTGCTTCACGCAAATTGAATATGAGAGGACCAAGTGATTGATCCTGTTCTGCGACTGCTACCAAACGTTTCAAATCCTGCTTTTTAAACCTAGCGAGCAGATGCCGAAGTTCGCTGCTAGGATAGGCCGAAGAAAGATGTGTACCCCACCAAAAATGTGCATACCGGTGCGCATTGCGTGCCACTGCTCCATATGCTGGTTCCGTTCGTGTGAGCAAGTCAATGCAGCGACACGCAAGGTACTCGTGAGCACGAGCGTTGCTCACGTAGAGTTCTCCCGAGCAAAAGGGATCCTTTATAAAGTCGTGGAGCGAAGCATGATAAATCTCGACGTTTCCAACTCCATCGGGTGGATTCGAGATCACGGGTGAAAATGCTTCCAGCATTACACCCAAGCTCTCTTTGTCCGCATGGAAAAGTTCTTGGAGGTCTCTAAGAGGGAGCGGTTGCATGAGACGGATGGATGCTAACATCCGGCAGTACAATGCTGGATTCTCCGAAGTTGCAATAATCTGTTGATAAAGCTGGTTGATGTCTCGGTCGATGACAACGCAGAATGCTGACTTCTGACGAAGTAAGAGGTCTAGCCTCTGCTGGGGACATTGACCGACGGGAGATAAAAATTTGACAACCATAGCAGCATAGACAAGAAGACCACATGTCCTAGAGGCCAAGGTCTCGAATTCAGCCTCTGACGGCCAAGGTTTGGGAGGCCGCCCGAAAACATCGGGACGACTTGTCCGTATGTTGTCAAGTGATGCTCGCAGAAAGCAATGAACGTCTTGTACAATAAATGAATCACATATAGTGAGGGGGATTTGGCAGACGCCAGGTGGCATGGCCGCACGGATATGAGCGTCGGGGCGGCTCGTAAATATCAGGTGGATGGTCGGCAAGTTCGTGCCCGAGAGCATCTCCACGAACAGCCTAGCCAGTCTTGCCGCCTCTTGACAAGAAAAGCATTCATCAAGAGCATCAATAATGATGACATAAGGCCTCTCTTGACAGAATCGCAACGTGTGTAGTGGATTGATAACCAGCTCCCGCATCTGGTCAACACGGGACTTTTCAGACGATAAGAGAAATTCGTCTTTCTCGATCGCTTGTATGATATCGCCTCGAATGCGCGGGAAAGTCAGTGCGAGCTGATATGCGATGGTAGGAATAATCTTGCCAGCAATTTGTGCATGCTTGTGCGAGAAGAAGAAAGTGGCAGCAAGTCTTCCAGCTCTTTTGAACTCCTCAGCTACAGTGAACGCAATGGATGTCTTTCCAATGCCAGTGCAGCCATTGAGCCAAACATTCGTTTGATCACGTCGGCGGAGGAGTCTTCTCAGACTCCCCCAAAGATTAACACGCGTGTTCTCCATGCATCGTAAGTGGGGCTGACGTTTTTCGGAATCGAAGATGCCGCTGTGTTCTACGACATTGCATAGGCTCCTCCATGGGTCGTTAGAAGAAGATGTATGCACTTTGAGGTAAGACTTTTAGCACGATTCGAGATGGGGTGAGCAAATGACAAACTCACTGAAATCCATTGTCGGGAAGCTGAGAGTGAGTGCTTGGGACAGATCCAGATACATATATGTTGTGTCAACTAGAGCGCTGAGGCTGTCACGCCCAGTGTCTACCGTGCCTAGAAGTTCATTGCGCATCGAATCTTCCCTGAACAGCCGACCCCAAGTTTCATGTCACTGCACCCCTCCCTTGCGAGAGATTTCAAACACGGGCATAATGAACCAGTGAATCACGAATTCCACTAGGTAGTTGGGGAAATTGAATCGGGATTGCCTTGCCTAACGAAAATCATGCACGGGTAAATTATTAGTCAGCAAGCTGTTCTAATCTTTGAATTAGACATCGATCGGCAAGCAGCAGTCAGTATTAAAAGACACAGCGATGGCGCTACCTCTCAACGAGACTCGATTACTGTACTTGGAAGCACAACCGCACAACAGCGCCGAATCTTTGAATCCCGGCGATCACATCGGGACAGTCGTTCAGGTCACCATTAAAAGCAGAAACCCAAGGTAACAAGACAACTGCTGGGGATTATTTCAGTCTTATCTCGAGAGGTTTAACCACATCTTGTTTCCAGTCCTTCGAAGGTGGAACTGGCCATATTCGCTATAGAGCAGCGTGATATCACGGTAAGCGCGCGTTAACCGTGACACATCCTGGCAAGCTCGGCCAAACTTACATGTCTTTCAAATCAGACGGCTATAGAGACACTACTGCTTGGACATGTCAACAGTTCCGACTCGGAGAAGCTTCCAAAGCGCGTGGTCATTCGAGAAGACAGGCTGCTGGGGTACGTCCTTGTCAGCGGTAAGGAGCTGCATTTTCTGTTTTGTTGATTTATCTCGTTACAAAATCATTCAAACCCAACTTTCAAGTTCACTATTGAGCTAATTGTGTTTGTCGATGATTTATAGAGCGACGGAAATGGACGTACGGACAACGCAAACAATTCTACTGGGGCAGATATCCGTTAAGGAGTAGTGAAGATAAATGGATATTCTACTTCGAGACCATTAAATTGCAGGCCAACTATACGGGGCGTCGAGTCTGAAAAAGGTACTGTCGGCTTTGTATTCCACCATGTTGTTCACACATCTGTCTCGTTGGGATAGAAAAATAGATTCCTAAAGGATGATTATAAGAAGTGCACTCCGTATCTCAAAGCACTTACAACAGCCATAGTTTTGATATGGATTTCCAAAACTGCGATAAACACACAGGACAAGCATTAGTCCTGTAAGTTTGGTGAGAAGTGAATAGAGCACTCCATATACTAAATATTGTTCCGCGCGCTTATTTTCAGGAGCAAATGAGAAGAAAGATATAGTGCAAATATAGTTTGCTTTTGAAGTGGGATGACTCGGACATGTGCATGAGTGCCAACGTACTACGACTCGGACCGAAGTCACCTTTTGTATTATTACGTAAGGCCTGATCACTGCGACGACTTCGCTCCTGGCTCGCACTGTCTGCATGCATGGCTCCTCGACAGAATCCATGTAAGTGCCCATAATGTTAATGAATCAGCATGATACGAATATCAAGCTGTGACGTCTTTCTCTTTTCTCCACGCTGTTGAGTGTTGTCGCTGTTGTATCTTACTACACTGCTTTTTCGTAGTAGGCTCTCTGTTCTGTTCTCCTATGTGCATTGGCTTATCCTTTCCTGCAGTGTGCGATGTTTGTTTACAAATTCACGTGCCACATCGCTCGTGTGCTGAACGTTGTTGTCCACCTCAGGCGGTTGCCCATACCCCATTTACTATGATGCACTTTATTACCCTGAATTTCATCTGTCGTGCTTCGAATCCCCTGAAGACTTATGTTCTGGGCTTTCGTGAGCGCCGAGGCCGTTGTTTGTTCGTAGACTTACTGTTTGCAGATTGTGTGTAGTTTGACGGCGAATCGATTGTGGTGACTCACAAGGTGTCCGTGTTATCGTCTCTTCTTGTCTTTTAGACATCAAAAATTATATTGGTTGGCTTCTGACCAATGTTATGATGTATTGGCATCTGTTATTTCATTTCCTTGCTCATTTCCGACACAGCTCCACTATGATTGCAAAACATTTGAGCGCTTTGATGGCCCCCTTCCGGCTCTCTGCGCTGGCTTTCTCACCTGTAGTACTGCCCAGCACAAGGCCGTCCCATTGTCTGTCCTCGTTCTCGTGCTAAGACCGGTAATGGATCGCTATTTCGCATTCAGGAATGCCTTTTGTTTCCGCAGTCAGCCGGCTCTCAAATCATCAGCGGTCCTTTCCAAGATGAAGACAAGATAACGGCGGAAGAAAAGGGGCTTACTGTACATGTACAGTTTTGAAACCACATGACGGTCAGTTTCTCATGAATTCGTGGAGCTGCGGACAGAACCCTCCTAAGCGAATCTAGAACCTGGATTTAAAGAGGTCCAGGAACTCACGAAGGCTTCGGAGGGTAACCTACCTATCAGGTCTAAGCCGTAGTGATGGAGTTGCAGAATTTGAATGTATAATGGTATATCTTGCGACACTGGTATGCACATGTGCTGGGCAATGAAACACAGTATGTACGAAGTCCGGGCTTAGTCCGAGTCTGAGTCATGTGTGGATGACGGTAAGTCGTCACTCTTGTCTATCACTCTCTTACAGTTTTAGTCTCAGCGAAGTCTTTGACACTACAGTAAGGTCCCTAAGCTAGCGGAGAGGGAGTCTGTCTGTCTAGGCCTGGGGCGGGTAGGGCGCAGAAAATGCAGATCCATTGTCCCAGATCTTCTGTCACTTAGGTTTCATGGCGGCTCTATGCAAGAAGATGTGGAACATCCCGGGCCACCATCAGCTCATCTTCTTGGTCATGAGTCGCCCTTCTTTGGTACTCGTACCTCCCACTTTAGAAAGAACACAGGCTCAGTCTGAGCGATGTGTAGATGAAAGTCAGTCGTAACCCTTGTCAATCACCTCCTTACAGCTTCAATATATGTCTTCGAAGGTCTCGCATACGTTTCGACAATATCATGTTGCCTGTTCCTTTTGCAGAAAGATAGACATACCACCACCGAGAAGCCACCACTGTGATACTAAGGACAGCTGATCCAGGGGGATCAAGGCTATATTGAATGCCGGTTGTTATTTTGACACGCCCGTCGGACGAGGTGGCTGACTTTGTGCATCTTCAGCTTCCAGGAAATGCAGCCTGCCGGAATGTCCAACTGGGCGCGACGTTACGGTCAAATCGTCATATCTTCCATCGGGTCCTCGCTCGGATCGGCAGTATTTTTTTATCCACTCCTTTTGATTTTCAAATCACAGTTGGTCGAGATGTTATGATCAACCCGACCAAACAACTTTCTCTCTATATATAATGTACAGCGTTCGAACGACTCATTTCAATCCAACCACAGCCAATAAATCATCTCTCCTGTTGAATATACAATCATGGTTTTCTACGCATATGTCAAACATGTACCAAAATCCATTCTTCGTTGTCTGCGATGTCGTGCTAAATATCTGTTCAGATCACGACCAACACGACCTATCGATACGTGATTACCTTTGCTAGCCGCGAAGTTGCGGATGAGTGGTGGCGTGCCGTGTCCACTTCCGCCGTCACTAGTTTCGTGACTAGTGTTCAGCGTGTCAACGCCCAGTTCTACACCCATAACGTGAGTCTGGCAAACGCCGCCAACTCCCTCACCACGACTGGGGTTGCGACCGAATTCCTCGGCAAGGTGTTTTTCACCTTGCAGAATGACTTGGCTGGTCGCGGCTTGAGCATCATCCCACGGCTCGAATATTGCGCGGACCACATCAGCGGAAACTCGTAAGTCAGTTCCTTGCAAGATGCTCTGCATTTTTCTGATAGCGGCCCTACCAAAGATTTTTCATTCGCTCTAAAGTCTCTCCTTACGAGTATTGGTACCATCCCCCATCGTCTAACGCGACGAACGCGGTCTATGTTTCGCGCACCGAACGCTCTCGCTTCACCGTTAGTCGCACCGCCAGCGGTACTGCAGGGACCGTCATAATTGGCTCTGACAATGTCGTTATCACGTTGACCACCGTTGATCTGTCCGTTAACGTCAATGGCACCACTGGTCAGGTGATCCTCTCACTTGCTCCTATGTCGGGGTTGACTTTTAGTACCCTTTTGACCAACTTCACGGTTGGGCCTTCCTTGTCTGTGGATGGTGACACCGTGAAGAAGCTCCTCTACACGGAGCATGGGGAACAGTGGGAACTCGCTTGAATGGCTATCATTTGATCCAAAGTTGTCTTGTACTGGTACTGCTGTAGTCTCCCCGTTATTTTATGAAGGAAGGAAGGAAGGAAGGAAGGAAGGAAGGAAGGAAGGAAGGAATTGGTTCTCGTACTGTTGGTAACGCTATGAAGCAATCGCATTTTTTGTTGAACGCCTGCCATGACGTATGACTTTGAGATACATGAATCCTTTTAGCATCAACAGGCCTCTCTACCAACCTACGACAACAGTGTTTGGAGTTACCTCTTTCACTAACAGCCGGATGATTGATGACTGCATCGATGTACTAGAAACACGACCTTAGTTTCGTCGTTCAACAAATTTGTGCCATGTATTAGGTGGGCGCCCGCACCTGGCCAGTAGCTGCACTCGGGTACATACCATCCGTTGCCACATGTGTGGCTCGACGTAGAGGAGTTAGGCCACCGACCAAGTAGTTCTTCGTTGCAGTAACTTGAAAACGGCGAATCATGCATCCGAGAATGTGGCATGACTCACTGGACAAACTTGGGCACATAAAGGCCTAATCAAATGCCACAACAAGTTCGCAATTAATCCTCCTGGCTCCATCTGTTGTAATGCTCCATAGGACATGCATGGCTCCTCGACAGAATCCGTGCAGGTGTCCATAAAATGAATATTTGCACGTCTGGCTGGCTGTTACAACTGAATTAGCACGATTTGTCACCGTCCCGCACCCCATCGCACTGGACCAGTATGGATATATCAGCTTCACGGTGTCACTCGTCCGTCTCGCAGGATGTCGAGTCCCATCTACCATGTCCAGATCAGTGTCGAACGTTATATCATGACTCGGACGCCGCCGGTCATTATTGAATACAGTCAAATCATCCGGTAGTCCCGGTTGCGGATTGCAATATTTCAACGGCCTTATCAATTAGTGGAATACTCAAACGCGGCGACACCTTGTTTGGAGTCTCCTGGGTTCAACGGCCCTATCAGGATGTCTCTGCGCTATGATGGATGGAAGGCTCTCGTTCCATTTCTGGTGTTCTTTAGCCATCGTTCTGTAGGAGTAGTTCCAGCAGCTTTCTCGCAAACGAGTGTCTGACCTGTATTTCAGTCCTCCTGTTTGTCCAGAATATCCACGGAATTACAATGCCAGCGATCGCCGATCGCACCCAGAAAGGCAAACGCAGTATTGCACTTGCAGTTTGAAAGAAGAGTATAAAGTCGACTGCCCGCCCGCTCGTTCAGTTCCAGCAAACCCCTCTCCCTTCTGAACTTCCTCCTACCAGTATATATCACTGCATCAGTTCAATCGTCTCGCCAACAAGTGAACTGGTGTGATCGTATTTTCGAATCGACGGTCTGACTCCGCGTTGGCGCGATAGCACCGGTCACCCACTGGCAGCGGTCGCGTCAACTTGTTGCTTTCGGAGTTGATTTCAGACACGGTTGACGATGTCGACGGCATTGTGAGAGAATGGTAGACTTCATCCAGCAAGAAACCAACTGGCAGAGAGATACTGGCAATATTTTGTGTGCTGGCGTTTGTCCTGCAACTTAAAATTAGCCTTTAGTACAGATTGAGTCATGTACAATTGCAGCCTAGTCAAAATTAATAGGACGTTTGTTCCTGCAGAAGCAATTCGTGTTACTCCTGTGCTCCACCTGAGCGCTGAGCACCTGAGCCCTATATACACTCAATTGCTCGTCGTCAAGACCAGAAAAGAAAATGATGGGGCCAGGAGCGCGGAAGGGAGCAGCAGCGAGGAACGAGTGCATGACCCCTTGAGCTCAGGAATACTATATGAGACACCAACAATGATGGTATCCTTAATGCGACCTCCAAGGCGCATGACCCCATTCTCGACGATACCAACATCGCCAGTGTGGAACCAGCCGCCCTCAACAAAACCATAGGTCGTAGCTTTGGCGTTATTGTAGTAGCGTACGAAGACCATCGATCCGCGAATCTGAAGTTCGCCGCTTTCACCGTCGAGGCGCAGGGCGACACCATTTGCGGGGTCTGCAAAGCGCATCTCGCAGCCACCGAGGGGACGTCTAAGATCAAGGAACTCGTGAGCAGGCTCAGTTGTGAGGACCAATTGTATATGCATCCGGCGCTGGAAACACCCACCGGCTGAGACATCAATATACTTGAAGTATCCTCGCCAAGCCTCTGTCATTCCGAACCCAGGGGCGATCATAAAGGACACGGTAGATGGATCCTTGCTCAACTTTTTCATCACAGTAACGAAGGCTCGCGCAGTCCTGGAAACAATAGCTTCGCATCTGCTGTTGATCCTCTTGATAGAGGACAGGTTGAAGCACCCGAAGAGGTCTATGTGCTTCTCCAGGTCACAAGTGAGTTTGGAGAGTAGAAAACTCGGGTCAAAAGCCAGTTGGATGGACTAAAATGAATGATAGGAGACACGTTCAGTGGTTCAGTGGTGGCACACCTTTTCGTCGATCAGACGGAGCAGCCGCAGTGGATCAGTAATGATGACAGATACATGCACGTGGAGTTGCGAAGCACCATACAGCAGAGGTGTAATGTGGAATTCCAACGATCCCTGAATGTCGAGATCAATTTCAACAGGAAGTTTGGATGATCAGTGTGCTTTGCAGTTCAGGATTTTGGATTCAGAAGTCAAGCCGTAGTTTTTCCCCTGGGCACGGCATGCAGCAAGGATGGTCCGATGCGTGTGGACGACTGCCTTTGAAAACCCAGTAAATTTCTCGATGACTTTAATTCAGAGATAGGTGAACTTCCAGACCAGAAATGGAGGTGATCTGCTCAGCCCCAAACTCACTGGTGAGCCAAGTTGCAGATTCAAACGATTCTTTGATATGCGCAGCATGGCCCTCCTTGTGCGCCTGTTGGGCGCTAAGTGCAGGCTGTAAGCAGGAAAGATAGCCAGCCAGTGGACACGCCCAGACAGCAGCCATATCATATTCGTGCTCCGTCAGGTACACCACGATGATTGAACCTGTGTGTTTGCCCCACTCAAGCATAGCCCGTGCAAGGATGCAAACATGTTGGTTGAACACGCTAAAGGAATGGAGAGGTACCGTGTGTCGAGGAGGTTATGAAATCAAGCTCGTGTAATGGATACCAGCCGGAAACTCGAGCGATTACATCGTGGAGAGTATGGGGTGCGGTAACGAGGTCGGTGGTGGCGTTAGAAGAGACTACAGTGCCATAAGTTGCCATTGTGTCTCGAGCTAAATTCCGAAGGAATATTACGAAGAAGGAAAACATGTTTAGGAAGTTGAGCACTTACCTGTATTCTTATACACCGGAGCCAGAACACTCGTAAAGTAAAACATACCAGACTACTTTGTACAAAAAGCGAAAACGAGTGAACTGGCACGGTGATCGATTGGTTTGATCGGATTTTCGACTCGACGGTCTGACTCCACGTTGGCGCAATAGCGGTCTGTCTTGGCTTGTCATCTAGCAGCTACGTCAACTTATTGCTTTCGGAGTTGATTGAGGATTGTCGAGAAGTGTCCAAAGACTCGTACTTATGAGAAGGAGTGTCAAAGCAAACACGTGACAGAATACAATTAAAACTCAGCTCGGGTCAGCTGTGACCTGCCGAAGGCCACTGGCGACTTCCGTCCCAAACTTTGGCCCCAGACTGGCCAAATCTCTGACATTCACAGCAGATTTGTCCCCCAGACTTTAACACGAAGTCGATTCCTCTGTATAGACGCAGACTGGCCAAATACCGCACTTTCTGAGGACTTGAATCGCCACATGATCAGTCAGAGATTCGACTGTGACCTATTTAAGCACCAACTGCTGCCAGGGGCAATGGATGTGCTTTCGCATGTTTGGCAGCGTTCCTAGTCGGGGTATTATTAACGTTACATAAAGCCATAGCCCAACATAGCCTTACTAGCATGACTCATAATGCGTTGAAATCTCACGAGTCCCTACGCTACTTCCACCGTATCATCCAAGTTCATAACAATGGGACCAGCAAATATCAGTGCGATGACGGTCAGTGACTTTTAGGAGACTGGGTTTGCGAGGACTTACATGGAAGACCAGAAGAACAAGAAGAATAAGGATGGCAAGATCGTACCAGAGACTGCTCGAACAGCTGACAAGAAATACGGACAAGCTGACAAGAAAGATGGCAAAGCTGACAACAAGAATGCTAACAATCAATCACCTCGGAAATAGGTGCGTTGAGACCATTATCTTACGGGATCAAAGACCTCACCTAGATGAAGTGACGAGTATGATAATTTATAATTTGCTTCGTGCGGGGAATGAGCGGTATTATAGCAACGTACTTGAATTGGATTGGCACAAGGACAATCGGAGAGTCGAGACACGCTGAGCGCTACCAGTGATGGTACAGCGGGACAATTCTATGAGCCTCGGATGGAGTCAGAGCTGCCTGCTAGTGATCGTAAAATATCATAACACCATTACAATTACGTAGGCTTGTTTTGTATGTCATTTCTACAACGCTCTATATTAGTTTGCGTTCGTGAATGCACACTTTCGGTTGTGTTTGGACCCTGAGGCCTGAGCCGGTTGTGTCTGGAATTTATGCAAACTTCCAAGTCATTATTGCACGATTGTCAAAATCATCAAAACAATCAGTGCTATCTCATATATATTATCTACACCGCAGTTTGTAGCCCATTATCACCCTCAATGACACTACGCATCTGTACCAGCTCATCAACGATGCATCAACCTTCAATGACATCGACATCTTGACATCGAGAATATGATGACTCCGCGCCAAACTTAGGCCGAGGCGTCAAGCACATGCTGCACATCTCCGGTATCGAATTTGCCAAATGCCAGAGGCTCACGGCGAGGGAATTTTCGGGGCACTGCTACGAAGCGCCTAGTCGCGGTACTAGAGACCGGGGATAACGATCAGTGCTTTGAAGGTGGTGAGAATACTGAATCAAATTTTAGACCTTTCAATACCTTGAAGTCTTACTCAATTGTATAGCGAACGTACGTACGTAACCTACAAGTCGTCAAGTATGCTACCAGCTATTCGGATGAAGTTAGTTGTTCACGAAGCCAACTGAAAACATGATAGTCTCTCGTACTCCAAATCGGCCACAAGATGAGCAGGATGATGATCAACAAACCACAACCAACTATTCCTCGAAGTATGACGGAGGTAGATTTAAACACCAGGGAGGAAAATGCGACGAGGAAGTATATCATTCTGGCTCGAGGTTAGTCTGAGTGTCAGCAGGCATAGCTGAGCGGAGAGCACTTACCCCCACATAAGCAGTGCGAACGGAAGACCGTGTAAGATTGCGAGGGCTTTCTCACCGAACATTGAATTTGTCATTCTGGTAAGGAATACGACCTGCACAAGGGTTATTAGTGCGAGCGCAGTCCACGGCAGAAGTATCTCATACAGCAGTATCGGCAGAGACATTGCCATATTTGCGGTTTTGTCCGGCGAGTAAAATGGACACAACTAAGGATCCAATTACACAGAACGTTGACAGATAAGCCGCGATAATGGCAACAGATTGCGACTTGTCGGCGTTCACGCTGGGCACCGTGAGAAAAGTGAGATCCACAGTTAGCATCACCGTCGACTGTAAACGAATCGGTTTAGAACAGCAGAAACAGTGAGTAGGGTAAATGTCATCGCACATAGATTGTGATAGAAACCCATTCCCTGCCGAGCTTGTCATTGAAATCTTTCCATCGAGGTGAAGTTGTATTTTTATCCACCCAGACTCTTTGCAGTTCCTTCATCTGAGCATGGGGAGCGCCGAAACACAAAAGCTCCATGATCCAAGATACTACGGACTTTACGATATGCTCATCATCCGTGAAATATATTGACTGGTCGGCTCCCAAACGTGCACAAGATTGGCCGCAGAAGTTGAAAAATTTTGCTCGGGCTATTCCTGAATGATAAGTCCGCAAAATACTGATGCAACAACCAGCCATACCGAAGTATCGCATAAAACGTGCTAATAGTAAAGCAGAATACGTGAGGCGAGGAAAACATGCGATCTTAAAGTGTCAAAGACACACCAATGACGCATATGGAGTAGGGGCTACATGTTTCTGAAGTGGTTTCTGTTGAATGTTTAATCTGAGTGAACTTGGCTATATGTATGTACTTCTGCGCACCTTTGAGGTGATCGATTAAGTCCAGTATTTTTGAGAGGTCTTCCCCTCCAAATGGTGACAAAGACGTCTCAGACGTGATGACGTCTAGGCGGAGACATGAGCAGAGTTAAATAAACGAAAATTGGAGTTATTTAACCTGCACTAGCATGCACAATGATTTCTCTGAGCTCCGCAAGGAGTCCTTTTCCTGATTCCTCCTCTCTGTTGTTGGGATAGAGCTCACAGTGCATCCTGTTTTAACAGAGTTGCTAGCTCGAACTACAATACTAATATGGTATGAGCATTCAATCAGTATATTGTATCGAGATACTCACAGAATAATAACTTGAACAATTACCAGTACTGGCTTTGGATGACATAACCTGTAGGAGGTCAATTCAATTTATGTGCCGTACATCCTGTGTCACATCGGGCAGATGCTCACGGATATGACTGTGATCATTTACCCCTCTGACTCCATCAAAAAGGTCTTCGGTGTCTAATTCATCAAGCCAGAAGATGGTGCGCTCGACACGGTCAGCGAAATAATAGCTGCAAAATCGTTCTCCGGTCATCGGACGTACGCCGAGCTGCAGCGTCAGCTCGATACCCGTCAGGTCAATATTACTGCTCTCGGCAAGAGCGAGTAGATCATCTGCACAGTTATTCAATTCGTTGAGGAGTGCCTGCACTTGAACGTCTGTATCGGTGAAGACCCTCTGATAGAATCGTTAGAGTATCATGAATCACGACAGGAAGAAGAGCTGACCTTCACTGGATGATAGAAATACAGGGCACCCTCAGGATGGACATGCACTTCCCAACCAGTACCAATAGGCAAATACCGTCTCAATTGCATAGCATTAGCTGAGGATCATTTACCCAGAATATCTACTACTTACTTGGGGTACTGTCTGACGGCACGCTGGATACTTTCTATTCCGCCAGAAGGGTCACTATACGGTGCGTATTCCTAAACAAGCTGCTGCCGCATAATGAGCATCAAGAATAACTTACGTTTTCATGTCCTGTCCATATCTCTGAACAGATGAAGCTATAAAAGGAACTTTACGGCGGCGATGAATATTTGGTACGGCTGGTGGTGCACTGTGTTGATGCAACTGCGACTGAGGATCGATCATTCCTGACTGTGCCAAGGGAGGCATAGCAACAGGTGCCAAACTACATGCAATATTATCTGTGATAAAACTATATGAGCCATGCAAGGAGAATCTGGTTGACTACCAACAAACAACTTACTGGATGCGTTGGCAGGTACTGTTGGAATACCTCGGAGACTGATCGCAGCGACTCCCGCCGAGGCATCTGACTGAATACTAAAACCACCGTCAGCTGGTCGGTAAACACTTAGAAATGAACATATAGGATTCCGGGAAAAGCAGGAATGTGGGACATTCAACAGACCACCAAACAGGCGCCGGAAAAGGGTGATGGATGGGGAAAAGAGTCCATTCGAGAGTGCCTTCAGATATTCCCACAGCGTGGACAACCTAAGGAAGGCCTGACGGGGGAGGTAAATCATCTCCCTGCTGTATGTCGATTGTTGATATCACTGAGATTACTGCCAGGGCCCGAGCAGGAGTTCATGGTACCCTGTTATAAGTCATACCTTACTCGGTTCTTTTGACTTACCTGAACAAACAAAGTTCCGAAAAACACCCTCACGACTCATTTAAACCCAGTCAGGGCCAAAAGATACTAGAGGTAGCCTAGAGTCTAGTATCTTTTGGGTCTAAATGAGTCGTGAGGGTGCTTTTCGGAACTTTGTTTGTTCAGGTAAGTCAAAAGAACCGAGTAAGGTCTGACTTACATATAACAGGACACTTCAGATCAGCAAAAGCGCGTTCAAACGGACGCTTACGACTTCAGTAGCTCACTCATATGCATCAGGTGTCCATATGTCATTCTGAGTTCCACAACATTGTGATCGAGTGATCGCAGGACAGGACAACTTAGTTTGTTCCCGCGGAAGCAATTCGCGTGACTCCTATGCAGTATTTATTATAATGATCCCGGAACTGAAGCTGGTACTGTAGCAAATAGTCGTCTTCTACTCCATTCTACCACTGAACCTCATCCCACCAAAAGTATGATCTAATACAAACGCGCTAACAGTCATCAAGACCGAAAACGTAGCGAGAATGAAAACTAAAGAAAAGAAAGAGCGATGGGCTGAAGATTGATAGCACAGTACTTAAACATTTGAAGGGGCTGTAATGAGGGGAGGGAGGCGAATAAACGAGAACGTTGTTTGTTGGGTCCAGAAGAGCGAGAGGGCGCCGTAGTATGCACCGAAGGAAGCGATGATGCCAAGGGCACCACCTGCAGTCGCAAGGTGTGGGTTGCCTACGTATCGGACGTCAGATAGAACATAATACTAGAAGGGAGAGAACGCACCGGTGAAAGCATTTGCGGAAAGACAAGTGAGCGCACAAACAGTGAATGCGAGCGTTACAACGATGGGGGCAGTTGTACGGATTGCGCCAAGCCTATAATATTATTAAGGATGTGTCTGCAAAGCAAACTTCCTGGGACTCACAAAAAGAGGAACGTAATCAAGTCCCAGATGGCGAGGTAGATCCCGATGGCATTGTAGAACTCCTGCCCAACAACCCCGTCAACGGTGTATGCAGCCCTGAAAGCTATGTGAGGGAGGGCATGCATCAATGCTTGCAAATGACATACGCAAGGCCGATTTGAGGCAGGTAGAGAGCACCAAAAGATAAATTGAAACCTCCGTAGGTAGTAAAAACTGTTGCACTGAACGTGTTACTGTGGAAAAATCTCAGTGGTAGCTCTCCATACAAAGGTCAGAACCATACCCAAGGAACATCTCCCACATGCCCACAAGCGTTTGTGAGATGCCGCCGTAGCTGGAAATGACTAGGTTAAAATCAGATCATTTGCGAGTAACAAAAACTGACAAGGTTGCGAAAACCAAGACCAAGTTGGGTTGACCAACGCTTTTGGAGGCGAGCGTCAATATTGACGAGCACAGGAAGACGGTACCGTAGGCCATCATGCCCAAGGGTGCCTAAAAGCCAATTACATGCTGTTGACATAGTAGCAGTAAAACATTGAAGACATACAGGGTTACCATACGTCCTCTGGAATGGCTGCATCTGTGGTGCAGGGGGTGCTGGGGCGTCCATGTTGACGGTCTGGACGTAGTAGTTGTCCCTTGGGTTCTCTTTTTCAATAGCAGACATGACTGGATGACCGGTGTCGACTTGTGGTGCTATGATTCTTCAGAGAGCGGGAATGAGGTCAGGTGTGCACGTCTACCTCAGTCCTTTATACTACTCTATAGTAGGGCTGATATATCTCCGCTCACGCATGGAACGCGGTGCCAATTGTACGCATGCACTCTGCTGCAGTGAATAGCGTGATTAAGGTCTAATCTGAGTGAGGGAGTAAACTCTGTTACTATAGAACTCGAAGACGGGTGACCCTAGCTTCCAGGAACTGATTCAAATGATGTACATACTGTTCACTTCTCACTCACTATCCAACTACTCCCGATTATCTCGGACAGGGCTCCGACGAAGTCTAAACTGGAAAACAATCGCGGAATATGATTTTGGTTATCTTTTTCGTTGTTGCAGCTTAATTTATGCAGGCTATGCCAAGAGTATCTGACGGTCCAGGTCGGTGATTGTGTTAGTCATTTTGATGGAAGGCTTCCCAGGCTATTGGTCTACCTTGTAGGGGTAGGTCGCGATATGAAAGTATCAGGACTCTATGAGGGATAAATCATGATTGTGTCACTGCGGGTACTGCGTTTCTGTATTTGTCAAGATCACTGGTGTTGGCAATGGTAAAAAGTCAAAAGAAGTCGCCGGTATTTGCCGCAATCGACTTGCCCAAGTTCAACTGGGTCCGGAACACTGCGGCCATCCCCCACGACCTTCAAGTTGCGCCATCCGAGTCCCAGGCGATAACGAGTTGCCTTGGTCCTGACTAAATTTTGAGGTCACGGTTGCATCTGGAGTTGCGCATAGTCCGCAACCATAATCATCATCCTTCATAATGGAGATTTTGAGGCTGTAGTCCACCCTTGATCTTTCGACTCATGAAGTTCAAGTTATGCTGTTTTCTCGTCCATTCGGTGGAAGCCTAGAAGGAGTTCGTTCCTCCAAACTTGACTAAGCTGCTGGTGAGTATTTTAAGTTTAATGTCTTATCTTGGTTTTCTGGGGGGGATTCACACACCCACAGTGAACATACAAGTTCTCTGCTTAGTAGCAGGTAGCAAGAGGTATCAGAAGACCAAAGGTATGGAATTTTGCTCGACATTGCATGACTACGCAAACTTACCAGTCCACACTACTCATGTCGCACATTTGCGTATCTGGGTCTTATCGCCACATGGCTGGCCAGTGCGTTGGACCATGCGATATACCATACATTGAATTTGATCAGCCCTTCATGCATTCACCTGGCCTTGAAGCTTCAAGCTCAAGTCCATCGCACGTTGTTGATAGTCACTTCCTTATCAGATTAAGATTTGGATGGCAAGAGCGGACAATTGAAGTACCAGATCGCTGGTTAAATTTGCAACGGCGGCAGTGTGCGAGCAATGGATACACGTCGGGTACGTGCGAAGTTCCCGAACCCATGCTAATTGGGATGCAGAATACATGTGCTTGTGAACACAAACATAGTTCTCCTTTGTCCGCCGTTCACTCTCAATGGACTGCAAGTATGAATAGAGCATCACTCGGCGGAGCAAGGTCAGGGTGGTGCGCGTTCCAGCAACAGTGACCAAGCCTGTGGCAACCCAATGGTTTTAAGAAGATTTCATGTTCCGAGTCGGCCATTGCATGCGCACAGCTGGAAATACTCGTATGGGCACACTAATACTTGGTCCGCCCAGATACTTCAATCAACACGGGAAGCAATACTTTTCTTTTGTTCCCAAGGCAATATCAGATGTCAGTTTCGGTTCAGGAATATTGGCGCATCTTAGACTTGCATTCTTTGCAAACTAAGGAACCATCCTTTATACGTGCATCTTGACACACGATACTGGAGACTGCTAGACGCCGGTAACGTGCTTGATGATTGGAACGAGAGATAACGCAAGCAGTGAAATGACAGACATGTTTAAAATGCAATGGTCGAAAGGTTTTTCATGCTATAGCCTTCCAGTATCAATTACGTAGGTTTTCATGAAGCTGAGTACGAGGTATGATTCAGATATCAGTGAGAGATCAGAAAATATGAGTGGTAACAATATACTCGTCACGACATTCATCCACCAGCGAGCAGTATACAGCCGAAATTGTCTCCCCATGATTCCACCGTCGCGGGCGTCAATTTACGTACATCGGACAGAAATTTAAGCCTAAGTAGCAAGAATATCACACGTTGAATTCAACTTCCGCGGTTCCGAGTCTACAACTTGGTACGTTGGAGTTCCCCAGAGCTCCAATTACACCAACCGATTTCTTCAACAATGGCCTCAGTTCTTCGGTTATACAAGTCGGTGGCTTCAAATCATCCATTCTTAGTTTTGTTTGCTCAAGTATCTCAGTGCCGCTCTCATCCGAAGACCCGTATTGGCACAGTCCGCCACTGCTGCCGTTTTATTTGGCGCAGGTGATGTGATCGCGCAGCAAGTCATCGAGCGCCAGGGCAAGAATCATGATGTGAGTATTGGTGTGACTACAGAAGGAACCGGTCTTGATCAAATCTGCGCAGTTCATGCGCACTGCACGCCTCACTTTTTATGGAGGTAAGATGAACCGAGTGCGCGCGGGATTAGCCTAATCCACGCCTAATTTCATCAGGAGCGTTCTTTGGGCCAGCCTTGACAAAATGGTATCAACTTCTGAACCGCATCAAGTTCTCCAGTCCTACGAAGGCTGTGATATATCGTGTATGAGATGTACTATTTCTTCCGATTTCATGAGGGAATGATCGCCTTTTTGCAGGTCTGGCTGGACCAGGCGGTCCTGACTCCTGGTTCGTTGATTACACGTGAATCTAGTCGTCTTTCTCACTCTTCGCTTTCTGCTAGTGGTTGTCGGATTCTTCTTCGGCACAATGAGTATCATGGAGGGAAAGGGTATCTCTGGTGCAAAGGAACGCATTAGTACTGTAAGTTAAATCCCCCCTGGAATCTGGTAACCACCTCACGTGTCTCCCAGGCGTATGCTCCAACTTTAATTCGTAACTGGTAATATTTGCGTTATTGCCTACGCATCGTGCACTGAATTAGATCTAGGGGCGTCTTCATTCCCACCCAAATCATCAACTTCGCTATCGTACCGCATCACCTCCGCTTTGTTGTCGTGAGCGTCGTCAGCTTGTTTTGGAGTAAGTTTGAGTCTATTGCAAGCCCTTTGATGTTGATCATAGCCTTTTAGACACGTACCTCAGCGCTGTCAATGCCAGTTCACAGCACCAGGAAGTAATCGAATCAGGCAAAAGCACCGAGAAGTAGCACGATCGTAATTCGTGCGCCTCCCACCAGCATGTGTATATGAACTAGACCATCGGCACTGCCATCCCACATAGAGATCTTTTGTTCTTTTTGCTGAAGCGTTCAGAATGCCTACTGAAGTTTAAGGTGAATAACCATCGTAGTGAATGACTCAAGTATTGGCACTGCGCACGCACTTGTTCTTAGAATGGACCAAGCGGAAGTATGTGCATGATGCGATACAGCTTCCGTGACGCGCCGCTGCGAGCTGTCTTGACTAATAAGATCCGCGCCTATCATCTACACCAATCGATGTTCCTAGAATGTTATCCGGTTTCTAAACTACTTCCGCTCTATAGTGAGGCCAGACTCCAGAGTTCACTTGAAATCTGTAATCAGGAGATTTTTCTGCACAGTACTGCGATTCAATTTGGTGGCCTGATCAAAGTGCCAACCCACAGTGGGATCATAACCTGCGCCTCTGCTCTAAGGAACCCATAAGCAACTCAGGCTATTCCCAAAGGTGTACATGTGCGCAGGTAGGCGCCCAGGCTCTGATGCGACTGGGAATTTTTTCACATGGAAGCACCGCTACGTAGGCGTTCCATTTCCTTTTTAAAAGTTGCGGTGCAGCAAGTGGAGAGCCAATATATATATGTCAAGGACTTGCTGGTGAGTACTCTCGGTGGTTATTCTTCGGTGCTACTTTCTGACATGACTTCGAGCATTAGTCAAGAATTAGTCAAGAATCCAGAAGAACGGAGACCCGGCACACCGTCGACTTCGGCAGCGGAACATATCCGAGTCAACATGGAAACATCACAATCCATCGTCAGAGAGCAGGTGGTCGCATTTTCCTCCTTCTGGCTGCATGGTGGTCCCGATCATCGTTGCGCATATTGGATATTAATCACCACAGGTTTCAAAGAACCATGATACCCTTAGACGATCTCTTCTAGACCAGAGGCAAATCGAACAGACTGACGAATACATAATTTCCGACTTGGCTGGTAAGATCTTCGATGCGAGTTGGTGTGGACGTAATCCAAGTTTTCACTCGAATTTCACTCTGGTTCAAGGTGAAACAGGCAGCAGGGATATCATTGTTCCATGGCGCGAGCCGCGTGCGAAGTGGGAAAATACTGAATGTGATATCGATGCACTTGTTCGTACGTCCAAATCACATTCGGCAGGCTTCGTTATGACGGTGGATGAGTGGATCTCAATGGCTTGAGTTTTGCATTTGCATTTGTGCTTTCACTGCAACCAGGTCTGTCGTGTTTTTAGCCATAATCATGCGTACCTGCTAGACTCGCAATCAACTTGTCTGTGGTAGTATATGCCAGCCTGGCCACGAGCGTCATCTGTAATCTTATATGAGTATATTTCAATATGATGTAAATTGAATGCACAGACGATGCATTTCTATTGATACATAGGAAATTTGGCTCGTGATGACTCTGTCAACAGAATGGCTAACTTGAAATATGCTGCAAAGGTGGTCAACGATGCGGTTTTGTTACGCAAAACCAACAAAAACGAGTCTAACACCCTTGGGATGACAATAGTCAGAATTAAGACACATTAGAAATGCCCTTTGCTGGAGGTGCAGTGTCTAGAAGGATGAAATGGTACAAGTGCATTAATGGCTGGTGGCAGTGTCACATGAGCAACATAGTCACGGCCAAATAAAAATAAATAGAAAATTGAATCGGCAACCCTCAGCTGTGTTCCTCTCAAGGTACACAGCACCAATGACCATGTCCTCTTGATCACAGTACTAGTGTTTAATTTGATATCTCTCGGCAGTGGGTCAATCTGGCAGCGGTCACAACTTCCTGAACATTCGTCAATCATTAATCATCGATCATCCTTCACCGAACTTCAAGTGTATTGTTGGTTGCATCCTCGCTTTGCAAGTTGATATTCTTTTCTTGTTTCTCGGTTCAGGCAAGATCATTTTCCCCCCATAGCGCTGTCAGATCAATCAGACGAGTCGTATATATAAACATTCGGCTTTTCTTTGTGCGCCGTCTTCACTGGTTTCAAATGATTTGCATTACCTTGCGAAATACATTCGATTCTACATCTTGCCAATTGGTGCACTGACTGAGTAGTATGATACAATTCGGTATCACTCTGAGACTTACGTGCCCCCCTCAGTGGCTGGCCACAACGAATCATGACTTTAATGCAGATTCTTCCGCTAATCCTGGTCGGTGGTCTCCATTCCCAGCGCTTAGTGCAATGATGTCATATCAGCGTCTATATCGTGCCGACAGCCCTTGGGAGTATGGAAATACACGTGTAGCATGACCTGAACCCTCAACCTCCCCTTTCAGCTCAACCTCTATCTACAGTCCCCATATCCTTACCCCCGTCCTCCCGAGTCCCTTCTCACTGATTCCGTCCACGCCACTTAGCTCGTCTTCGAACCTCATCAAGTTACTCCATCGCAAAATCATGCCTCGTCGCTCAAAACGCCGATATATCAGACTTGAAGGCGAGTTTCTCCGCATTACCTTCGTATTAGTGTCATGATCCTCAAGCTCTATCTCCAGTCATCAGCGGAAAGAACCTTCAAGTCCCCTCCTGGCGCATTCCCGCTGGCATCTACATATCCATCAATGTTGACTCCCGGAAACGCTGGAAATCGGCCGTCAGTGTCTTGTCATCTGATAAATCTGTAGTGTGGAGGAATTCTGTAACTCTGTAAAGTTCATGCAGACTTTCTGACGCGATGCGAGAACTGATTATCAGTTTATAGAGCATCACACTCCTTACCTGCATTGTCAGTGGAGATCAGGGCGTCCTTTGAGCTTGGTCGAATGCTAGGGGGTGGAGAGGTCATCGGAGCACTTCAAATGTCGTGGGATGAGCTCCTCAATCATGGAGATGAGCCATTCGGTGAGTGATTCGCTTCTCATTTATGCAAACGCACTAACGTCCCGTAGATTTGTCCTTCCCACGCGTGCGCGGTGTCCACCCTTCCGTCAAGTTGAAGGCCGCCGTTGTACATACTTGCGACCATCAGGACGACGTACTGTTTGATGTGAGTGACGTTTTTCTCTGTCCCGTCGACTTTTACTGATAGATTAGCAACTGTAGTCCCTTGCAGACCGCGAAATTGCTCAAGACACAGACGCGGGCCACGCGCGATTTGCCAAATACGTGAGACGCAAGACGGTCTCTCACCTGAGCGATGCTGTAGATAATTTTCAATTGGTTCTAGACCGGTGTCCGGTTAGCCATCCAGACCATGCAACGGCTCTCACCAACCTCGCGTGGGCCCGCCTTCAAGGCTACATCCGAGATGATCTTCAAGACATCGATGCCACCACTTCCCTCTTCCGCGACGCCCTTGCATTGCGTCCGCAGCATCATCCCGATCATCTCTTATCTCTATATAATCTTACCCAAGCGCTGACTTGGCGTCACTACAAGAAAAGTACTGCTGCCGACATCCACGAAGCCGCTCAACTCTACCATGAATTGCTACCTCTCTGTCCAGAGGGTACCTACTTTCGTAGCATTGCAGCAGGGAAAAATGGTGTCGATCATGTGATCGGCGGATGCAACAGCCTTCCAACAGACGCATCTGATGAAGGCATCCACCTTCGAAGAGTCGTCCTCGAGCTCTGTCCTCTGGGCCATCAACTCCGTCCCAGATCCATTGAGGAGCTTGCACAAGCAGTTGAAACACGCTTTGATCAGCATGGTAGCATCGATGACCTTGACATGAGCATACAACTTGGTCGTGAAGCCGTGTCTCTGTGTCCCGAGGGACATGCTGACCGCGATCACTACTTGGATGACTTGGCCTTTTCACTCTCGTCCCGCTTTGATCATCAAGGCAAAGCTAATGACCTTGATGAGGCCATCTTTTGGCACGAAGAAGCACTGCGCTTGCGCCCTGTGGGGCACAAATTTCGTGATTACTCATTGGACAACCTAGGGACCGCCCTCGTCGCGCGTTTCATCACCCGCAGCGACATTGATGACATCACCCGAGCTATCAGCCTCCATCGCGAGGCACTAACGTTGTGCCCACCTGGGCATCTACATCATGACACCACACTTAACAACCTTTCCCTCGCGCTCCAAACCAGATATGACAAATCACATGTTAAGAGGGATCTTAACGAGGCTATTGACCAGGCTCGCGAATCCCTTCGGTTAACAAGGCTTGACCACCCAGAGCGCCATATGACTCTTTTCAATCTGAGCTCGGTACTCTGCTCTCGTTTCACGCAAACTCAGAAGATTGAAGATGTCGAGGACGCCATTACTCTTTGCCAACAATCATTGGAGGCTTTGCATTCGCTACACCCAGATCGACACTACTCCTATCTCAGGCTACAGGAAGCCTATATGTCTCGTTATTGTGTACAGTACAAGCCTGATGATCTAGCACTTGCAGTGGAGAACTTCAGACTCGCATCACGACACCCTACTCATGGCTTTCCAAACCGCATCATTCAGGCATATAAATGGACTGTTGCAGCAGAGCAGCATGGTGATGGATCCGCACTGGAGGCCTACTCGACATTTTTCGAGCTTCTGGATGCTCATTTGGCAACACGATCGTCGGCAACTTCACGGCGGGAAGCTGCTGCTGCCTTCCATTATGCAAGATCACTGCCTGTAGATGCAGCCTCATGCGCTATACGTCGTGATAATCTACGACGAGCAGTTGAACTTGTGGAACAGGGCCGTGGACAACAGTGGTCGCTGGCATCACGACTCAGGACTCCAGTCGAAGAACTCGAGTCAGCAAAACCGACACTGGCGCGCAATTATTTAGAGCTGAGCAAACGCGTTTCCAATGCAGTCCAGAGTTCTGCGATCATCACCGACAGAGCTGCTGCTGATCGGGAAGCAACAGAGTATAGGATACTTACAAGGCAATGGGAAGCTGCCGTAGCTGAGATACGCGATCTTCCGGCGTTCTCGCGGTTCCTGCTTCCACCTTCATATGAAGACCTCCAAGCGGCAGCGCGCCAGGGCCCAGTCATCATCTTCGTTGCGAGCCAATACTCATGCAGCGCCATCATCGTCCCGACGTTAGGAGACCCCCATCATGTTCCCTTGCCGTCTATCGGTCTCGCAGATCTGACCAATCTCAAGGATCGCTTTACCAGGGCAATACGAGATTCATCTCGGATGAACCCAGGGGAGTCCAGGACGGATCTAATAGTGCTCTCGCGGATAATATGGGACCAGATCATGCTGCCCATCGTCAACGTACTCGAGCATGTCCTCAAACTAAAGCGCCGCTC